CCGGATTGGTCCATACGCATGTGCTGAATGGAACTACGGGTAAATTTTGATCTTTTTATGTTTCTTTTTACAAGGGCATTCTTATCTGATCATTGCCTTAACTTCACTGAACAGTGGTTTCCCTGTTTGGCTACATTTTATTCCGGGAGTTCAGTTCCGAACTGATAACCAACCATTCGAGGTAATATTCCTTTCCTTTCTCCATGTCTTATCTTGCTGCATCTACTTCCTTCTATCATGTGAAATTGAATTGTGTTCAGGCAGAAATGAAGCGGTTCACTGCTAAGATTGTGGATATGATGAAACAAGAGAACCTCTATGCATCACAGGGAGGACCTATCATTTTGTCTCAGGTTTTTCTTAAATTTTATTAAATGCATGTCAATTCCTTTTACAAAAAATGATGGCATCCACTTGTGGAAGAGTAGTATAGACAAACAGCTTGAATTCTTAATGGCCTACTAGATACTTTTTTAATATGAAATACTAATGCCAGGTTGAAAATGAGTATGGAAACATTGATGCAGCCTATGGTCTGGCTGCTAAATCCTACATCAAATGGGCAGCATCAATGGCAACATCTCTTGATACAGGGGTTCCTTGGGTAATGTGCCAACAGGCAGATGCTCCTGACCCAATTGTAAGTTTTCTCCTTTCAGCCATGTACATAAACTGTTTTTCAGTTCATCTTTAACTAAATTGTCTATTTTCCTGATTCCTGAATAGAGCACTCTTACTATGTTTATCTCTACTCTTATCCTACTTGATTGTTTTTTCCATAATTTGTAAACTTCAATACTCTCAGATTAACACATGCAATGGATTTTACTGCGATCAATTCAATCCAAACTCTAACTCGAAACCAAAAATATGGACTGAGAACTGGAGTGGATGGTTAGTGTCCTTTTCTATATAAACCATTTAGTTATTTGAATGTCATACCCGAAATATGATCTGATTGATTGTGTATCTCCTTTCCTCATTCACTCTATTTTAATTTTTGTTGTAACCTTTCATTCATTGTAGGTTTCTTTCATTTGGTGGTGCTGTGCCTTACAGACCAGTGGAAGATCTTGCTTTTGCTGTGGCACGCTTTTACCAGCGAGGTGGAACTTTTCAGAATTACTATATGGTAATGCATCTTACATGTTGTTTAAGGATTTAAGCTATTCAAGATAGGAAACGAGCTGAGGCCATAACCTTTTCTGTTGCTTGCTCGGAAACAGTACCATGGAGGGACTAATTTTGGCCGAACTACTGGTGGACCTTTCATTTCTACTAGTTATGATTATGATGCTCCAATTGATGAGTATGGTATGGAGTCTTTCATCCTTTATATCTCATATGAATGATTGACTCTGTAGAATTTTATAAACTGTTCAAGCTTGATTCTATATGCAGTCATGAAGATGAGTAAAAAGTATTACAACTAGACATCTTATGCTCATCTTATATGTCCATTACAGTGAAAATATTATGTTTTCTTTTTCAAATTTCTGAACTGTATGATGCAGGAATTGTTAGGCAGCCCAAGTGGGGCCACCTTAAAGATGTGCATAAGGCCATAAAGCTTTGTGAAGAAGCACTGATAGCAACTGATCCAACGATTACAAGTCCTGGACCAAATATAGAGGTACTAAGTGGGCAGAATCTCTAGAGTATCTTTTGGGGCTTGAATGTCTCATATATATATATATATATATATATATATATATATATATATATACATGTACGCATAATATACATTCAAATTTTAAGTTTATGTCCTGAGATATGGCTTGAAAGTGTGGAGGTCCAGTGGATCACTGCATCATAGATTTCTCTGGTTACTGTCACCTTCCCTACCTCGTGGGTGGTACCTTTTATTGATTGCACAAAACTGTCTGATGGTGCTAGTCTTTTCTTCTCTGGGTTTATAGTTATTTATTATGCTTTATGAAGGTTTAATCTCTTCTCTTTACGTAATGTATGTTGTTTAGTGAACCATCCCATAAGCTTAAATGTTAGGGACCTGAACATGAATGGTTGGTGCCTTAGCGGCCAAGTATCGAGTGCAATCCAATTATCCAAAGGCCTAAGCTAATTGTTTAGTTATCTCTTTCAACATTTACTTTTGAAATCCAGGCTGCAGTTTACAAGACAGGATCTGTATGTGCAGCCTTCCTTGCCAACATTGCCACATCTGATGCACAAGTGACCTTTAATGGAAATTCATATCACTTGCCTGCATGGTCTGTGAGCATCTTACCAGACTGCAAGAATGTAGTGCTTAATACTGCAAAGGTTTGCCTCATCAACTTCCCAATAAAAATAGATGGTTAAATTGAATCAAGTTAATTTCAAAATGCTTGTCTTTAATCTTTTATACTTTAGATATTTTCTAGTCCAAGAAGTAGTATAACCCATAGTTATTATGGTATGACAGATTAATTCTGCATCTATGATTTCAAGCTTCACAACTGAATCCTTAAAAGAAGAGGTTGATTCTGGATCAGGATGGAGTTGGATTAGTGAACCAGTTGGTATTTCAAAGGCTGATTCATTCTCAAAATTTGGATTACTGGAGCAAATAAATACAACCGCTGATAAAAGTGATTATTTGTGGTACTCATTAAGGTATCTGGTATACATTCAAGGTTGAAAATTCTTTCTTCTGATTCTGACTTGCTTTTCACTATCCCGCGTAAGACTTCAATTTTTTTCTGCAGCATTGATCTTGAAGATGATGCTGGTTCTCAAACTGTCCTTCATATTGAGTCCCTTGGTCATGCCCTTCATGCTTTCATAAATGGGAAGCTTGCAGGTAAATAAAATTAAAGCAATGGCATCTGATGATGTGTTTGGTTTGAGTTCCCCTATGCCTTCCTTTTTAAATTACTTGGCTATATTTTAAGGCCTGACATTAGTGCGCAAACACTATACAACATTCAAAAGTAAAATATAACAAAGGTGTATCGTGTCTCTATCTCCCATCTTATCCAACATTTCTCTTCTAGTCTCATGTCTCTCTTCAAATTGTAAACTTCATTTTATAAAATTGATGTATGAGTGACATTATCCCCAAATTTAATCCCTTTAAGCATCAATGTAGTGAAATAAAAACAAGGTTGACTAGAAATAGAGTAAGATAAACTGTTCATTGTTCCTTCCAAACATGTTCAATTCTTTATTTCAATGGAATATTCTGTGATTTATCCAACAATACTGATCTGTGACATTTTGGACAACTTTTTTAGGGGGTGGAACTGGCAACAGTGACAAAGCTAAGGTCAAAGTAGACATCCCCATCACACTAGTGGCTGGGAAGAACACAATTGATCTCCTGAGTTTAACAGTGGGACTGCAGGTTTGTCTTAGCTTCTTATGATGTATATAAGAATTTAAAACCGAGGCAAATTTGGTTCGTATATGCATTCTTGTTAATCCCTCGTCATATTATTTCACTTTATCATCAAACCTGTTCTCTTACAATATCAACTAATGCAAACCTTACGTGCTGCAGAACTATGGAGCTTTTTTTGACACATGGGGTGCCGGGATCACTGGTCCAGTGATATTGAAAGGTTTGAACAATGGAAGCACTGTTGATCTCTCCTCCCAACAGTGGACATATCAGGTTAGTTTAAGCTTAACTAAAGCCAGTTATTTTATTTCCCATTTTGAGTTTTGTTGATTCAATTAACAGAACAGATACAACTGAACTACCACAAATTGGATTTCAGTTTTCCTTTTTTTCTTACGGGATACATAGAATACACCATCTGTATTTTTGTAAATTCAGGTTGGCCTTAAAGGTGAAGATTTAGGTCCATCAAGTGGAAGTTCTGGACAGTGGAATTCACAATCGTCCTTACCTACAAATCAGCCTTTGACATGGTACAAGGTAATCTTCATAAGAATACAGCATCTACTGAAATTGTTTAGTTTTTCTTAATTATTTTCTCATTGTTATAACTACATAAGCTGACAAAGTATCGTTGCACGTAGTTAGTTTCCTTGGTTAATGGATTATCCAATGCCATGTTTATTCAACCATGTTTGCATCTGATATCTTCACAATCACATACTTCAAATAAAATTAAGGAAATGCTACTAAAAGAGAAATGATTTTGCTGCTAACTAATGGTAATACATGTTGTATTAGACAAACTTTGTTGCTCCCTCCGGAAGTAATCCAGTTGCTATTGACTTCACGGGGATGGGAAAAGGTGAGGCTTGGGTGAATGGACAGAGCATTGGTCGATACTGGCCTACATATGTCTCTCCAAATGGAGGTTGTACTGACATGTGCAATTATAGAGGGGCCTATAGTTCATCCAAATGTCTCAAGAACTGTGGGAAACCATCACAGACATTGTAAGTTTGAAATTAATCCTGAATTTTTTGAAGTGAAGGCAATCCTGTTAGATACTAATTGAGTAACTAATCCTGCAGATACCACGTACCACGATCATGGTTACAACCAGACAGCAACACACTTGTATTGTTTGAGGAAAGTGGAGGCGACCCTACGAAGATCTCTTTTGCAACAAAACAGATAGGAAGTGTGTGTTCCCATGTATCTGAATCTCATCCTCCACCTGTAGACTTGTGGAATTCAGATACAAAATCAGGATCAAAAGTAGGGCCTGTACTGTCACTGGAGTGCCCTTATCCTAATCAGGTGTTCTCTTCCATTGAATTTGCAAGTTTTGGAACGCCTTATGGGACTTGTGGGAACTTCAAACATGGACGGTGCAGAAGTAACAAGGCTCTATCCATTGTGCAGAAGGTGTTAAATAAGAAGTTCATACATGCCTTTTACGTAGTTAATTTGACTTTTGTTCATTTGGATAATACTTACTCTTATTAATACTAATTAACAGGCCTGCATTGGATCAAGCAGTTGTAGAATTGGACTATCAATTAATTCATATGGAGATCCATGTAAAGGAGTAACAAAGAGTTTAGCTGTTGAAGCTTCTTGTGCATAGACATTTTGCTTCAAGCCTTCCCACTTCCTAGCTTGGACTCAGCTGAAGAGCACTCTGCACTTCAAGTGCCTTATACTCTTTTATGGAAGATGATCTCTGATAAGCCAATGTAAAATGCTATTCTGGTAGTAAACCAGGAAAAAATGTCAATCAAAACAGTGTATATTTACTTAATATAAAAGGAAGATCTCGCTTATGTTCTTTGGAATGTTCTTGTTGACAAAACCCCTCTCAATACATACAGTAACATAAAGGTTTCTAGAAACTAAATGATAATTTTTTGTGAATTAAAATAATTGCAACGAAGTATTACGTCATTATGTATAAATGTTTAGTTTTAGGAGTATAATTTCCATTTGAGCGTAGAAATAAAAGAGTGTAATTTCCACCACCTATCAGGCCCATATGCATGGTTCCTATAATCAATGGGAATTGGTTATGGAAACTGTTTTTCCTGTGCATGATGATAGATAAACTACTCTTTCCTTCACCTATCTTCACTGCAAAAAAACAAGGTAGTGCTTGATTACAATGGTCTCTGCAAAGGACACAACAATTCACAAAATCGATTGATTGCGATAGGAGACTGGTGTGGCCTTCAATCATAAAAACAACACTGCTCCATGATTTCATCCATTTATCATCATTGATGCAACACCTCAATATCCTTACCAGCTAGCAACTTTGTTTATGTTCAGAAATCACAATTTAATGTTTTAAAACAAAGCCTTTCACCTAACTATCATTGTCTCCCATCCCAGATTTGCTGTATAAAACCCATCTCTGCCATATCATTAATGCATCAAGTACTCGTTGCCAATAGAAATACTACCATTTATTTTCCTTTCCAAAAGCACCAGAGCCTTCATTCACCAAACTAAAATCAAGATGCAAAAGCAATCTCTCTTTTCCTTCTCACTAGCATTGCTAGTTTCATTTTTGTATTTCACCACAACTTTAGCCCAATTATCACCAGCTGCTTCCCCTCTAAAACCACCCCAACCTACCCCTACAACCCCAGCTGCAGCTCCTAAACCACTGGTTCCCTCACTGCCAGAGTCTCCAAGTGATGCCACCCCTGACACTCCAGCTGTTGACATTGTTGGAGTCCTGAGGCAGGCCAAGTCATTCAACATCCTTATTCGCCTCATGAAAACCACCCAATTGATCAACCAACTCAATGCACAGCTCCTCACTACAAAATCAGGTGGCCTCACCATTCTTGCACCCGATGACAGTGCCTTCTCTGAACTCAAAGCAGGCTTCCTCAACTCTTTCTGATGGCCAAAAGCTCGAGCTCTTACAGTTCCATGTTCTTTCAGACTATGTGTCCAGCTCCAATTTTGATACTCTAACCAACCCTGTGAGAACACTTGCAGGAGCTAAGCCTGGAAAGGTGGAACTGAATGTGGTAAGTTATGGAGGGAGTGTGAACATCTCAACAGGTGAGGTTAACACAACCATCACTGGCATTGTATACACAGATAAGCGTCTTGCTATTTATAAGGTGGGAAAGGTACTTCTTCCTATGGACTTCTTTGCAGTGGCCAAGGCACCTGCAAAGTCACCCTTGTTGGCACCAGAACCATCTGCAAAGGCTCCTAAAGCGGATAAGGAGAATTCACTGTCCCCAGACTCCTCAGCATCATCTGAGATTAATACCACAAAGGATAACTCTGGCACTGTGAAAATCAATTTGCCCGGAAAGTGGCTGTCCCTTGTTCTTGGAATAGTTCTCATGACTGTTTTCTCACCATAAACCAGAATAGATTCCAATCCATTATATACCATACAGTTAATATTCAAGAGTGCCATGATTGCGTGAAAGGATCTGAGATTGTTGTATTGTATCCCTCTGATTTTATTCTGAGATTTGCTATGATTGTTTCAATATATTATTTATGTAAACTTAACAGAGGTTACTTCGATATCTTCCATGCTTATGTTGTAATCTGAAGAAAAATAAATCATGAAAACGGTCTCAAATTTAATAATTAAAACCTCTAATTTCTTAGGTGTATTTGGGGTCATGCTTCCAGGTTTGTTTGAGTTTAGAAACTCATTAGTTATACAAGTTTCGGGTGATGAAGAAGGTGGAGAAAAAGTATTCTGCTAATTGAAGCACAAAAGCCACTGATTATTTCTCTCGTGAACAACCCTTAGTTCAAAACCGAACCGATCTAATAAATAAAAAATCATCATTAATCAAAATTTTGTTAAAATTTTGGCTTCTCTATTTTCAAAACTACACAGTTGGATTCAAATATCTAATTAAAAAATTAATAATCAAATGGAATCCAACTAAATAACATATTTTATTTAAGTATAATATTATATAAGTTAATTATCAATTATATATATATATATATATATATATATATATATATATATATATACTGCTGGTATTTTCAAAGTTTAATTATATTTTATTTTTAATATATTTATGTTTATTGAAAATATGATAATAACTTTAAAATTGTAATTTTGAATGAGTAGAGTGGATAATTTATTTATACATTTAAAGATATTAAATTATTATTATAACCATAAAAATATTTTTTTTATTTAAGAAATTTTTAATATAAAATTTTAATTATTTTTGTTGGAAGAAAATATTTTATAATTTTTAAAAATTATTTAATATTAAAAAATCATAAAATCGATCCAAATCAAATTGTAAAAATTGATTTGGTACAATTTAAATTTTATATTTAGTTAAAATCAAATTGAATAAATTTATTTTTAATTTTTATCTTTAATTTATATAATTATTTAATAAAAAATTGAATAAAGTGAACCATGGTTGATTTTTTTTTCTTGATAGATTTTGAGGTTGACTGAGTTTTATTGTATGTCCTTCAAGTTGTTTCGAGTATGCTGAGAACGAGAGTATCATCTCTGAAGATTTTTTTATATTTGTCGGTGCGTGAATATATACATGGAAATGAAAAAGTAATTAGGTTAGAGCAAAAGAAACATCAAAGCTTTTAAATAATAATATTTGAATAAACAACTTATAAAAAGAAGATGACCAATAAACCCAATGCCATTTTAAGTTGAAAATAATGATAATTCGTTATGTGAATTACATTCATGTGTTGTAACAAAAGTCTTCTCAATAGTTGGTCAAACAAGCATATCACTTGCTAAGAACGATTTTACAAATAAAGGTTAAGAATAAACTCAAATTGATATATTAATATTAAGATTCACACTTCAAAGTTGAAAAATTTAAGTAAGAGTTTAAATTTAACATTAAATAAAAATTAAAAAATTGAATAACATATAAAAAAATACCTAAAAATCTAATATCTTAATGTTTTTTATTGAAAATTGAATCAATCTCTCGTCTAGATTGTAGGGATGACAAAACATATTAGATTTGGTGGTCAATCCACCAACCAACCTCAAAATATTAAAACTAGTTGATAGTTTTAACTCATCTCGTTTAGTCTCCTAAACTGGCGGGTGGAGTGGACTAACCGACCCATTTTTAAGAAAATACTAATATATTAAAAATTAAAATTAAAATAATTATAATTAAAAATATTATATTTTTGTATTATATTATTATAATATATAAATATAATATATTATTATAATATATAAATATATTATAATATTATAATTTAAATTATAAACCAGAGTTAATTAAACTTAATTTATTGGAGTTAAAAGATGGAACATACTAATCTATTTTTGTCATTCCAGTTAAACACATTTTTCATCAAACTCATGTTTTATTAATATTTTCCGCCAAATTTCCTAAAAAGACCCATCAATATTATATCTGAATATAGTACTGAGTTTGTGTCTTTTTTTATCCAAGTAGTTAGGAAGAAGCTTAATATTTAAAGAAATGTTTTCTTCGAGCTACCAAATTTGTATTAGTTTTTGTAAAGAGTTAAAGAGCCCCTGTGATACTCAAAATAGTTATAGTGTTGAGTGTGATATTTTTATGAATAAAAAATTATCATTATTTTAGGAAGCTAAAGAAACATTAAATCTGGTTTAAAGAAGATCAAAGGATAAACATCGATTATAATGGGTAAGGAGAGAACCCTGCAACTTTATGGAATTTAAATCAAAACTAAATAACATCGAAACAAAATTATAATATTCTAATATCTTAACCTCATCTAAGAAATGTTTTTAATGTTTTAAGATTTTTATAGACCTTTCTCATCAAATTTATTTTTTCAGGCAGGAAAACATCAAACAAGAATAACCAGTGTAAATCTTACACACCAACCATTTAAAAAGATAATAACTTTTCTTCTTGTAATTTCTTTTCAACTTACTGTTGCAACAAATAACCCATTAAAGCAAAACAAAATAACTTTTATCACACATTTCTTTTCCTTTTTTAATGAAGCTTCAATTCAATTTTAGATCTGCTATAATATCAAAATAAGTAGAATGGCCCGAAGAAAAATGTTATGACCAAATCATTTTTATTTGATGCGAGTACTCGACCTGTAGATAGAGTCACCGTGCACCTCTAGAGTAACATTTGCATAGATACATGCCTCTGATTATTGTATGATAATAACCTACGAATTACAATGACAGTTCTTTCATATCTTGAACAACCTAAAAGGTTTGCCTTATCAACTTTATCGGCTATGTCTTAATCTATATTCTAGAAAAACCTTCAAGGTCTTAACTCAAGCCTATCTATGTTAAATAAAAACTGTAAAACAGTTTGCAGAAACATTTTATGACGACATATATGATGTCTTGTTTATAACTCAACCCAGAATATCTTGCTTTGGAATACTTGTTTCTTGCATTTCTTCCTCTATAAAATGTCTCGAGTATTCTTAGTGATCCTTGTGTTGTTATTATGATCCCATTAGAAAAATATCGTTGAACCTCTTTGATTTACTTGGTGTTAGGTTAGAGTATGGATTGCACTTCGACAAGTTAAAAACTATCACTGTGGAATAGTAAGTCATGAATTGGAAGACTACAATTCTTTGTATCTTTAATACATGTTAAAAAGTACAATTTTTTACGAAAATGATGATCATGGACAACACTTTAGGCCCTTATTTTTCTGAATACAGGAAAAAGAAATCAAAATGCAAGATGTCAAATATTTGGTCACTAAGAAAGTGTTATATGTTTCATGATGCATGATATCAATACTGAGCAACAAGTCCTTCAGTGCCTGCTATGATGGATGGCCTCTGGAACTTGCACAGTTTGCATGATGTTGAAAAGAGAGAGAGAGTCTGGTACTTGTTTTCCCCACCCATCATTGGCATAGGAACCCCTCTCTTGACTGGGCTAACATACCCTGGCCTGTAAGTCTGACCCAAAACTCCTTCGAAGTTATCTGTGCTTTTCTTAAATCTGAATTGTGTCTCCAAATGAGCAAAAGCATCATCTTGTGGCAACTCGTAATTGTGAATCTTGTTTTCTTTCTCTCCAATAGGCTTCACACTTATGTCCATCTCAACCAAACCCGAAACCATCACTCTCACACTGTTGGTGTCATCTGTTCTCTCCACAATCACTTCTCTTTCATCACCATTGGCCCTCCATTCAGCCTCTCCATCAGTTGGAAGATTGATTAGTTCATCATCCCACTTCACTGTGAGAGAATCAACGTTGTCATCCCAATGAGACACTCTATTGGCTGAAATAACAAGAGTGTGCGAGTCAAACATGACGGTAAGTGCTTGCACCCATGTGTAGTCACGAGTCCTTCCTTGTGGTCGAGAACCAATAAAGTGAGCATTTATTTGGAACTCATCATCAGAAACAATGGCAAAATTTCCGTCTTTAGCACCATGGAAGTAGAACATCACACCATCACCACCCACAAAGCGAGGATCATAACATAGAGATCCATACCCATCACAGTTAGGTTTCCTAACTGTCAAAAAAACAAACTCAACATGAGTTCCACTTTCAATTCTTGACAAATACAAAATCATCTTAAAAATTTGTTTTATGCAATACACACACACACACACACACACATATATATATATATGATGTGTGTATGCATGTGTGATGATTTTGAGTACATGGACTATTTACTCTTTTATGCTCTCCAAATACAAAGTTGTACACATAAATTTTTAAAGAAAATTTGAGGTTCCTTGGAACTTACCCTTGCATGTGGCTTCACATTTCTTGCTGCTACAATTAATGAAACATGCCTTCTGCTTCTTGTTCTTCTTGGGCTTCCTCTCTGTGCACTCGGGTGGACAGACAATGGCCTTGTACTCACAGGTAGTGTTTGCTCTGCAAAACCCTCGTTCTTGACCCGATGGCAGTGTTGGCAACGTGTCATAATCTGAGGCTTCATGACGTTGATGTTTTGGTTTTGTATCTTTTCCCTTCTGCTTCCCATTCTTATCTTGACCCTTTCCTTTTCCCTTATCATTACCCTGACCCTTTCCTTTTCCATTATCATTACCCTGACCTTGACCCTTCCCCTTTCCATTATCGTTACCCTGACCCTTTCCCTTTCCATTATCATTACCCTGACCTTGACCCTTCCCCTTTTCATTATCATTTCCTTTACCACTGCCATTGCCACCACCTTGACCTTGAGCTATGGCAGCTTCCATGGCAATCAGTAAGATGAAGATGGCCACCAAGATGCTCCACTTTCTTCCACCCATCTTCGTGATCTACAATCCCCCTTAGATTTTGTTTCTTTCCTCTGCTATAATGATTTTCAAATACCTCTTCAATGACGCAGAGGATGTTAGAGAGACCATGCATTGAAAGAGCATATATAGAGAGGAATTGGCTTTCAAATTGGACCAGAAGTACGCCTTAAGCTTTGCTATGATCCTTATTCTGAACTCGTCAAAAGCTTGTGGTTGCTTAGTAGTGTAGTACATGGACTATTGAATGCTGAATTTCTAAAGTACAAAAGTGATTTATTGACTACGTAAACGCAACACTAACTTAACTACTATCACGGAGTAGCACGTACTTTTCTGCCAAAGATAAAAAGAGACTTGCAGGATCTACAGAAGACCTGGAGTATTGAAATGGAAGACTTGCAATTGAAGATAGCAACCGTATTATTATAAACGCACAAATTGAGCACCTGGGTGTGAAAGAAAGCATGCATAAACCATGTACGAAAGTAAATTTTGTGTAATTATTTTGGTTTTGAAATGACCAGCTTCAATAATAAGCTACACGTTAACGTTAAGGTTACGTTTGTGTGATGTAAATAAAGGTAGTTTGTGACTTAAGAGTGGAGCATTTAGCTGTAGTAACATGGGTGTCGAGTTTAGCAGAAGCATCTTTGAATGATGTCATTGGGGTTGGGACAGCACCACCTCGTACTTATGTATCCAAGTCATCACCTTTGCAACCTTAATTCTTGCTGTTTAAACATAATAGTTATTGGATCTTGTAGCCGTCTTCTATTTATAGATCAAAATAATGCAGATGATTTTAACTATCTCCCTAATTTGAGGTTAGATCAAAATAATCACTTTAAACATAAAACTTACGGTGATTTAAATTTTTGTTTTTCTATATTTGTTAAAAAAGCTGTTTTAGTTTTTTTACAATCAGAAAAAAAAAGTTTTTATCCTTAAATATTAAATTTGAGGGATGAAAATAATTATTTTTATGACTATTTTAGTATTTAAAATTTAAATGATTATAATTTTTTTAGTTTGAAGCATTAAAAAATATTCATTCTAAATTTGAGAGACTAAAAATATAATTAATTTATAGTTTTTTCTAGGACTGTCAGATCAAATAAAAATATTGATAAATTTTAAAATATATTATAATTTATTTTATCTTATTTGACTTTAGTTTGATTTACGGTTACTTTTATCTTAGTTAAAAAATTTAAAAAAATCACAATATCTTATAAATATAATTTATTCAAAATTTAATAAAAACATAATTTTAATTTTTTTTTAATTTTATATTAATTTAAAATAAAAATTTAATATATATATATATATATATATTAATAAAGTAATATTACTTTTATTTAAAATATTTAAAAATATAAATATAAAATATTTAAGAGTTAATTTTTGAGTACATGGTCTGGAATGTGTTTTGAAATTAATATTTGACTTTTTTTTAAGTACTTTTGTAACATGTTAGAAAATTTTTAATATATTTTAAATTTTATTTTCTGAAGAAATATAGAAAAAAAAGTTATGAAATAACACGAAACAGTTATCCTAAAACAACTATAATAAAGAAGAGTTGATTAAAAGATTTTTTATAAATAAACATATTATTTTAATGTAATTTTTACTCATAAAATTGTTTAAAACGTCTCTTAAATAAATTACAAAAATTATTTAGGAATAATAAATTTTATTTTATTGTTTTAAAGAAATTACAAAAATATAATATTTTTTACTTTTCAGCATTTCTCTAGAGAAGTTCCTGTCTCAACAACTTAAACTCTTTTAACTATAATGGTTAAATCAAAATAATGGTTAAATTCTTTTATATGCTATTAAATCAAAATAATGGTTAAAATTAAAGTATAAGATTTAAGAAAAAATAATTAATATTTTGGTGCATTTAATGTTGTGTGATTGAATTTAGATTAAGCTATCCTCCCTCCTTTTTAATTTTAAAGTTGTAATTTTTTATAAAGTTGTTTTTTTCTCTCTCTTCATTACTTCTAAATAAAGAGCTATAATAAAAAGGTAATAAAAATAATTAAAGAAATTAAAAACTTCATATTTTTAAATTTGATATAGAATTACAATGTTAGATAACATGTTTTTTTTTTCATATCTAATAGAGTTTGATTTTAGTCACTCTAAAACTTTTTGTTTGGATTTTATTCCTTTAATTATTTTTTTTCCTTTCTAAATTATGTTGTAAAAAAAAACAATTTTTATAGTTCCAGAGACACCTATTAAAAAAATTATTTAAAAGGAATAAAATTGTCTATCCTGAAATACCCAAAACTTATAGTTTTTTAAAATCAGTAACAAAATTAACTAGAATATGTTATTTTGGACTTGTTTTTTTTTTAATATTTTTCAGTTTTTTAATTTTAAAAAGTATGAAGTGTTTTGTTAAATTATTTTTTATTTTTTGTACGAATTTTTATAATTATTTATGGTAGTTTTTTTCGTTTAAAATAAAATTCAAAAAATGGAGTAATCAGTTTTTTTTCCAACTTATTTTTAAAAACAATTTTTAAAATTTAATATATGAAACTATTTTTAAAAATTTAAAAATAAAACTAAATCAAACAAGTCCCTAATATTTTAATATTATATTTTTAAATATTTAAATATTTTATTTTTTACTAAACAATTTTATATTTTCCTTTTATTCAAAGCAATCAATATTTTTTTTAAATTATAGGAAAATAAAAAATTAAATAAATAGTAGCTATAATTTATTTAAAATTAATCGACCTACATTACCATAAAACTTATCATTTGGATAAATGTATTTTCTGAAAATTACAATTTTAATCTTAACCATTGACTCCATCTAACTTTATAGAATGTTGAACATTGTTTTAATCTAAAATTAAATCTGAAAAAGATATACATCAAATAAAAAACTATATAATCTATCACACACTTTATTTTCAAAGCTTGAATCAAATTAAATCCAACCAATACGCTCAAAAAATAAAAAAAATCAACCCAATATGTATACTCCATCAATTCATAAAAAAAAATAATCAAATTCATAATCAACATCCAAATATATTGGTCCATAAGTTTAACTGCACCAAATTTTCATACCAATTCCAAAATTTTAAATAATCAAATTTCATATAATCTATTCTCAAGACTAACAAACATAATTGTTATATACTTAAATAAAATACTAGTTAAATTGTTTAAATTTTTTTATAATTATTTCATCAAAAAAATTATAAAATTGAATAAATTAAAATAAATAAGGAAATAAAATAAAAAATGATTTTTTTAATTTATTAAAAATAATTTAATAAAATAATATTATTTAAAATTAAAACATATAAAATTTTGTTTGGTAAAAAATAATCTACTCTTTATTAAATTCATTATTGGACTCAGATGTTGACAAGAATAAGCGAAGGTTTATGATATTAGAAAAAAATAATAATGAAAGTTTGGAGAAATAATAAACTTTATATAAACAATTTTTGCATAATATATTTTTTTTATAACCTATTTAATTTAATCAATAATCAAACTTCAACTTATTAAACACATTTTCCATCTTAATATAAATAAACTTACTTCTTACAAAGAACACAACTTGACCTGATAAAATTAGTAATTGATTCTATATCTCTTGAATTAAATTTAACCTAATATATGAATTTATTTATTTTTTGCTATTTTATGTTTTTTAAAAAACTAAAATAATATTCTAGTCAATTTAGAATTAAAGTTCACCAATAATTTAAAATTAAAAGTGATCACCACATTTTTTTTAATATATTTTCATTATATACAACGACAACTTAAAATCGTGCCTAAGTTAAAAAAGTTTAATCAAACAAAATCATTTTTATTCTTTAAAACAATATAATTTGAGTTTCAAAATATCAAATTAAGAATATTTGAAATGAAAATAAATTATATTTAGTATTTTAAATTTATTCTCAAAACTAATTTTATTTCAAATTTTAGAATCCAAAAATGTAATTAATTTTAGAAAAATACGAAAGACTTTGCGTCTTAAAAAAAAAAATCTAAAACTTGTGCATGGAAAACAGAAAGAAAACGGAAATGATTGAAAAATCATTAACGAGGAAAGAGGAGTGAGAAAAAAAACAAAGTTCGATGTTGAAAAATAGTTGGTAGAAAGAAAAAATATTTTCCACTTTTTAATTTTTGTAATTATATTCACATTTAAAAGATTTAGTTCATAATAGTTAGAAAAACCATTTAAACTCTTTTTTAAATATAAAAAATATTATTTATAATTTTTAAAAGACAAAAGATGATAAAATAGGATATAATACAATAAATAAGTGTTGACATAAATAATTAGTCTATTAAATTTAATTTTGAAATCAAGTACTTTAAAGTACCATGAAACGCAAAAATAGATTTTTCAGTTTGATGATAAAGACAATAGGGAATTTCTTCCTCGGATGCCGCTCCAAAATATTCCTTTTTTGGTTTCTTTCTGCTCTTGTCACTCCACACTCGTTCTTCACACCTCTCTCTCCCTCCTTAATTCCACTACACCCTCCATTTTTTCATCAGTTACGATTTACCTTTTCCCTTTTTAATTGAATTAATTTCTTCCGGGTTTTCGATTATCTTCCCAATTACGGTTCGCTTCTCTTTTTCGTTTTTTTGGTATTGAATTTTCGACTTAGGGTTTCTGGGTCTCCCAAAGACCTCGATTCGAGCTAGAAATCTAGGTTTGTTTTGCAGCTGGGGTGACAGACAGGGCTATTCCACTTTGTCATTGTCGCCCACGAAAAGGAGGCAAGTTTATGAATATTGGAATGCATATGTCGTTTTCGTTGTTACCCATTGTTTTAGGTAAATTTATCAATTATTTCCTCTAATCGTCACCCATTTATCTTTCTTATTGATAGTTGCGTTTTATTTTTGTTTTTTTCTTCTGTTGAAATTTTAACCTCTTCCTTTTTCATACCAAAGGTCAACGAAACCTGCTACGATTGTTTTAAACTGGAGTTATCAACACAATGTTGGATGTGAATCGGAGTAGTGGGTTTTGTATCGCAACACGTATTCTCCACCTAGCTGAATGGCACCCATTGGAACAACAACGTTGAGTGGGGCTTGAACCTTGAAGCCCTCTTTCTTCCTCTTAAATCAGGTAAGAACATCACGTGTTTCATCCGTTTGTTACAATGATTGATTTTAAAGATATCGTACTTTATTGTTGTTGACGTAATTAACTTAAATGTTCTGTTGTTGTTGTTGTTGTTGTTATTATTGTAGATTTTTAAATTTTTAGGGCATCAATCATCTTTAGGGTCGAAGTTCCACATGTTCAATAAGGCTCTTTCTTTTGCCAATGTGATGGGGTGCTGTAGTTGTTTTGGGTTCATCAGGACATCTAACCGTCAAAGACAAAGGTCTAAGCCTGCCGTTAACAATAATATCTTCCAGGAGCCTCTGTTGGATGTTGATGACGACATTGAAGATGAAGAGGGCGAGCATTTGTACAACGATGAGGTTACCGACTCCAGTGGAGAAGATGGTGGGGAGGAAACTCGTCCCAAGCGATCAGAAGATATTTTGAACTTTAGAGTAGAGAATGGCATGGTTTGTAGGCAGTTTCCTGTTAAGGATACACGTAAAGTTGTTCGCATGGAGGTAATTCTTGTGCCGGAGTAGCATTATAGTTTTTATTTTTTTTTTAATTTTTTTTTAAATAGCGATTTTGAATAATGTATAGTTGAATATCAAGACTAGGAGGGCTAGTAGTATTTTGATATGTGGATTGGTCTTGATTATATTTGGGTGAAAATTGTACTCGTTGTGTTTTAAGTGATTTATGGTTTTCAGTTACTTCCCCTTTTTATGATATTTAGTGTTTATTACGAGGTGCAATATAAATTTATTATATTTATTTAATTTACATAAAGAAGGAACCGTGGTAGATTTTATTGAAATGCTGTATGTTAAAGTTTGAGTTTAGTTTTTATATGATTAATACACCATTTTCAGTGTTAGACACAAAGTTGTGGCTGAATATTTGAAAATTTTTGGGTCATTGTTTTGTCTTCTCAGTTATTGTATTATCTTATCGGTTTGTCACTTGTATTGATAAGTTCTTATGTGTTTAATCTTGCAATGAATTATATATCTCTCTCAAACACATCAAGTTACATGCCTATTGCTCTAATGCTAATTGAAGATTTATTACTATTGATGAAACACTTTATTGTTCTGAATATCTTTTTCTCTCAGACCTTGGAAGCCATATTGAACTTCTATTTCCCTTTCAGGATGAAAATGGGAACAAGATGATAAATGAGTATATTCGTGAGTATAAGATTGGTTCTGGTAGCTATGGAAAAGTGGTGAGTGTAGTATTCATGGTACATTACTTTTCCTAGAACAATTTCCTGATCCTCCTCCCTTACATGCATGACAGGCTCTTTATCGAAGCTCTCTTGATGGAAAGCATTATGCAATTAAGGTAAGGAAACATTTTGGTGTTGGTAGACAGATTACTCATTACTGTAGGAAACATGACCATATGCACATGGTTATTTGATATTGGGCTTTTAACAAGTATTTTATGTTCCAATAATTATCAAGACAATGGTTCTTTTTCTCATTTATTGAACTTGACTTCTTTTCAATTGAAGGCCTTTCATAAATCTCATTTACTGAAGCTTCGAGTTGCACCCTCGGAAACTGCCATGACTGACGTATTACGTGAGGTATATTTATTCATATCTTTGGTTTTTTTCAGTCTGAACTCTGAGCTGGAAATATGATTAAAACATGTATATGTTAAATTTTTGTAAATACATTATTTGTTCTCTCATACCTGCCTCTATATGGTTACACTTCATCTGCCATCTGTTTTTATTTGTGATTCTGTTTATACTGTAACATCCATTTATTCACTTTTAGAAAGTACACACATTCTTTCTTTGACAAAATTTGTACATACCATTTTCTGAAAGGAATTATTTTGCATGTTTTTCAGCTTATTTTGCTTCCTGGTTTGGTATTTATGATAAACTATGTTTTATAAATTTATTTGCTTTAGCTGTTGATGTCTCCTATAATATGTTAAAAGGCCAATATCATTTTTCATTTTCCAGGTCCTCATTATGAAAATGCTAGAACATCCTAATATTGTCAATCTCATTGAGGTGATTGATGACCCAGAATCAGATCACTTCTACATGGGTACTGATGCCTAGTTCCTTCTTGATTTTCTTATTTAATGATTTATTACACCCTAAAATTTATGTGTATTTGAGTTAAAGTGAATAATAATAATAATACCTTTAATGTCCCAAGCTTGACTGCTCATTTTTCTTGTACAGTACTTGAATACGTGGAAGGCAAATGGGTTTGTGAGGGTTCAGGTCCTGCATGTGGCTTAGGTGAAGAGACTGCTAGAAGATACTTGCGTGATATTGTTTCTGGATTGACATATCTTCATGCCCATGTAATATATCTCTATCTATCATTCTGTGCTTCATACTAATTAAGCCCCTCTCCCTCACACCGACAGAGGTTTTGTGTATAAATAGCAATATATTATCATCTTCATTGCTTAACAAAAAGAAAAAAAAAAAAATTAAAGATGACATCATTTAGTTTAGATGCTCATACGGTTATTTACATTATGCTTTTAATAATTTGATTAAATTTAGTGATTTTTTTTTCCGGAAAAGCAGAACATAGTGCATGGGGATATTAAACCAGATAATCTGTTGATTACTCGTCATGGTACTGTGAAGATAGGGGATTTCAGTGTCAGCCAGGCTGTTGAGGTAATGTTATTCCTCCACCCAAATGTAAATTTTATTACTTGAAATAGTATCAATGCTGTTTAGTTTACAGGGCATTATGTTTATTCAACTGCAACAATGGAAACTTTACTTTTAGTGAAAACTAAAATAGGATTGCAGATGTGTTAAACTTTAACTTTTATTAACTGAAAGTATGTGTTAGACTAGGTATAAAATAGGCTTTAATAATGACTTTAAAGGCTTGGTTAATTGACCTAAAGAAATAAGATTGTAGGGACATACAGAAATGAGAGAACAAATTTTAAGTTTAACAAAAGAGAAATGAAAACTTGACCAATTCACTGAGAAGCAACTTTAGATCCATTGGTTAAAGTTATGAAATGAGGACTTATAGGAAATGAAAGAGAAGAGAATAAGTAGGTATTACCAAATATATGATTAGAAGTACCTTAGTCAATTATCTATGGACCTTTTCACATATTATGTGTCAACACCCAATTTGGTCCGGATAATTTAAGTATTGAATAATTTAATAAAATATAAAATTAAAAAATAAATAAAAAAGGGGTGTTTATTTAATTTGAGAAAATAATTAAAAAAACAAAAAGGAAAGATATTTTTACTTTTAAATAAAATATTTATTAATAAAATAAAAAAAATATTCTCTCACTTTGGCTTTCCATTTTTTCTCCCTCTCAATAGTCATGTACTCACATTCTCCTTATGTAACTTAACTCCCGGACCCTTTTTTTTTTTTTTTGATATTTTCTCTTTTTTCCTGAATTTCAACACACCCACTACATACCTTCCCCCGTTTTCCTTGTTTGCTCTCTCTCTCTCTCTCTCTCTCTCTCTCTCTCTATATATATATATATATATATATATATATATATATATATATATATATATATAAGGGGTTACAGAAGGAAGAACAAGAACACGAAAAAAGAAGAAAAGAAAAGACGAGAGAGTCGCACGAATCATGAAGAGAAAAAAGGAAGTGCTACAAATCAAGAATCAATGTATTTTTATCTCTTTTCTTTGTCATCTCTTTGTCTCGGTCGGGAATTTTATTTCTATTACTACGTATATGGTACTCCTCTCTAACATTCTCCCTCTCATGAGCCTCATTCTCAACCTCACTCACCTACACCCTTTATCCTTTTATCTTCTCCTCACTCTTCCTTTCACTCCTCTGGCATTGTTACATTTGCTTTGTTGGGACTTTTCTGCTGATTTTTTTTTTTATTATTATTTGGATTCAATTTCGATATTATTGTGTGGAATTCTGATAATGTGGGGATATGGCGATTTGCATATATGATGTTATTGGATGTTTTCTCTGACTAGTACCCATGTTTGCGGCTCTGGCTTTGTTGTTTTCTGTCCTTTGCAATGAACGATTGAATGAAAGTGAATATTAGTTTCGTCAGGATATATTGGCTTCAGAGTCACTAAATTTGCACGGGAATTTGGATGTTGAGCTTAACACTTCATCTTATTCTGGGTGTAACAAATGTTTAAACAATTTGTTCAGGCAAAATTTTCGCTTAAATATAAGTTTAGTCATGCACAGTCATGTGCAGCAGGAGGTTGCTTCATGTAGACTTCCTCTTCTAGATCACCATGAATAAAGACATTTTTTATATCCAATTTATGGAATGGCCAATGACGAGTAATGACAACAAAAACCCCACATTGGGATAGCCAATATTCCAAAGATTGAACTGATGTTAACAATGGAGGTTGAGTTTGGCAGTGCCATGAACCCACCACAGAAGCACACAATAAGGTGGAGGATCTTGATAATCCTAAGACAACCATGCACAGTAGTTCAATTTGCAGTAGAGCCACTGAATCTTTCCAGTATAAGTACATATGGTCTGATGCTCTGTCTCATGTCCAAAAGTACTGCAGAAAATGGTTACTTACTCAAGGAGCATGGGCGACACTCATGTTTGTATTTAATCCAGTAGGAGCAAAAGCTATTTTGAGTTGCAGGGTAGTGCTGGCATGATCACCATGGTACAGTTGGTTGGAATGCTGATGGGACTTCATTTTAGAAGCCACAAACCGACCTTGAGGACAAGGGGAAGCTTTAGGGGTCAGGAGTGTTAGGTGGGGCTTGGATCATTAGAGAAATAAGGCATGTTTCTGATAAAAAGAGGAGAGTATCTTGTCATTTGTGAGAGAATTATGGCGTTTGGGCATTGGGAGGTGCAGGTCCTCTTTGCAAATTAGACAGTATTTGGGGGAGAAACCCCATATTCTTTCTTTTAAAAGATACCAGGTTTATATCAGTCAGCTGGTATTTTTTGTATGGGAAAGGGATAATTCCAATGTTCTGATTTGAATTAGAAGCCTTATGGGTGCATTTGTTTCATATTATGATTTTGTATTCCTAGGAATTATATCCTCTTGAATATTGGTACCCAAGAATGTTATTTTCGTAGACATGTTTGGTTGGTGGTTAGTAATGTTAGGAAAAAAGTTTAAAAATTATTTAATTAAGTGAAAAATAAAAGTAAAAAAGAAAGATAGAAAAAAAGTGGGAATACTTAGTTCTTGTACACTTTCATTCCCATAATGAAATACCCACCCTTTCTTATGGGAATAGAAACAATTTTAAAAGTGATATTGTAATTTCCTTTTGAAGAAAGATACCTGGGAATAGGTTTTCACAACTCCTAACAAACTTGAGAATATTTATTCTCATCTTTGCACCCCCAGGGCATGAAAAAAATTGGGATGAAACAAGCATCTGCATTTTTTTTTTTTGTAAAATGAGGGTATCACATAAATATCCATAGAATGCATACAATAAATTAAATAAAGCAAATGTAAATAAATTAAATAAAGCATATGGTAAAAGGGGGATTTTCTAGTGTAGAATACAACATCTTATCCCATTAGGTGGCATTGGCTCTGAAATTTTGTGGTGTATAGCATAAGTGATTTTGGTGACCATGCTTTTGTAACTTTCATCACATTGAAAAAAAATGAAGCAACCATGCCCTTGGGTTAGAGGCTGTCTCATCCGTTACGCTGAACTATAAGTATATTTGGAAAAGAAATAATGCCTTTTACCCCTTATTCAAATAGCATACAATGCTACCAAGGTGGGATTGATTAGGCAAAAACCAGCCAACGTCCTATAACTAAGGAAAATATAAAGGAAAAAATATTTAGGACAGGAAACTATTACCTTAACTATGTTGGCAAAAACCAACCAATGTGCTATAACTAAGGAAAATACAAAGGAGAAAATATTTAGGACAAAAAACTATTACCCTAAATCTGATCTGAATTGGATCATTCATATCTTATCTTAATTCATTCTGTTCTGCTGAATCCTTACGAACAACTAACAGTTTCATTTGCAGGATAACAAGGATGAACTTCGTCGATCACCTGGTACTCCTGTTTTCACTGCACCAGAATGTATTCTAGGTTGCTTTTACTTTTCAAGCTTATAAGATTCTGTTGCTGTGTAGTTGAACTACAGGTTCTCACTGCTATTGTGTCTGGATGTGTGTTTAGGTCTGACCTATGGTGGTAAAGCTGCTGACACGTGGGCAGTAGGAGTTACTTTATACTGCATGATATTGGGTGAATACCCTTTTCTTGGAGACACACTTCAGGATACATATGACAAAGTAAGAAAGACACATTTTACTGTAATCACAACAAAATGTCACCTTTCGAAACATAAAGATTCAAAATTTTTTCACCTGATATTACACATGACATTCATTTTTACTGGTGCCTTAATCACAATCTTAATTTGCTGTTTTCTTTCTAATCCAGATAGTCAATAATCCTTTGGTTCTCCCTAATGATTTGAATCCGCCATTGAAGAAGTTGATAGAAGGCTTACTTTCAAAAGGTATGCATAACCTTCTGGATTTTTTCCAAGAATCCCCTTAACTGCATCATATTAACTGGCCTAGGCCATTTCTAAACTGCTTGCTAGAATCGATAGCCACAACTGATCCCAAAGGAGTATAGGTCAAACATTCTATTTCTTTGACTCCAGAGGAACACTTAGTGAACCTCGCATAAAGCTGATGTTGCTGTAAACTCTGTAGCACAATCTCTCTATATGATAGAGGTGTTCGTTCCATGATGAGTATATTATTAAAGAAACCAGAACAAAGTACTTAAAATGCCTTGGAAAATGTCATTCATCAATGTCTATCCTTCGGGTTCAACAATATTTGATGATAGCCTGATCTTTAATGTAGTCCATAAAATATTTGGAAAAAAATGTAACCTAAATTCATCAATCAACTCATGCACTGTAGGAGTAGGAAAACTATCCTTGATGGCGTTAAGAGCCCTATAGTTAGTATTAAGGTTTCAACATAAAACCAATTGACAATATATGAAGTAGTCTAACATGTATTTACACCAATAGGCATCATTTTGAACATAGGTTTCGGTTTTGCCACATGGAGCTATAGAAAATTGTCTGAGCTACCTCCATCCACTAAGAATCCGAGAGTACCCACACCCATGCCACCCTTCAATACAAATAATGATCATCCAAAGCAATATCTGGAGTAATGAAAGTTTGATCAAAATCAGATGTCGGATCATTATTAGAATCCTCTAATTCTTCTTCAAATTGGAAAAATAAGTATTGTTGGTTAGGGAACTTACAACTAAAAGTAAACTTTTCTTCACAAAAATAACACAAGAACTTTTCTTTATTAATTTTCATCTTGGCTAGGCTAATGCATTTGATATTTCCATTTCCTTAAGAACTACACATTCGGAGGCATCATGGGAGGCAATGCTAGGTTAGTCACAAGTTCAATACTTTGATTTGATGAAGAGACAATTGGAGAATATTTAGGAACAAAATTGTTAGTATGCGATTTTCCCATAATGTTTTTAACTATATTAGAGTATTTCTCATCATATAATTTGACTAAAGCCACAACTCTTGACAAAGAAGTGGTGGATTGCACCACCACACCACGTTTAATATTATTAATCAAACCACCAATGAGGCAATTATCAAGACTTCGACATTCAAACCTAAAAAGTGATTAGCTAGGGACATAAATTTCAAGTAATAGTCAAACACAAAACTTGATTGGTGCAATTTAAACAGCTTTGCCATTGGACAATCAAACAGAGATGGGCCAAATTGGGATTCTAATGCCCTGGTAAGATTTGTGTAGGTGTTTATAGTAGCAAGGCGTTGAAGAATCTAAAATCAAAGAACAACGTCCTTATCAAAGTGTATTGTAGCTATACCCACTCTGCTCTAGATTATTGTGATAGTTGAAAAACTTAAGCTTTAAAAGTCCACCCTAGAACCGAAGTAGTGCAATCAAAATGTGAAAATTTAAGAGAAATTTTCTTCCAACGGAAAAGCAACATTCACCGGAGAAGCTAACTTAGAGGAATTGTTGGCTGATGCACTTCTATAAGGTTGCGAGTTATTAAGAAGAAATTGGGTAATTTGATGTTGATCCAATTGGTTTTGCAACTTAACATGTGCTTGATGTGGTTGTTGCGCATGTTCCCAATGATCGTGATGCTGCTTGCATTTCCTTCAAACTGGTCAACCATGGATGGTTAATAAAAGTACCAATGGAACAGTATAATTTTAAAATAATGGATTTACGTGTGTATTGAAGAAATAGTTGATACAATAATCTGTAATGAATATATGTATAAATGTAGTATAGGATGGATAATGATCTAATTGAGAATTAAACCAATAGAGCAATTGGAAGGCAGATAGAGAAGATGGAGTGATCTTCAATGAGTGAGGAAGAGAGCAAAATCAGAGAGAATATCAGGAAGGATATTCTGAAATAGGTATACCATATGGGTGATATGTTGATCTCACATATTCCTTCGATATAATACTCTTTATTTTCCTCGTGCTTTTCCTTCGACCCTTACCGATTCGGGTTAGAATGTCACGAGGCCTTTTTGCATTACTAACTTTTCTTTTAATTACATCTCATTGTTTCCCTTGAATTTTATATTTTCAGTATTGTTGCTCACTCAAATATATTTTGATATCTGCAGACCCAAGATTAAGGATGACTTTGGTTGATGTTGCTGAAGATAAATGGATAATTGGAGATGATGGACCAATTCCTGAGTACCTTTGTTGGTGCAAAAGGAAGAGCATGGGGATTGAAGACCATGATGGGAACAATACCAACTAAAACTATTTTTAGCTTGCAATTATAGATTTGCATTTATGTACAGTTGAAGAGTCCCGATTTATTGATCTCTGTTACACTCTGGTATTTTATGATTTTATAGAGACAGTCTTGAAAGAATTTTAAAAAATGTGCCCCATATAAGAAAATTGTTTTTTTGTGGAAGAATTTGATGTCCAGGTAGAAATTTACGAATGATTAGTTCTGAATTTAGTGTCATGTGGAAAGGCGAAATGGAAATTTTATCACATATGAATGTCAGAAACTGTTTTTACATAAATGGGTAAAAAAGACTTAATTTTACGTAATAGGACAGAAATTAAAAAAATACGGAAATGGGTAAACTGTTTGAAAACACGATTTCAGAATAAAGGTGAAAGTAAAAACTGTATTATGTTATGTAGTATAATTTTAGTTCTAGTTTTTTTTTAATCATAGCATGAATTTTAATTTTTATATATTAAAATAATGTTATTTAGCATATGTTTAGTATAATTTTAAAAAATGATTATTTGATTTTTTTAAATATATTATTTATAATTAGTATTTTTTGTTATAAAATTCTTGATAAAAATTATTTGTTATATTAAATAAGTCTTTTTTATATGTATTGTAATTAGAATAAATGGATGTTTTTTATATTTAATTTTAATTTAATTATTAATTTAAAAATACAAATTCTTTTTAAGGTTAATAATTGCTTTTCTAAGAAAAGTTTTTTTGTCTAAGTGAATATGAGAATGGCACCTTACAAGCAAATTTATGCGTAAAGAACAAAAAAATGTGTAAATTGATTAAATAATAATAAGATTTCGTTTAATTCTTTTGCGTAAGTGGATGTTATCCCTTTTAAAATGATATTCCTACAGATTACATTGCCATAAGAAATTAATATTTTACTCATTTACAATTTAATCCTTTATTTATTTATTTATTTTTCTTTTAACAAATTACATGTCCTTGACATAAAATTTGAAATCAGAGAATAAAGAAGCTTCACTGACATAATAAAAGTCAGGGTCACATCAACTTTGGAAGAGACAAAGTTTGTGTCCGTTCATGAAAAAATAATGAATCATAGACATACTGAAAACATCCATACATCAACAACAGAAGAACTTTTGAGAAGAACCAAGAAATGTTTTTTTATCAACTTTTCAGTTCATTGGTTGTTGTTGGCTGCAAGGATGATGTATATTAACTTTTTAAGTCCTTTGCCAGAAGTTATCATATATTGGCTAATGTCAAAACCATATATTCATAATAATTATAGTAGTATTAATTCTAATTCATACTAATCATAATTCTAAATAGTTAGGAAACAAATCAGGATAGGATTAAGAAATCTGGTCATTTATCCTAAGATAAATAAAAAATAGAGAAACAAATCACAAAACTGTTTTTCATGTGTGCCAAAACTTGATTTACTACAAAATAGAACTGTGGTTTATGCTTACTTCTAGCGTTTTTTATATTCATTTATTTTTTATGTTCTATTATATAAGATATACTATAAATAGTTAGTTTTTGAATATTTTATACTACATGATTTGTTTTTATCACTATAAATTTATAATATTTTTTTTATTACGCTTGAAGATATTAATATTGATATATAATTATTATTTTTATATTAAATCGGACCGATTAGTTTAATTATTAAGTAAAAATTTAGATTAGAAATCGATCTATTAATTGAATTTTAATTAAATTGAGACAAAATCGATAAAAAAAATTGATTGAATATTTTGGTGGAACGAATGTTAGTAAAACAAAAATATTTAAGATCAAATTTTTTAATATAATTTTTTTAAGAGAAATAACATATATTTTAATTTTTTTATCTTATTAGTTACATCACATTTAAATAATAGTTATTTTATTATATATTTTATTTTATTTTAATAATTATTAATTTTTATTTTTTAATATATTTTATTTTTATAATTTTTATTGTATCTTAATTATAATAATAATTTTTATTATTATTTTTTATATAGAAAATATTATTATTAATAAATTTATTATATTATAAAAATATTATTTTATTAAATCCAATTCAAACTTAATTAAACTTTTGAGTTCGTGTCTTCCCACCGATTTAATTATTGATCTTATTTTAAAATAATCATTATACTTATTAACATAATGAACCGATTTAATTATTGATCTGATTTTAAAAACAATCATTATATTTATTAACATAATGAACGTATATAGTTACCATTTTTACTTTATATTAAATTTGTTTAAAAATATTCTAAAGCATAGTCTAAGATGAGTAATAAAATATATAACATAAAAAAATAAAATTGAAAGTAAAATATATATATAAAGAGTGATTAGTTTATAAATAAAAAATTACAAAAAATTCAAAGTCAATTATTGTCATTTTATATTTTTCAGTCCTGTAATTGATAATTTTACCAAACACTTATGATGTTAGAAATCACCTTAACAACTTTCAATTATCATCTACCAATTTTCAGCTTTGAATGAATTTAAGCTATCTTCATTAAAAAAAAAAAAGGCATTTTCATTCCCTAAATAAACCCAGTAACTGGTCACATTTTTTCTATTCTCAAAGTTAATGCATAAAACTTATTGTGACAAAACTATTATATACTAAGGAAAGATAGTTCTACAATAAAAGTAGATCACTTAAGGAAAAATGGATCCTGTTTATCACGCGGACAATCCAATATAACTAATATTTTTGGTCTGTCTCGAAAGCTAACACTGTTAGCCAGCACTGAGATTTTATAATTTTATCGAGTGGAGCTGCAAGTAAGAAAGCTTACTACATTCAAATGAAGTAGTCACGACTAACTATATAATACACATTCCTTTGAATTATCAAGATAAAACATTCATAATTGTTGGATAATTTGAGTGTGATTATAAGTCTCACATTATGTAAGAATGAAAAAGTTGAGCAATATATAAAGAAGTATAACTCATAACCTAATACCTTAAGATTTTTTGTTAAAAGTGGTGTCAATCCCTTATGTAGGTTAGACTTAAGTCTTATTGATATTGTATCTCCCTTGAAAGACCTAACAAGTGGTATCAGAACCGAAGATTGATCGACAGTTAGTCGGAGTGGTTTTTGTATCGAAAATCTTTCAGCCAGTGTGTCAAGTAAGCATGTCCCGTTAGGGTGAACGACGGTACTAGAAGTATTACTAATGAGTTTAAAAATAATGTTAATATTTTATGTGAGTTGAGTTTAGATCTCATTGATGTTCTCCCTAGTAAATCTGCATCAAAAGATCCAACAATAGTGATGTTGTGATCTAAATTTGTGTTTAGTGTGAAATCAAACTTCCCAGTACAAAGTTTAGGGATAAAGAAAAAAATATTTATGTAAAACATATTTTTAGTCCTACAAATGTAGAAAATTTGTTTTCAGTCCACATTATAAAAAAAATTGACTTTTGGTTCAAAATGCTTTAAAAAAAGGTTAACTTTGCTTCATCCTTAATTCCATTGATATAGTTAGCCACATAGAACCAAAAGTCAAACATTTTTAAAAGGAGTGACTAGAAAAAGAATTTTTCCATATTTATAGGAACCAAAGAGATGTTTATTTAACCTAAAAATATTTTACCTATACATAATTTGGTTCAAATATTGTTTTGACCGACTCAAAAACATCTTCAACAGGCCTTGCAACATGAATCTAAATGGAAAAAGAAAATAGTCTTAGTACAAGAAGCAATTAAGAACCTTAGCGAAGTGATGGTGGCACCAAAAAGTAAAAATTACCTTGCACACTTTTCCCTTAACATCATAATAAGCAAGCACAGGAAGACTAGATTCCAAAAAAACCTTAAATCTCTTCCTAATTGATGCTATATTGTCATCTTTTCTTCCCTTAATATCCATAAAAGGTATTAATTGCTGAAAGCATACGAACGAATAAATTGTGTTTATCAGGATTAAAAGTTAACCTGGTTTCTACAAAGAAGACGCTTCTCCATCTCTTCCTCAGGGCAATCAAAAAACAAGATGAATACTGGCTCTATCCCAGTCTGTGATGACATCTTGGAAAACAGAAAATACAATCATCTATTATAAAAGAAAAAAAAAAAAGAGAGTAAACAATTCTTTTTATTGAAAATGGAAAATACCTCATTCTCAAATGCTGCACGGTTTTCCTCGTTATGAGGGAAACCATCAATAAGAAATTTGTCATTGCCACTTTGCTTCATTGCTCGTTGCAGAAGCGTCATTGTTACTTCTGAGGGAACAATTTGTCCTTCTTTAGTCATGTTTTCAATCATTGTACTGTCAAATATGAAAGTGTATTAACAAGATTATCCCGACAGATTTGAACAATTTTAAACCCAATCAAGATAGTCGACTGACAACAAGAGTTGGAGTTCATAAGGAATATAGAAAAACCAGTATGAGAAAATATATACAATTTCGAGTGAAATAAATTAAAATTTTGAACGCATGGTCAAAAGAAAACACTGGACAGAATTGGGTAACATGGGCGGGAGAAAATGATCCAGAATCAGTTTTATGGGATTAATCTGTCGCATGTTCATATTTAGTATGTGCAAGAGCAAGCTGAGGAACATTCGTTTGATATCATACACACAATTTCACACAACCTAGGGAAAATTTGATAGAACATAAGGTTAAAGGAAAGGAAGATCGATTATTTTGATTTAGAAGGAAAGCGTAAAGTAAAACCTCTGCCTCCACAGTGATCAAATTTGAGACTAGGGCTAAGAATTTAGATGCTATATGGGAATCAACATCAAATGACACCACACCACTCAAGAAGAAACTTTAAGTAGACAAACAATGAGATCTTCCATGGAAAGTTAGATACAAAAACAACTCTAGGTTTTCCTCTACACTGCTTACATTTGCACCCTCAAATGAATTCCAGTTTCTAAATTGGTATCCAAGCTCCTTTCTCAGAAATTTTTTAAAATTCCTATAGTGAATTCTAGTTCCTATCGACTACACTTCCACAGCTTTCCCAACTACCAAATCTAAATGCATAAATGCTAGAAGAAAGTTTGGCCGATAAAACAACCACAAATACCTGGTTTGAAGCAATCCGAAACACAAGTAAAAAATACAAATTATTATCTTTTCTAATTTTTTTTAGTTTATTTTTTAATTCAAAATTTAAATTAAAAAATTAAAACAAGTCAAAATTAGATTACTTGTTATATTTAAATATAATATTATATATTTATAATTAATTAAAAATTAAAAAAATATGCATAAATATGTTTCTTGAAAATTATTTACAATTTAATTATATTTTTATTTATAACTTATTGATATTTATCAAATTATGATGATAAAATTTTATTATAATATCATATGATTATTTATAAATATAATAACATTTTAATTAAAAATTTAACCATAATCATAAATTTTTTTATAGAATAAAATATTTTTTATTATAAAATATTTATCAATTCTTTTTATAAAATGGAGTCTGCAATTTTTTTAAGAAAAATTATAAAATCAATTCAAACAAATAGTAAAATATGATTTGAGTTAATTCAAATTTTATATTAGAGTAAATTAAATAAAAATTTTAATATGATTGATTTGGATTATTAGTTAATAAAAATAAAGTAAATCAAGTCAAAAAACATTAATTATATTACAAAAATATTTTAACACTATAAAGATATTTAAATTAATTTATTTCAAATTTAAAACTAAATTTTGAAACTAATAATGATCCTAAACTAAAACCTAAGTTTAAAAAATATTAAAAACTATTTGCAGTTAAAAAAAAAAACTTACACTAAAACGAATCTCCAACAACGGTTACCAGACAGACACGTCCTAACATAGATGATGGGCCGATCCACTTTAGGCCACCGGCCCAATAGATATATGTCTTACGAAGACGCAGGTAGTTGCAAGAAAACACAAGCAGTTATCACGGAAGACACAGTGCAGTGTGGTAGTGGACAATGGGCGACACCCATCTCTCTCCCTCTGAAAACCTAGACTCAACCAACGGTCATGATTCTACCGAGGAGAAGCAAAACCTTGCACAAGACTCTCAAATCAATCAAGAAAACGATGACGTCGTTCCGACCAACAAACGGAAGAGGGACGACGACGGCGAGGAACGTTCGCTTCATCCGCTGTGGAAGACCAGTCTCTGCTCTTTCTACCGAAGTCACAACAACTCATGCAACCACGGCGACACGTGCCGCTACGCGCACGGCGAAGAGGAGCTCCGCCCTCGTCCCGATAACACGTGGGACCCGACCTCCGAGCGAGCAAAGAAGGCATTGAAGACCGAGACTGGCGAAAATTGCGCCGCCTCGGAGGACGTCATGATGACGGAGGCTGTCATCGACGGCGAAGACGACGACGTTTGCGGCTCCAATCACGTGCTTAGCAAATGCCTGGTGCATTTGCCGCGTAAATGGAGTTCCGAGAATTTGAGGAATTTTCTCAACGAGCAGGCAAGCCTGTACATTTTTTTTTTTCAATGCACTTAAGTTGTCATTTTGAATTTGATCATTATGTTTTTCCCTTTTGCAGGGTATAGCTTTTAAGCATGCTAAGAAAAAGAAAGGTATGATGATTGGTTTTATTACATTTGAGGATGAAGAACAATTGAAGAGTTCTTCACAGGTATTTTCTTATGACTAATGATCCATTTACGTCGTGTTTTCACTGAAATTTGGCAATTGATTGTTTATAATTATCAATTTAATAGGATTTAGAAGGAAAAACAATTGGCAACAAAACCGTAAAGGTTGCTGATGTCATTCCTCGGTCATTTGAAAAGAGTAATAACTCCAATGTTGTTTCCCATCAAGAATTCGATGAGGGGGTTGATGCGCCTTCGAGTGGAACTTTGGATGCCGAAACAAACGATGTTAAGTTGGCTGTTGATGGTTCTGTGTCTAAGACAAGAAACTTGCGTAATGTAGTGACACCTCTCGCTCACATGGCCTATGCTGATCAGTTGGAGCAGAAAAAAACCTCTCTCATGCAGATTCTGAAAAAACTTGTTAGCCCTGATCATTTCTAATTGATAATGTAGTTTTGTCTATTACACAAGTTTCTTTTATAAAGAAAATTGATTTTTTTTTCCGACAGACTAGAAATGCTCGCAAAGCTTGTCCAAATGGCGTTTCTCTTCCTGAGTGGATTGTCAAATCTAGGGAAATAGGTAGTGTGCTCTTTTATATCGGCAAGTTCCTTCAACACTTTAAGAACAGTTTTACTTCTAGTTCTGAGTTTTAGCGGTGAATGAAGGTGTTATCTTGGAAATAACTGATACAGTTGTCTTCATGATTTAGTGTACCTTGTATGTTTTCTTCTTGAGAGCTGGTTTACTAGAAAACGTATAAGAATTTTAATGGCTTATGCCGTTCTTTCACTATTTGTTTTTCACACTTCTGTAGGTGGCCTTCCGTGCAAACTAGAAGGTATTATTGCATCTCCAATTGTAAATGGGTACCGTAACAAGTGCGAATTCTCTGTTGGATATTCTCTACAAGGCAATGTGACTGTAGGTTTCATGCTCGGAAACTTCAGGTAATCTGCATCTTCTCTGTTTCTAGAATGCATTTCTTTTTAGTTGTTAGTTGTATACTGAAATATTATTGCAGGGAAGGTGTAACAGCAGTTGAGGAAGCAGTTGACTGTCCAAATGTTTCAACGATCTCATGCAAATATGCTACAATCTTTCAGGAATTTCTGCAGCACAGTGATTTACCAGTTTGGAACAGATTTAAAAATACTGGATTTTGGCGTCAATTTACAGTATAATTTTCGTGGAGGACTTCGTGTTGAAAATTTATTATTTATTTTTCATACCCTTTTTAAGCAATTTTTTTCATGTTTCTATTGCAAGGTCCGAGAAGGGAGAACAAATGGGAATACTGTTGATGCTAAAACTTTTGGTGGCATTGCAGAGGTCATGCTTGTTGTGCAGGTAGATTTTTATTTTTTTATTTTTCTTGGTAAATGTGCAAGTTAAAAAATGGTGTTGGTAACATCCTTTAGGATGGATAGAGGACATGGTTTATTTGTCTGTAATCTCTAAGGGTCAATGTGATTGTGGACATTTAGATTGCATTGACTTGCAAGCCAAATTAATCTGTCATAGAAACATTGTAAACTTGTGGTATGATTTATCGAGGGAGAAAATATTCCTGATTAGTTGGCAATGATTTGTGTACCTCCTTTGTTTTTAAATTTTGTTAATCACTCCTTACCTTTGGTCTTGATTATAGGTTTCTACTGCAAACTTTGATAATGCACAAGTAGCTGTTGAATTTAAGAGGCTTGCTCAGGCAGTTGTTGCTGGAGCTACTTCGCATTGTCCACCATTACCCCTCACCGCTCTGTTTGTTCAGGTAGCAGCAGTCCTTATGCATGTGCATATCTATGTAAATATAAATTGGAAGGATAACTGATGTTTCTGTTCTAGTGTTTTCTAGATAATAGCTGTATTATTTTCCTCTCCCAGCGTCAGTACGTAGGTTAGGTTCCTTTAAAAATATCTGTAACATTCCCAATTATATAAAAAATCTTCATTTTGCTTTATGTATCAATCTATCAAATTTAATATATATAATTTAATTTTCTGAAAACAATTTCTGATATGGTAGTTGTTTCACATGTAGGATCACCAAGGAATATCCAATGTGGCACCTGCTGATGCACCACTGCATTCGCTTCCACTTCCTAAAGCAAGTGCGGATCCTGACTTGGATGAAAACAATAATACCATGGATGTAAGGATCCATGATTATATCAACAATCTCCGGTTCTCTATATCTCCAACAGCATTTTTTCAGGTTTGAATCACTATAAGCTTTATGGACTATTTTCAAGGGCATTCTTTCCCTTGTGTATTGGAGTTTTGAATCTACATCTACTGTAGGTTAACACCCTTGCTGCTGAGAAGTTGTACTCGCTTGCTGGAGATTGGGCATGCTTAGATCGTGATACATTACTATTTGATATATGCTGTGGGACAGGAACAATTGGCCTGACATTAGCACATCGAGTTGGTATGGTAATAATCATCATCTAAGTTCCTTTTATTTTCTGGTGTGCAGTTCTTTTATCTGGGGCATTGACTGTTCAATGTGTCTCATTGGAAAATGATAATATATCATCTTGATGATTACTCTTGTAGAGGTTTAATGAACTTCTCAGACTGAAACCTTATTTCCTCTATCAATTAAGAGTTTATTTTTCAAAATACCTAACCTGTAAAAAATTGGTTGAGCCATGTTTGTCTTGTTTTCTCCAGGTGATTGGAATTGAAATGAACGCTTCTGCGGTATCTGATGCCCATATGAATGCTGAGATTAATGGCATAAAAAACATTAGATTTATATGTTCAAAGGTGAGATCATTCTATATTATTGTAGGATTATTAATTGCTGCTGCCTAGAAAGATTGGATTACCGGAATTTAGTTGATGTCACAAATGTTTGGCACTACAAATTTTATCTCATGGAAATATTTTCTTATCAATTTACTTGCTGACTTTTGACATCGCACTTTTATGTGCTCTCATACGATGCAACAGGCAGAGGACGTGATGGGATCCTTGTTAAGGGAATACTTAAATGTTACGAAGGAACAAAATGATCCTAATACCTCTAGAAGGGGCAATGACATTCCTGATGATAGTGCCTGCCCAGAGCCTAAAAATGGTGAAATGGCATCTCACGTTCCAGAAAATAGCAATGCAGAAGTTGCAGGTGAGGTTCAGAAGGGTAGAACTTCTGAACAAGTTGATGGGATATCTGAACAGGCGGAGAACGTGACAGGATCTCAGTTAAGGAATTGTTTAAATGTGCCTAAGGAACAAAGTGATGATCCAAATGATTGTGGAAGTGGCAATGACATACCTGGGGATGGTACCTGCCCAGCGCCTGAAACCAGAGAAATGACATCTTGTTCAGAAAATAGCAATACAGAAGTTGGAAGTGAGGTTCAGAAGGGCAATTCTGTTGAAAATGGGAACACTTCCATGCAACAGTTCAGAAATGTTGTTGCCATTGTCGATCCTCCACGTGCTGGGCTTCATCCAACTGTGAGAACTGAGAACCATATACTCTATGAAAACGATTTCAACTGTAACTAATATAACATAGGGTCCAAAGCATTTTATAAGTGTTTATGACTAAGTTTATCCGCATAGGTCAAGTTAACGTAAGCACAGCTGAAATTAGGGTAATGTGGTGGTCCCCTATATACACATTTCCCATTCCCCCGATTTGGTGCTAAAAGATTTTCCTCTCTAGAACCAAAAATAAATAAATGAATAAATCCGGTTCACGTTTGCTTAACATTTTGACTATGTATTTTTTTTATTCCACACGTCATTATTTATTGGAATGTTTTTCTTATTCAATTTGATTGCAGAATCCAGTAGAGTATATGGTGGTCCTCTTGCTGTTGATTTTTTTAATGTTGTTTAAAAAAAAATTCTGACTTCTGAATCATGTAATCGCAGGTGATCAAGGCTTTGAGAACTCATCCACGCTTGCGGAGGCTTGTGTTAGTTATTCTGAACTATTATTGTATACTCTTAAAGGTTATTTCTATTTTTTATGCACTCTATCTAATTTTGCGCGTTTAAATGCAGTTATATATCCTGCAATCCTGAAAGTCTGGTGGCAAATGCTATTGAGCTTTGTACGCCATCTCCCATAAAAATTGAGAAAGGAAATAAAGACAACAGAGGATGGAGAAACATGAGCAGTGCTGGTCTAGCACGCCACAGGGCCAAGTCTATGCCCATCTCAGAGGCCTTCCATCCCGTAAAGGCTATGGCTGTTGATCTTTTTCCACATACTCAACACTGTGAATTGGTTATGCTTCTTGAGAGGTAGATCATAGGTGACCAGACCTGATGTCTCGGTTATACATGCTAGGCCATTTTAATTGCATGTCATGAAGCATTATCATCGACTTGTCTTTTTCTTGTGGGCATTCTTTTTAGTTTCATTGTGGTACCTGGTTGTCAGAAATTATCCCATGCTCTTATAGCAGCACTGAACAGTAACACTCCAAGATCTCCGATTCTCATTCATTTTGAACTCACTCTTTGGTAATTCTAGAATGAAAAAATTATGGATTAAATTAAAGAATACCTGTTTTGGCATGGTCGGAGGAGGTTATGATGATATATGGTCTTAGGCTAGACTGATTTATAGATATACCTATTTCATGAAATAATAATTATTCTTTAAATAAAAATAAAAATAATATTTTATAATATATATATATATATATATATATATATTATAAATTAATTTGATAAAAAATTAATTTATTTTAAAAGTAAATATCGGAGAAAGTTATTTGAAGATAGTTTAGATGGATTATTATTTTAAATTAAAAAATTATTAAAATGTGAATAAATAATTTTCATGAGGAATATATTGCGTAACGAGCCAACAAACGAAAGAATATTTATTTTCGTCTTCCATATTTCAAAAAAAGAAAAACAGTAAAAGAAGCACCAACCAGGGGGAAAAGAATGTAAATGATTTGTGGAGGATGAGTGAGGCCATGTACCTAATTAGTCCAGTTGCAATCAGTGTCAAACATTTACTTTTTGTCTTGGAAGTTCCCTTTGCCAAACTTAACTGAACTTGTATTGACTATTTTAATTGAGATATTTGGTTTACACGTTACACACCAAATGCTTTAATTATTTTTTTCTCACTGTTACTGTTAACTTCAAGTCGGCAGGATCTGTTTAGTGGTGTCACTATCGATTTAGTCTCCTCGTCAACAAAATACAATATTAAACGTTTTAGTGCGTTTTTGCTTTCGCTATGATATTTACACTCTATATTTTATCACTATATATTTTTATTTTGTGCTCAAATCATTTTTCCATTGAATACAAATTATACCAAATTTAATTTATTTTTAGAATAAATACATGAAAATATAATCACGTGCCAAATCAATTTTATGAAATTCATTTATTCCAAAATTATTTATACCAATGTTTACCCAAACACGTGCAGTGTCTGAGTCTTCACTATTTTTGAAAATAAAATGTCCTTTGAAGCTATCTTACAAAGTTATAAAAGCATACTATTGATAAATCAATATTTATTGATTCATTAATTTAAACACGTTAAATTTAAAAAATGGTATTAAAAATTATTCTATTTAAGAAAGGTTTTCTAAAGAAGAAAAAGAAGACAGGAATAAATTGCCTTTTATGAGTTTATTAGTTAATATAACTCTTACGTGTTATGGATGTCAAGCATTTCATAACCAATGTTTTTAAAACTTGAAAACTTTCAGATTTTAAGTTGAATTCAACTATATTAATAAAATAATATTTTATAATCATATTACTATTCATATTTTTTTTTCTAAAAACTAAAAATAATAAAAGTTAATATCACATTGTAATAAAAATTAAAAATATAAAATATATTAAAGAATTCAATATGAATAATTGTTAAAATAAAATGAAAATATAATAAATTATTATTATTATTATTTAATATTGATATAATTAATATCATAAAAAAATATAAAATTAAAATATATTATATTTTTTATAAAAAGATTATATTAAAAAGTTTTTATGGTAATTTTTTTATCAATTTAATTTAAAAATTGAGTCAATTTTATCAATTTTATTTCGATTTAATTAAAATAAAGCTGTTCAAAAATAATAAATTAATTTATGGTCGGGTTCTAGATACAATCGGTTCCGTCCTATTTTTAAAATAGTGTTTCACGTACTTATTTTTTAAATAAAGTGAATAATTTGTTAATTAAATTATTTAATTATTTAGTTAATGAGAAAAATGTAGATTAGCTTAATTTTACCATCATCTAATCAAATAATTATATATATATTAGCCTTTGATAATACCTTAAAAAAATACCAAATTCAATTTCTAATGGTTAATTAACAATATACAATAGTTGTTTTACATTCACTGTTGGCATATCTATTCAACTTCTAGCTAATTAATTATTTAAATGTGGTTTTATTACTTCTAGTTTCCCTTTCAATAGCAGTGCCCTAAAAGTAAAGAATTTAATAAATAATATTTTTAAATCATAATAAAAATCACTTTCTAATACAACCTTTTTACTATTATTCTATTTTATTTTGCTTCCATCTCCATTACTAACAACTTCATCATTTGTTTACTCATACTTGTTAGTGCCATCATGTCTATCCAAACACATTACTGTTAAAATTTCTGTTTCATATTAAAATTTAAATATCATCTACTTTAATACCTTTTGTCCCCTTTTGCTGGAGTTAGAAAATAAAATTTATATTTTATTTTTGTTTTAATAAAAAGAATGTGACATAAAAAAATAGTTAACTCAATTCATATTTTTGAAAGTGTAAAATAAAATAATATTTAGTAAAAAAAAAATTTCTCTCGTAATTTGTTCTATTTGATTCGTCTCGTGACCTATAAAAATTGACTCATTAAGATGGACAACTATCTTACTATACCAGTGGACCTACTAGTTAAAACAAAATATACTTACTTTAATACCTTATATTGAATAAATAAAAAATTTATATATATATATATATATATATATGATAAATTATTATATTATAATTAGTAATTTAAATTATAATATTATTGTTTTTACCTTAAAATAATAAAAAAATTATCATATTTTTTTTATCGTAGTCTATTTTATTTTAATTTTACTGGATTAATATAATACGCCAAAAAGTTAAAAGGATCAATTAAATAAAAGTATCAATTCAACCGTCCAATTTAAAAGCGAAACAATGAGTAAATCTAATATATATTATTAGAACATCATCATCTGAACTAAATAAATTATACTTAATAATTATATAACTAGTTAATTTTAATTTATTTTATTTTTGAAAAAGTTCTATTTAAATAAATTAATGCATTTTTGTATTTTTTTTTCTCACAAGTTTTTCTTTCATGTCACCGTACAATCCAACATAGAATAAAATAATATAATCGGGAATCATCTTCTTTTGCATCACATACTGTAAACCACATATTTTGTAAATTCGTGTTGAAAAAATTCCCATGTTTTGCATGCACCATAAAAGAGAAAAAGTGGTAAAAATCTTTCAAGTCCCATAAACAAAGACTCAGAAGAAAAAAAAATCTATCTCAAGAACTCAATGATTCATATCAATGATGAATATAATTTACTTTTTTCAATAATATATTTTTAATTATACACAATTCTATCATAAAATATGATGAACAAATTTAAAAAATAAAATAAATTTTTTTAAATACATATATATATATATATATATATATATATATATATATATATATATATATATATATATATATATATATATATACCTCTTTTGTATTCCCACTTTACCTAACAAAAGCATCGTGAACGTAGCATACTATTTAAAAACTTGCAAGTTGTAATAAATGTAATAACTAACGACCCTTTTACTTCACACAAGTGGAAGAATCAAGGCATTTGGGAATGAATGCATTAATTAACGAAAGAACAATAATAAAAAAAAGAGCATTTATATGGCACCATGATTTCTCAACACTCATGGCTTTCATTTGATCACTGTCATGATTCATGAATATGAATTGATTGGGTGGCTAATCTTCTGACCCATCATCTTGCATGCCATCCACAAATTTAAGCTGACACGTCACATTTCAAGGACGCTAAAACTATCTACACTAATTATTATAGTAAACACGAACAAACAAAGTGAACATCAGCATATCAAGTTTTAAAAGTTGCTGGATTCGTGAACCTCAAATGTCACACATGAAATCTTATTCCTGTCTCTCTAAAATAATCATTGTGTTCGTTATGGTTTTGAAAAGGTTGCAGAAGGAAGAGGATGCTCTTGACTTGACATTTGAATTCTTTAAGACCACAATCTGGTGAGCATAATAAGCATCAATCTTGTAGCAAAAGCAAGTGTGGAACGTTTGCTCATTAAACTTGAATAATCATTAAGCTTTTTTTACCTTTTTTACATGAAATGCTTCTGTCAAGTCCCCTTGTTTCATACTTTAATTCAAACTATCTGAAAGCAAGGAAAGGAGAGAAAGGTGAAAAGGGTAATCTGTCTTTATAATGATGCATGGAGATAACCATTAAGAAGAAGCCACTCTCATCTTTACCCTACACTTGCACACATATCTATAAAATGAAGATGCAGGTAGAGAAGCGCTTGAATTTTAGTCTATTATTTTACAAACTACACAGAAATATCAACCAGCAACACAATAATATTGACCAGAAAAAAATCTATTTAAGGTTGATATAAGAATTTGTTTACACTTAAAAAAAAAAGGATGGATTCAAAGTACAATAACCTTTATTGGTATGTAAACATGTATATCACGTTAAAGAATGTCTAATCGTTAATAAAGAGTTGATTTTATGTTGAGATATTATGGAATAAATCCACAAGTGGGGTTGATACAGAACACTGCTTTTACTTTTTTCTTAAAGATCTGAAGTTGATTTTCTTTTCTTTTCCTGTATCTTCAGGTGGCACAGTCTACATTTTTCTTTTGGTATGCAAGAAAGGCAAGGACAAACTCAAAGCAAAGAAGCGGGGTCTTTTTGAATCAATGAAGAAGATGATATGAACATGCAAAAGTGTCCTACCTTAACCATTGTGCACATTCTTTGGTGGCTTAACACTGGCCATGTAAATCATAATTATGTATCCTGTGAAAGCACCTACACACAAATTTTGTCCCCCCTCATCATTTCCTATTTCGTTTCTTCCCAGCATCATAACATTTAATGTACAAGAAAATTACTGTAGTTTAAGTTAGTTATTTGATCATTTATTGAGTTTTCTTATTAGTTAATAATTCAGTAATTAATAATTATTTATTTTGTTGGAATATTAATGTAGATCTAACTAATTTTGCGTTTATGTTTTTTTTTATTATAAATATAGTATTTATGTCATATTATAATAATGATGCAAAAGTAATAAATCTAAATTATTTTTATTCTTACTAACCGTAACGGATCTTGACCATTGATCTTGGAAGGGCCAAATAATATATTATTAATAAATAAATATAAAAGGAAGTAAGAAGATGAAATGGTGAAAAGATAAAATTAATATATACTTAAATATATTAAATGATCATTAAGTTTGAGGGGGACAAAATCATAAATTATATGAGAATTACAAAACTGAGGAGGGACTGAGATGATAAAATTGTAAATATACAAGTAAATATATTAAATGTTCATTAAGTTTGGGAGGGGCCAAAATCATAAATTATATGGAAGTTACAAAACTTTGGAGGAGGGGGGGTCACAGCCCCACTAAGCTTGCCACTGATTATGAACGCTTATCTCAATATCATTTCTTTCTCTTTCTATTATTTGTCTAGGACTTCTTTCAATTCAAGATATGAAAAAACTATTGGAGATAATAGGAAATTGATTGTAAGGTAACATGTCAATACTAGATAGTAAGAATTTGAATAATTATGATAGTTGGTATGTGACGATGAAGATAATATTTAGATTTCACAAAATCTTAGATATTGCTCTGACTGGATGTGATGAGTACCGGAAAATTCCATCTATGTTTCGTCATGCAAATGAATGTGATTATAAAACCTAGTTTTACATTCATCGATGTGTTGATGAAAGTAATTTGTAGAAGATTTCATTGGTGAGTATGATGAAAGAAACTTGGGATACAATTGCGTAGAGTTGCCCATAAGTAGAAAGGTTGAAGATGGTGCAACTTCAGATCTCACGTCACCAATATGAGTTATTGCAAATAAAAACTCAAGAAACCATTCAATAATATTTTATAAGATTAATATCTTTCACAAACTTGAAGTGTATTAAACTTTTAAAAGAATGAGCGATAGTCAAGAAGGTGTTAAAGACTCTCTATTCAAGATTCAATATGATTTCTGTTGCAATGGAAGAATCTAAGAATTTGGATGTATTGAAGTTGAAGAATTATAGGAGTTGTTGGAGACTCGTGAATAACATTTGCGTGAAAGAGTAAGTGATAAATCTAGTTCAAAATAAGCCTTATTGGGTAAGCAAAATCAGAATAATGATGGTGATCGAGACAAATTCAACAAGAGAGGTCGTAGAAGAGATTTCAGAAGTAGAAATAATGGAGGTGGAGGTTCAGAAAATTCAGGAAAATGAAGACAACATAAGAGTTCCTCACAATCGAGAGGTGATAGAAGTGGAAATTCATAATGGATAAGTGATCGATCTAGCTCTGGAGGTGATAAAAGCAATATGCAGTGATTGCAACACATATGGTCATTATATAGTTGATTATTAGAGTAAAAGTTCAGACGAAGAAGTGAATATGGTGCAAAAGGAAAATTTTGAGGATGAAGTTTTGTTAATGATGACCATAACAAAACTAGAGAAAATATATAGAGAATCTTGATATTTTGATACGTGTTGTTCAAATCATATATCATTTCAAAATAATTGGTTTATCAAATTGGATGAAGAGAATAAAATTAAGGTGAAGTTTGCAAATAATTCTACAATAAATTGTGAAGGGAAAGGAAAAATTTTGATTACAAGAAGAGATATGAAATTTGTAATAACTTCATATGTGCTTTATGTTCGAGCAATGAAGCACAATCTATTGAGTATCGGTTAAATTTTACGAAGAGGGAATTTAATCGATTGAAGATTAAAGGAGCAAATGTTGAAAATTCTCAATAAAAATAGAACATTGATTCTGAAGGCTTCTTTGACTAACATCAGGACCTTAAGAGTTGATATTTCAATATCGGATCATATGTGTTTTGCAGCTACAATTTTTAATGTAAACTGGTTACGACATTTGAGATATGGTCACCTAAATTTCGATAGTATGAGTTAACTAACAGAGAAGAAGATGATGATACGTTTACATCATATTCAAAAGAGTGAAGTTATTTGTGAAAGTTGCATGATTGGAAAATAAGGTAAAAATCTCTTCAAGGTGTATATTGAAAGCAAGAACAAAGGAGTGTTAGAAGTAATTTATACCGATGTGTGTGGATCTTTCAACGTATTTTCACTTGGTGAAAACATTTTGTTATTTTATCGATAATTTCAATTAAAAAAATATGGCTATAGTTGCTTGAGATAAAATAAGATTTTTTAATTATTTTATTGAATTGAAAAAGTTGATCAAAACGCAAAGTGACAAAGTTATTGAAATTTTGACATCAGACGGTGGTAATAAGTATAATAATGATAAATTTGCATTATTCTACAGAAGAAGGATATTCTACATGAAATTGTATCCTCATATACACCACAACACAACAATGTTGTTGAAAGAAGAAATCAAACAGTTCTTAACATGGTCAGAAATATGTTGAAGAGCAAATGTTTATCACTTTTTTTTAAGCGATTGCTACTCAACTTATATTTTGAATTGATGTCCAACTAAGAGAGTTAAGAAGAAGACATCGAAAAAAGTTTGATTAGGGAAAAAACCTAATGGCAAGCATTTGAAGATGTTTGGTTTGATTTGTTGGAGACATGTTCCCGATAAAGAAGAAAAAAGCTCGATAACAAACAATAGGAGTTTATAAGTTGTATGATCTAATCATAAAAAAGATTATCATCAGGAGAGATATTATAGTCAATGAGAAAACTAACTGGAATTGAAATTCAATGAAGAAAAATAAAAATATCAATTTCGATGTTTCCTATGATAATGAAGAAATCAAAGAAAAAAGAAATCGATCAATTCAAGAAATTGATCAACAAGGAGTGATATAAGGAAGAAATTAACTAATAAGAATAATAAAATCACTCGCAAGACTCGATCATTACATAATAAATATTGATTATATAATTACAACATCAAACAAATTATTAGAGAAACTGAAAATGAAAACTATCTAATTTATTTATATCTACGTACTAAAATCGAAGAAACATAAGTTAATAATTGACAACAAAATTACATTGATGTAGAATTTAATATATATATATATATATATATATATATATATATAAATTGTTAAAACAGGAGTTATATTAATTAATAATTTAACAATGATTATTGTATTATAATATTAGTCTAGATCCAACTAACTTTCTATTTACGTTTTCTTATATATAATTCATAATAACGTGCTAATAAACTTGGATTATTTTTATTCTCTAGAACCCCTGTTATCATTTTCTCTTTTGATTCTCTATGAGGAGCTTTTCCGCTAACATCCTTAATATTATACTATTGTCAAACAACACACAATATTTTCATCATACCTACTAGTCAGAAGAAACTAAATCTCACAATATTTGGTTGAATAGAAAATGAACAGGTGAATGATCCTGCAAACAGGAACAAATATCTGCGTCAGTTACCTTCCTTTTGCAGCACCACTAATCACATCCATGAAAGTTCCTTTTAAAAGTAAGTATATCTTTTAGGGGTTAGAGGAAATATAGTTTACTATAAATACTTTTCACACACTAAACTAATAATAGATTAGCACGTTATTAGTTTAATTAAATAAAATATTTATACTTGCATACATATTTATATTATTTCATAATGTAAATGACGTGTTAATTTGTAATTAAGGTGCATTTTAAGTATTATGTTAAAAAATGGTAATATATTTTTCTCACAAGTTTTTTATTATGTCAAGTCTATTAAACGTGTAAAAACAAAATTTTTAACCACTAAAGCAGTTCATCATCTTAAAACACATACCCTTTGTGCAACTAAAACAAAAATTTTCATACAACTAAAAGTATATTTATTTTAAGAAATAAGTCTATTTGAAGTTAAATTAGGGAGGGAGGGAGGGAGTAATGAATGCATCCTTTATTTTTTTGAAGTTAAATTGGGTTTAAATGATATTCAATGATATTCATCAGGGGAAGTTGGGAGTCAGAGCTAGGTGTGAATGTGATTGGGGGTATTTCTTTTCTTCTCCTAACTTTCTCAGCACTCTTTTATTATTTAAAGTTCCTGTCTTGTGGGGAACTGAAACTTGGTTTTGCAAATAAGTGGACATAATAATACACTAACTTCTTTAATGTAAGTTATACTAGGTAAATTAATCTCATTATATTATTATTATATGATTTTTTTTTTGTATAGTAACATTATCTGCATATTTTTAACAGTGGTAAGAATAATTTACGAAGTGTGTGTGAGTGGCCGCTGATCATAGGGAAGGGTACCCCACTAAGAGTGCTGCCATAAATGTCAAAGCTGGTATCTGTGCTTAATCACACACACTTCCTCTTTTCTTTGTAACCCATATATTTTAGTTGTCTCTGTCACTCATCAATTCCATGCACCCAGCAGCAATAAGTAAGTGGTATGGGTATGTATAATTGGTGTCTCCAAAAACTGAATTTTATTTGCAATTTAGCTTGGTCTTGGAATTCCAATTTCTGGATTTGAATTCTTTTGCTACAGCAAAATGAGCACAGAGGAAAAGCCTGGGAATGAGGAACATGATGCTGATTCTTGCAGAAGAACAGTTTCTCTTCCAATTCAAAAGGTATCACCACTTTCGATTATTCGTCTTGCATCTTCTTTATCTTCAAGCTGGCGCATAGGGTCTGGTTTATTTCAAGGACTAATCACTAATTTAAACACTTGAACATGTGTTTCTTTTTTCCGTTTTCTTCTCTTTCTTAATAATATCATTTGTCGCTCCTTCTGTTAGTTTTGCTTTTGTTTGGTTGTTGTGTAAGACTGAGATTTCTAAATTTATTCTTTTGTTACAGTAGACATGTTATGAACACTGGAAAATGGCCAAGATTGCCTTTTTTTCATATTCTGTTTTGGTATTTCAATAATTAGGATAATTTTTTGGAGTAATATATATCAGATGCATATATTTTATAATACTCAGTGCTTGATTTGTCTGAATTTTCATAAACTGCATCCGCGGGATTTATTACTGTAATATCTTATTTCTTGGTGTGAATTTTATTCATTTTAGTAGTTAGTTAGCGTGTTTGTTCTAGTTTCTTATGTCTGTGCATGAAAACTGATTGCAGCAAGCGTCCAGCTACTTTTGTTTTTTTCTCCACGTACTTTGAATTAAGCTGTTGAATATGTCATGTAGTTTGCATCCAGACACCCATAGGACCAATTGGTTAGAAACTTGAATCTGCTGAGCAAAGCATCTATTATTTAATTTACTCCATTAATATATATATATATATATATATATATATATATATATATATATATATATATATATATATATATATATCACTGAATAATTTGGTCAGATTTTAGTAAGAGTTGAATTTCAGTGGGGGACTTCATATTACACAAATAATAAAATTGGGGCACGTGAATGGCTAATTCTGTGATACCATTCTGTTAGAAATCTGGGTTACTCTTTTGTTGATTTAGACTCTGTTTAGACGAGTTTCACCATAAGGATTTTTATGAAAGAAAAAAATTAAAATAATTTTTCACAAATTAAAATTAGTTTGTGCACAAGTTTAAAATAAAATTTGGAGAAGTTACATGAGAGAGTTTCTACAAATTAGTTTGTGCATAAGGCAATTTTAACTTATGAAGAAGTCAATTTCATTTTTTTCTTCTTACTTTTTCTTTCTTAGAAGTCCCCATAGAGAAATTTATACGAGGATTTCAACATTCAAACACTGCGTAACTGTTTATTATTTGAATGCACATTCAATGCATCACACTTTCATACTTCTGTAGCTAAACAGAACTAGTTTGAGTGCTAGTTTCTATTTTCATCACACACATTTATAATAAAAATTCAAGGGATAAATTCATTTAAAGATTTATATAACTTTCTGTTTTTGTTATATACATGGTCTATACTGCTATTAATCTGATCTCTGAAGATCTCTATCTGATTCTGTCATTAATATTGCTGATTCTGTCCTTAAACTGTATATTTAATTCATTTTTATACTTCATTTTATTCAAATCCTTAATATATGAGAACGTGTTTTTTGCTTTGCATTGCCTTTTTATTTCTAGCAAAATTTCATGTTTCAAAACTACAAAATTATATTTATAAGTGAGAGGTGAGTTAATGGAGTGGCGGGAAGGAGAAAGAATCTTCTTACCAAAAAGAAGATAATCTCAGTATCCCTGTTTCAAATATTCTAATTCTGTTGTAGTTTGATGGCTTTCAAGCTATGACTAGGAAAAGGGTTCAGTGACTAGTGAGATAGTTTATATGTATCCCAATGCCGCAGCACTTATTTTTTCAATTCCATATTTATTTGTAGGTTGATGATCCAATGGGGATAACTGAAGAAACCTCACATGTTCCTCCTAGGAAGCGACAGAATCTTCTCCTAGAAATACCCTCAAGAACAGAAGATAGTTCTCAAGATTTTGTTGCAATCAAAATGCCACCAACTCCAAGTTCCAATCCCACTCCTACTCCAAAGAGAGTGAATTTTCTTGTGAGTTCTCGCTCTGTTGATCCTCCTACACATAACTCTCCTGGACCTTCAACCTCAAGAGGCAAATCAACCATACGAAGCCTGCTTCCAAAACTGAGCTTCAGGTATCGAACAGCAGATATTGAAAAGGCAAATACTGCATCTCTAGAAGTTTCCTCTTCAGGCATTGGAGAAAAGCCTTCAATCTCAAGATCGTTGTCTCTTACTAAGATTTTTACTCCTAGGATTAAGAGAACGTCGTCATTACCATTTGATGAGATTAGACAATCAAACAATGAATCTTCTCATGGTGGATGTGTTGGTGGTCCTCAAAATGTGAGATTTAACAATGCTTTGAAGCTCCCTTTTTCTATAGTCATATCTTGTAGACATTGTTGCTAATCTTATGTTGTTCTATAACCTTTGTTTTAATCTATTAGTTCATTTTGCAGAAAAAAGAAGCCAAGCGGAAGATAGCTCGCTCTCTTTCAGTACCTGCCAACAACAAAGATAAAAGTTTAAGAAGGATGGATTCATTTTTTCGCATTGTTCCCTCCACTCCTCGAGCAAAGGAAGGAGATGAATTGTTAGACATGTCAACAAATGATACTGGTATCTGATTATAAACATTTGCATTTGCACTATTGGAAAATTGTAGAATTCTATGTCAAATTTGAATTTTCTGGATTGACACATTTATGATTTGCAGATCATTTGATGCATTGACAGTTAGGCAAAAATGTTTGTTTGCAGATTAGACTGCTTCCTTAAGGCAGATCAGAATACACTCTCCTAGTTTCAGATTTTTTTTTTTTCCTTTCTAATTTTTTTCTGTCGTTCTCTGGAGACATTGTGGTTTAATTTATAATTTTTGAACTCCTACTTCTTCATATCTTGCATGAAGTTAGTAAGTCATCTGAATTACTTTCATGGTGCAGAAAATGAAGATGCTAATGGTGAAGATATAGCCGAAGAAGAGGCTGTGTGTAGAATCTGTCTGGTTGATTTGTGTGAAGGAGGTGAGACCTTCAAGTTGGAATGCAGCTGCAAAGGTGAACTTGCTCTGGCTCACCAAGAATGCGCTATTAAATGGTTCACAATAAAGGGTAACAAGACCTGTGATGTGTGCAAGGAAGAGGTTCGGAACCTACCTGTCACTCTATTACGGATACAAAGTGTTCGAAATCGGAATAATGGTGCAAATAGGTCTCAGTTGGAAGATGCAAATGGATACAGGCATGTCCATTCACTTGTGTTTGATAAAAATCTTTCTGATTAATGAATTATGACAATATGCTTCAGTGAGAAACTAAGTGGATATCATATAATCTTAATAGATCTTGATAGAAACATGGTATCTTATTAGAAAATATAGGGAGGGACTCCCCAATTTATAGAACAGAAAACACACCCTGCAGATCTTTGAGGGTTTTGCACCTCAGTGAAGGCCTAATTTCCTTTCACATGAAATTGCCACCCTATTTCCCCTTTCTGTTATTTATAACACACTACCTCTTACTCTCTAGCTAACTTTGCCAGCTAACTATTATGGTCATCTAACAGATTCATACTTCAATAATCTTAAAACACCTTCCTGCCACTATGTTGTTTTTTAACTGAAGTTTTCCCTCGTTTCCACTGCTTCATGCATGTAATAATGGTTATCACACCATCTAAGATACAGATCAACTAGTTTACTGTCGTGCCTTGAAATTGAAGCAATGGACCCACATGCTACTTCAAGATTCAAATATAGTTTGTGATACAGACCATTTGTTGTGATACTTGTGAAAATCTGAGAGTTTTTCTTGATGTTCTGCGGCTACTACTTGCAGAATAGTGTGTTTTTGTTATATCTTTATTTATAAATTCTTTCACTGTGCATTATTAATTATTACTACATAGTCACACTTTTAATTTGTCTGCTCATTTTTATAGGGTATGGCAGGAAGTGCCAGTTCTTGTCATTGTCAGCATGCTTGCCTATTTCTGCTTTCTTGAGCAGCTATTGGTAAGAACATCAGCTCTCAAAATTCTGAATTTTTCAATTTTGTATAGGCTCAGTTATTCAACTCCTTTGCAGGTTGGAAAAATGGGAACTGGTGCAATTGCCATATCTCTTCCGTTTTCCTGTGTACTGGGTCTACTTTCCTCCATGACATCATCAACCATGGGTAGGTTTGCAAACATTGGTAAATATTGTCTAACATATCCTTCTCTGTTAATGAAACTAATAATTAGGGGAATTTTATAAAACTTAATTAAATAAGATTGGTGGTACCAACACATTGGAGTCAGAGTGGCAGTAGACACTTCATCCTTTATAGATCTACAATGGTGAATTAGTCAAAGTACAAACTCGTTGATTATCATTCTCTATTGAGTCTGGGTAGTATAAAATATGATGTGGGAATTTCTGTTATGACCCTGAATGATTCTTGGATTCTCAACATGTAATTTTTGTACTTTTTTTTTTATTCATAATGTTACCTTGTGTTCTTCTCTGCTAATTTCAATATTTTATGATGTGCTTGATTGGTTTGCCGATGTATGCGTCCTAACATCTTTGTTTTAAACTTTGGTGTCCAGTGAAGAGCAGGTTCATATGGATTTATGCTTCTGTCCAGTTTGCCCTAGTGGTTCTTTTTGCCCATATTTTTTACTCCGTGGTAATGAATACTTTCCTGAACTAAAATTCTTGTTACCTGTACATGTATTTTTCATCTGAAACCAAGTTTGGCAATATTTTTTGTGAAATAAATGATCAAATGAATAGAATAATAGGTTTTTATCACTAAAAGAAAAACGATAGTATCAGATGTGGTACAGATGTAATTATGCCTCTCAAAATTTTCATAGAACATGGGATTCTTGGGAGATGTAATGGAACAATAGATACCCAATCTGATTCCATCTAAGTTGGTTTATGCTTATCCTGATTCCAAAGTCCAGTCACCACATTTTGCTTGTGTAGGACCATAGCATCCTTGGTTTGGATGCATGAAAATGTGTAGGAGAATCCTACGTGCATAAGGCCAAGTATTCTGACTCTCTGTGTCCTTGGTCTCCTACAGGTTCATGTGCAATCAGTTTTGTCTATTCTTCTGGCCACATTTGCTGGTTTTGGTGTGGTGATGAGTGGGAGTTCTATTCTTGTGGAGTTTTATAGATGGAGAAGAAGATTGCAGGCTTTGTCAGAACAGCGACAAGGTCCTCAAGTGATGCCACAAGCAGGACAAAATGCACGATCTTCAAACACTCCTCGTTCAGATTCAAGTTCAGGTCCTTCCAACCACAGTCAACCTGTGGTGCAAAATCGACAGAACTCAAATCAGAGTTAAACTGATGTGTTTGTGTGGCTTCTCTTAACACTAGAGGATGCAGCTGATTGTTTTTCATTCTGGATTTGGAAGTACTTATTGTGTATAGGGAATTAAACTTTATTACTTTTTACATCTTCACCAGACTTCATTGTACAGCTCTCTCATGGCAGCAAGCAATAGAGTGACTTAGAATATAGCTTCTCATGCTACGGAATTTCTGTTTATTTATTTGTAATGGGAATTTCAATTTTCAGCACATTAAAACCAGAAGGCTTCTGGCCTTCTTTTTTGTAGTCTTGGGTGAGAGATAATGATTTTGTTTTTGGTCAGAGTGATGAGGAAGTCCTGTTAGATTGTCTTGGTGGTATGATCATTGATGGCCCAATACCAAATGTAATGAAGTAGCAAACTGAATGAAGCTTTAATCCCTTCCACTCTAGGACTAGAGCGCATTTTCCACATCTACACTATCCCATTCTGCTTTTGGAATAAACACTTAGTGTTACATGTATATCTAATGCTTCCACTGTACATTTTAGCAAAATGCATGTTATTTTACAAGAATGGTTAGCGGGAGGAAATTTTATGGAAGATAAAGTCTTTCTTATAAAGGTAGAAATCTCTAATCTTTAGTCAATTAGGTACTGTTTGACTTGCTGTCCAATGATATGTATATATGACAAGATCGTTGCAAAAGTTGCTATGACACGTAGTGTTTACCATGTTCTCTTTTTGACCAAGTGTGTTTGCCATAATCTATCACCAAGATAAAGGAGCTTGCTTTATTCTTTTATTTTTCTGGTGTACAAAGCTTGCTTTATTCTCTTCAAGCTGACACTGAATTGTATTATCTACTTTATCTGATAGCACACTTACTTTAGGAAGAATAAGAAATTGTTACAGTGAAAATGAAAACTTGGTTGCATCATTCGGTTAATCAAACGTGCAGCAGAAAAGCAGATTCTATAAGATTAATAAGGTTGCTTATTTATTTGCCTTTATAACTAGTGTGACAATTTCATCTTTTATATTTTTTTCTCAAGATTAATTGTTACTCTCTAAAGGGTTAAGGTAAAATGACCAATGTGAAGTGTGTTGACAATTTAGTTTTTAAAACAATGAAAATTTTAATTTCGATGGTAAAATGATTCTTAATTTGTGTCAAAATTGGTTCTTAAAATCAGCATAGTCCCACAAAATATACTTATCAGAAAAATCTGAGAAAATGATCGAAAGTAAAAAATAATAAAAAATAATATTTTATAGGAAGTGGGGTTAAAGATTGTGAAAAGTAGATCTTTAGGAATTTTTCAATTGGAATGAAACATAATTTCTTTCTATTAGTTTATATAAACTCTCGTTCTCTTAATTTATATAAACAGGACAAAATCGTAACAATGTGTTGTCCAATTAATATTTATCTAAACAAAAAAAATTGCGAAACGAAATTTGAGTATATAATTATTGAAAATTGAAAATCCTATTCTTTTTGACGAAAATTTGGTTTGTTTCGATTTCCTAAAGACTTAGGTTCTAACCAAATTTTAATCACATAAATTCTCTTTTATTTAAGCTAACAAACAATTTTTCAATCAAAAAGTGTATATAAATCGAGAATATAAAAATATGGAGAAAAAATAGAGAAAATCAAGCGCATATATTAAAAACACGAAAAACGTGATAAAACATATTGAAATCGAAAATCTCTTTTTGTATTTTTTTTATTAAAAGACTCGAGACATTGAAATTTAATAGAAGTAAAGAAAGCAATAAAAGAAAACATAATGTAAAGTAATACATAAAATTAAATTGCACTAAGAGTAAATGACATAAATTAAAGTGCGCAAAAAAGTATTTGACATTACTGGAAGATAAATTAAACTGCGAGTAGATAAATTACTGAGAAAGTAAAGAAAACATTAAAAACTATCGAAATAAAGATGTAATGCGGAATCTTAAGATTGCATAAGTATAAAGTGTAATGAATATTGAAATAACATGAAAATAAAGGCACGTAAAATTAAATTGCATTAAAAATAAAGTATCAGGGAAAGTAAAGAAAGCGGTAACAACAGTCAATGAAAATGAAAATTCATATCGCCAAAAACTTCATGATTCGTCGTTCTCCGGTAGACTCGTTCACTTGTGTTTCTGTTCTCTCTACCAATTTCCTTCTTCCTTCTTCATGCTTCATTCTATTTATAGGTTTGCTTCAACGTAACCTCCTAAGAGCGGTTTAGAAATCGCTATTATGTTCTCATGCATGAGACAACTGCTCTCTCGATCTTCGATCTTAGCCACGGTTTAAAAACCGTTATCCATGTTCCTATGTGCATGATAATCGTCCCCTCGATCTCGACTTCAGCCACGGTTTAGAAAATCGTTTCTCATGTTCCACGTGCGCGTTTAACCGTTCCTTCGATTTCGACCTCAACCATCGAGTATTTTAAACTGCTTCGGACTTCCTACCTAGCCTCACACTCAATACCTATAATCGATTTTTTACCTCCTCAATCATATTCATCAAATTTTCTCTGTTTTTCTTTTGATTCAGATTCTCAATTTTCCTCAGCACAATCAAATTTCGTCTTTCAATTTTCGATTCAGATTCTCGATTTTCCTGAGTAATAATTATCGAATTCTTTTTTTCGATAATTATCCAAATGTATAAATAATCCAGGAAACATAGAGTTGAATTATTTGTATAAATAAATTTTAATCATATTTTATATTTGCATTTAAAGTATAGGCTAGTATTATTGAATTGAAAATGTTTCATAATTCAAGTTTTGATTAGTTTTTATATGTTCTAGACCTTCTTGTCGTTTCGGGTCTTCTCAACCATGTTTTTAACAAACATGAAATAAAATAATTCATAAAATATGTCTTATAATATGTTTTCAACAATGTATATCCTTTACCTGTTGCATCTAATTTAATAGAAATGTAACAGAACAAGTTAATCTGTCTTAATTAGAATAGATTGTATATATATTAAAAAATAATACATCTTTAATTATATGTTTATTTTTTTGGTTTTTATTTATTAAATAATTTTTTTATTAGATTAAGAAAATCATTTTTAATTAAAATATTTAATTATAATCAATTATTTAAATTTAATTTATTAAATATTTATGATTTAAACTATAATATTATTATATATTTATATATTTTAATAATATAATAAAAAATTATAATTTTTTTATTTTAATTTTAATATATAAATATTTTTTTAAAAGATATGTAATAAACTAATTTATGATTAGAAGGTTAAGCAAAATAAATGAAACCTGATTGACAAATTAAAGTTATTAACCATATTTACTAGTTTAAGAAAAAACTAATAAGTTAATCTATTTAACTTACTCTATTTCATCATATCAAAAATGGTGATTGAAAAAAAGGAATAAAATTTGAAATCATAGATAATATATTTAAAAAAAATTATGAATCTTTAAATGTTTATTTACTAAATTAGACCGATTATCGTTCACACACAAAATTTAATAAAGAAAAATAAATTTATTTATTATAATAGAGATGTTTTTTTCCATTTTCTTATTTATTTACTATTTTTTTATCTTTTTTCTCTTTTCTTTTCTTGTTCTTCTCTCACCTTATCTTATTCTTTAATTAAAATTTGATAATATAAGTTATATTATTATTATTTGAAAAATAAAAATATTTAAATAATCCATAAATAGTATAATTTAATATATTATATTTTAAAAAATATTATATAATAAATTTGAGATATTATTAATATTATTGTTATAATATAATTATTAAGAAAAAAATTAATATTTATTTTAAAGTATTTTTTAATTATTTTTTTAAAATTATTTAATCTATTTAGTTATCATAACTCAAAATTATTATAACTACATGTAATTATTAAATAAAAAATATATTTAATTTATAAATATTTAATATTTTTTAATTAGATGAGTAATTATTTATTATAATAAAATAATATTAAATTAATTATTTATGTCATCATAAATAAAATTATTTATGTCATTATAAATACAATTATTTATTATCATCATAATTTTAAATATTTAGTTAATATTTTTAGTTTCAATATTATTTTTAAAGTATTTATTTTAACATATTTTTGTTAAATTTTAATATAGAAACTCAATTAGGAAAATAAGTGAGAAAGGAAAGAGAAATCATAATTTTAAATATTTAGTTAATATTTTTAGTTTCAATATTATTTTTAAAATGTTTATTTTAACATATTTTTATTAAATTTTAATATAGAAATTCAATTAGGAAAATAAGTGAGAAAGGAAAGAGAAACAAGTGATAGAAAAAAAAAGTGAATGAAAAAAGAGAAAAAATAAAAAATTTATAAAGAAAGAATAAGAAATTATGAACAATAAACATTTGGTAAATAAATTTATATAGATTCTGGAGTATTTTTTTCTTTTAAAATATATTATTTTTAGGATTGATTCAAAGAAATAAAACAATAATTTTTTAATTAATCAGAAATAAACTTTTTATTTTACATTCAAATTTATTTCAAAAAATATTCTAAATATAAAGTGTAAATTGTTTTGAAAAATCGTTGAAAACATTTTTTTAATCTATGCTAATTATATTTTATTTTAATTTAATAATTATATATTATTATTAAAATATAATTTAGTTCTTGAATATTATTATAAAATATAAATTAATTTAAATATATTAAAAATTAAATTATATTTTAATAGTAATATATAAAAATTGGTTTGAAATAAAATACAAATATGAAATATAAAAACTATTTTAAAATTTATTTATTAATTAATATTTAAATATTAATTAATATATTTTAAAAAACATCCATTATAAAATATGAAAATATAGAAATAAAAGTCAAAACTAACCTTTTTAGATGAGTCGTATCTTTGATTTAAAAATCATAATGTCAAAAAAATGTTGGACATGTTTAAACTGTAATTTCCTCTAAGAAAAGAAACCTATGAAGAAAAATTAAATTAAATTAATTTTTTTCACAAAATTGACTTGTGCAACAGTTAAAAATAAAAGTTTGGAGAAGTTATATAAAACAACTTATGCATAAACTTTTTTTAGTTACGTAGAAGTCAATTCTGAGTCTAATTAGACTAAGTTTCCATAAATAATTTGTAAAAACTATTTCATCTAACTTCTATAACTTTTTATTTTAACTTTGTATAAATTAATTTTAATTTATAATAATATTAATTTCATTTTTATTTGTAAGCATATTTTTTTAGAAGTTGTGGTAAAGAAAACTCTAAAAGGCATACTTTTAGAAAAAAAATGTTACATGTTACTGTTAAATAATTTTCTAAGGATCATAAGAAAATATTAAATTAAATCGTATCTATTTTTTTGTGTTAAAAAATTAATTAATATTATTTCTTTTCACTTACTATAGTTAAAAAATAAACATAATTATTTTTGCGCTCAATGTGAAATTTTTATATTAATAAAATGAATAATTTTAATTGTTGGATTTTGATTTAGATAGTTGCAAAACCGGAAGTCTCTAACGTGGAGACTAATCTTCAAATTATAATGTGATTATTTATGATAAAAATTAAGTGATAACTCAATTACAAAATTAAAATTGTCCATTTTTTAAAATCTATAAACTTAAATTAAATAGAAACTATAATTATCTATCTCTCAATTATACAAAACAAAATCAAACAATTTAAAAACTACGAAAATCAATACTTACAATAATATAGAAGGACAAAAATGCAATTCAATCTGGGAATGGTGAACACAGATTTGGTATACGATGAATGTTTCTGCGCAAGGACTGCTTATCCTCAACGCTAGTTTCTCTGCCAAATTCTCCTTCCGAGGTGCCCTTTAATCACAACCCTTGTCAGTCTCTTCTCTCTCTTTCTTTTTTTAAACTTCAATCAAACAGTTGGTGGGTCAATCAAATAATCAAATATGTGACCCTTCAACGTTACATTTTAACTTCTTGTATACCCACTTGAGTTTCATGGTCGTTAATGCTTTCTTTGGTGGCATTTAGGATAAAAAAAATGTCAACTTTATGGGGTACTTTACCTTCTCTGGTCAACTCTAAACTAAATTGAGTTCTACATGTGACACTTGTACTTCAGGGTTTCGTAGGTTGTCTGTTGTTCCACGTTTGCAACAGTGTCGAGGGCTGAGAAGGGGTTTCTCCAAAAGCATGGCTTGTAGTGTGGAAAATTGTGGTATGGGTAGTGGGGTGGTTCATCCAGCCACAGATGCTTATGCTGGAGAGGCAGTTGAAGCTTTGAAAGCTGGGAAAGTCATTGCAGTACCCACTGATACACTCTACGGATTTGCCTGTGATGCTTGGTATGCTGCTATTTCAATCTCTGCATTAAACCTATATTGACTTGTAGCCTGTATGCTTAAAATCTTCAATCTTCACTTTTGTTTCTGGCCCTATAGTGTTTTTTTCATATTTGTTGCATATTATATTTTTCTAGGTAAATGTAAGAAACGTAGGTTGTAGTGGTTTTACTATCTTGGATTCTAGTTGTACTCAATCAGGTTTGAAAATTAAAATTCAAGCTTGGTATAATCAACATAAGAGAAAAAATGGAGACGGCAATATTTTCAGATTAATCGACTCTTTCTTCTTGTTGTACCTTCTGCTGGAAAATTATGAAAACACTATTGTATAATAGTATAGTATTAAGTAAGAATGAAGTTGTAACTGCACCATTAAACTATTGATATTTCATTGAATTCCAGCATTTGAATATAAATCTGGAGATTGTTTTGTCTCTCTTTCGCATAACATTGCCTGAGTGCTTGGTGTTGGTCCTACTGGACTCAAAATGAGCTATAAAGGTTTTTAAGTCTATAACATTTTTGTTGTCTACGAGCCTAATATTAAGTTATTCACAATATTTCCTTACAATAGATCCAATGAAATATTGGTCAATAAAATTTTGTCTTCCTAAAAGGAAGATGAATATTTGCTTTATACTATATCCATTTCATACAGGTTTTGATAAGATATAAAATAAAATCTTAGACATCAGTTGGGAGAAAAGGTAGCACCACATTATACCCATCGTTCTGAATGCCTGCATGTTTTGTGTTTTAATCAAATGTGTTCAAAATTTCATTTGCACTCTCGTGTCCACATGTTTGAACCTACCTTTGTCTTTTAAATTACATTCTAAATGATTGATGATTACCTGTTATCTTCTATTGGGGCACGTTGGCAGCTCATTGGAAGCGGTTAACAGGATTTATGAGATCAAAGGCCGTAGACATACAAGCCCTTTGGCTATTTGTGTTGGTGACGTATCAGATATAGCCCGATTTGCTGTCACTGACCATTTACCTCATGGTCTGCTTGATTCCCTCCTACCTGGACCTGTTACAGTTGTACTAAAACGAGGTTTGTAAGTCATATGTGAGAGAGAGTGTGTGTAATGGAAATGAAATTTATGGAAGTAAAATATGCAGAATAGTCTACAACATATGTTTAAAGCAATCAGCTAGCGATGTTTATTTAATGCAGCAATGTATTCCTATTTCTTGGATCCCTTTGTCAACATATCTTGTGTGAACCTCAGATTCTGTTATAATATCCTACATGTTCTCTTATAGTATACCTGGATATTTTACAGGAGAGTCAAGTGTTCTTGAACGATCTTTGAACCCAGGATTGGATAGTATAGGAGTTAGAGTGCCTGATTGCAATTTCATCAGGACCATTGCCCGTGGTTCAGAAACTGCCCTAGCCCTCACCAGTGCAAACCTAAGTGGACAGCCAAGTAGTCTTTCCACCAAAGATTTTGAAAACCTCTGGGAACACTGTGCTTTTGTTTATGATGGTGGTTTGATTCCATCAAGTCGTGCAGGTTCTACAGTTGTGGACCTTACTACACCACACAAATACAGGATACTTAGACCCGGAAGGTAGCTGATCTAAACTTTGCTATTCTAAATTGTTTAAAACATACTGTGCTGTAAGATGCGGATGTCAAAATCTATTTCTGTTGTATCATTTTCTCACTTGAATTATATGGTTCTCTTTTTTCTGTTCTAATTAAAAATGAATGGCACCAAATTCATCCATTTGGGAAAACTTACATTTCCCCTCCTCTGGTTAATAATGTGTGGTCCCTCTGCAAAATGCATATGAAACACGGCTATCATTCCTGTCTGAAGTCTTTTCTTAAGTAATTATAGTGGCTCAAAACTGACACGTTCTTTGAGCAGAATGAAGGAATATCTTAGTTTATATGTCTTGAACGAACCAGTTCTTAATCTTTGGTTACTATGTATATTTGATATTTTACAAGTATGAGTTTTATGTTGCATTAAATCGATTATGTTCTTGTTCACCTATCATTTGCAGTGCTAAGGAAGAGACAGTTGCCATCTTGGAGAAGCATTCTTTCGTTGAGGCAATGACCTCTTAAATAAGTTTTGATTCATTTACAGGGTCACATTCTAGGCCAAATCTCCCACATGCAAAATCAAACAATTCTTTCGCTTGGACATGTGAGAAGCTATCACCCAGGCTAATTATTTCTATCAACTGTTTATGTGTTTTACTTCCATAGGATCTTCAGAATGCATGAAAAAATACGTTAAGAAATGTATTATAATTTATATTGTTCTTTAACTGGGAATTTTTTTTTTTCATTAGTACAATGCATTTATATAGAACTTTTTATATCTTGAGCATATGCTATGGAATTATAGACAGTCTAGTGAAATCCAATTCAAGGAATATTTTATCTGTGGATAGCATTATTGTTGTGTTAAAGGCTATACCCTAAATGCCAAGTAATCATTACGGCAGAACATATTCGACATGACTGGTATAAGTCAGATAGCTTGTATTTTTAGCTACAGTTGCCACGTGATTTTATAAGCTTCTTGTATTATTTAGCAATGATGTCAGGTTAGAAGAAACTAAAGTGTTGAAAGGTAACAATGACAGATTATCATAACTAATTAAGATGATAGCAGCGGAAACCGAACTACCCTTTTTGGTAATTCACTTATGCCATAATTATGAGATTCTTTCTATATTTAAGCATCTCTGAAACATAAAGCAACCACTTGTATGGATGTTGAATTGTGTTGCATCTTGCATCACAATTGTGTTACTTGTTTGTTGAAACTTGTAGCTTGCTTTTGCATCGGATTTAATGAAAAAATGCTCACGAAAAACCGTCTGCTTTTGAAAATTTGTTTAGAGGATTAGGTAGGATTTCACTAAAGAATAAAGTTTTCTCTGCATAGGTACATATCCAGAACTTGAATGTGAGACTACTTATTTAGATAAAATAACCTAAGGCTATGATAACTTTCATGTTTAATGTGCTAACAAAGACTTATTTTGTTGACTGTCCTTTGTCAATGCAAGATAGTTTATCTGGTCACAAAGTAAACTTTGCCCAAGATTAGTTATTTTATTAATTTGAATGCTTTTGTTGTTGGTCTGGAACTACCCAAGACTAGTTGGTTGTTCACACAATGTCAAATTTGTTATCCAAGCAATAGATAGTTAAATTCATGTATCTTCAAAATTTTTTAATAAAACTTTACAAACTGGTTTGGCCAAGAATTATGATGTAACTCGTTGATCACTTAAATTTTCGTTTTAATCCTTTACAGGAAGTAATTTTGCTCGAGCCACATAAAATTATTATAAATAATAATTTTTAAAAATAATTAATAAAGATTTATACTCAACATCAAAATACTCATTAACAGTGAATCATCTGGAGTTGAATCTAGTGGAAGAAATTTTCATAAGGTAATAAATTAATATTCATTTTGTTTTCGAAAGAAACTTCTATATTCAATACCAACACATGTAATTGACTCGAATATAAAGAGTTAAGGAAGGAATGATATTTTATAGACTTAAATGTAAGTAAATTTTAACCACTTCAACTCTGTTAAATGTTATTATTTAGAAAAATATTTTTTAAAGGAAAAAATACTCTGATATTTATTATATTAAAATGAAAAATAAAAAATTATTATATTTCTAATATTATTTATATGTAAAAAAAGTAATAGTGAAAACATTAAAAAAAATATGTAAGCAGAATGGTGTGAAGAGATTTTCCAAAAGGCGAAAGCAGAATATGGAATTTCCTTTGCATCTATTGAAGACAGCTAAGGTGCCCCAATTAAAGGTGGGTCGGTGAGGAAACGGAGTGCATTTACTCATTCATACATCAATCACAATACATATAGTAATTCCTTGGCAGTTTGGTAAGTTGATGATGGCATGGTCTATGACAATGTTTGATGTTTTAGCACCAAGTATCGTGCCACCTTCAAACCATTATCACTTGCCTATAGACCTGTATTGATAGGGATTGAAAAGGATGTATCTTTTTACTTTGTTTGACAAGGTCTAATAAATTTATAGTCTTTTATACCATTTTTTTCAAACATCAAACTATCTCTTATTCTTAATCCTTATCTTCCATCAAAGAATTTGTTTCCATTTTTTATCTTGAATTTGGATGCTGTTTGTAACATCTCTCCAGTCTTCTTAATCTGTGTGTTGTTAGGTAGCAAAGTTGGTTAGTTTTGAGGATGGATCCGCTTCTATTTTTCTTATTTCAATTTCTCATAAAAGGGGATCCGCAGTAAAGCAAAGACATTGCATGAAAAGGAAGAGACTGAAAAAAGGGGTGAAAAGGAGTAAAACACGTACCCAAAAATTAGGGCAGCATTTAACCCCACATTTCCAATTTCTTCATTGTTAAGTTTTGTTTCTCCAGAGAACGGTTTTGTCTTCTTTTATCCCTCATATTTTACGATTTACCAATTCCTCTAGACCAACTATTAATTCCGTTCCTACTTTTTTCATTACTTTTTTTTCTTTAATTTCATTCCATTTTAGTATTAATTTGATCTTTATTTTTTATGTTTCTAAGCAATTGTCTTTTTCTAAAAATTTTTTTTTTTAAGTTTAAGATTACATAGATGATATATATACCTTAATATTATATTAATACACTAAATTAAAAATGATAGTGGAATGGAATTTAAAAAATATATATATAGAAAGAAAAAAGTATGTAACCTAAAAAATTATTAAAAATGTGTTATTTAATCAATATATTAATAATTCACCACTACAAATATTGACTACAAATTATCCTGCGTGAAAATATGCACCGCAAGTACCTCGTTGTTCAGACAATGCAATTACCAATTCAATTAAAAACTGAAATTTAATAAATAAATATTTTAATCAGATTGGATCGAACTTCACATTTGATTTTGAAAAATGATGTAACCCAATTTAAACGAAACTTATATATGTGACTATATTTTTAATTATAAACTTAACTCATGTTTATATATTGTAAATATATTTATAACAATATGACATAATATACATATATATATATATATATATATATGATGAACATAAAAATCAAATTCCTGATCACACATCCTAAGAGGATTTTATCTGTTGTCGCAAATTTGCTTCTCATTTCTTGTCCCATCTATCACTTATTTAAGCACCTGCATTTTCTTACTCAATTTACCCTTGAATCTGTTTTGCAGAGCAATTTAAAGAAGGAAAATAGGAAAATCAATTGTGTATTAAACCTATTTTGTGTAAAACAAAAGTTTTTCTCTGAATTATTTGAATTGTACACTTGAATTGGTTGTGAAGAGCCGGTTATTATTAGTTTTTTTCAATGTTTGCAACTGCTTTGCATCGTGGGATGCTAATGCATGCCTATACATACAGGTGTTATTAAGTGATGTATCAACATATAATAGGTGGGGGTAGGAATTTGATTCCTTATTTCAAATATAACAAAATATACACTCTAGGCATATATTTTAGCCTAAATTGAAGTAATATAAGCAATTTACAGTATGACAAATTAATCATGCCTTTGAAATCAAAACAAACAAAAAACACAATTGTAAGAATTCACAGAGCAATAGAATACAGAGTCCTCCTCAAAATTCAATACACAGATCTACATTTAGCTATTATCTAGGAACAAAAAAAACTTGTAATTTGTAAAATGAAATTTAAATTCAGATCATTCAGGTGCCATTAATACTCTATAATAGAATTGAAATTAAAAGAATTAAAAAGAAAACTAGAATAGTATCGCCAGTAACACTGATGGCCAACCTAAAGAAGTTCTCTCCTCGCTGCGTATCCGTACTGTGACCGTTGGATGTTCTGGCGGCGCTTCTTGTACACGAACGCTCCCAACACAACCACGCCAGCGGCGACGATTACTCCCACCGCCACTCCCGCTTTCTTGCCGGAACTCATTCCTCCGGAGGAAGATTTACCGCTGTTGCCAGCCAAGTCGGCGCGGTTGACTCCATCGTTATCTTCACCGTCCGGAGACGGAGCCGGCGAAGGAGAATGAGAGTTCTGAGGCGTAGGAGACGGCGGCGAATCGTTACTATTAGGCGTCGGAGATGGAGATTGGGGTGATTCCGCCGGGGAAGGGTGGGAAGCGGGAGCGACATGAGGAGAAGGAGAATGTGAAGGAGGAGAAGAGGGAGATAACTCCGGCGGCAGAGTCGGAGAATCGGTGGCGGAAGCGGTGTTGACTAACAAAGAAAGGAGGAGAAGAAGAGCCGAGAATCTGGCGGGTGCAGGATTGGCCATGGAACGAATTGAATTTGTGGTGAACAATGTTGGATCTGAGATGAAATTGAAACTGCGATGACGAAAGAAGACGAAAGTGTGAAAGTGTGCGAGAGAGAAAGAAGAACTGTTTTGAACGGAACGGAAAATGGGTGTTAGATCTGGAAAAGTGTGAGGACAGAAAATGATGAGTGGGTTTATAAGGGGTGAGGCCTCGGGATGCGAGAGGATCGGAGGGTCTCAATTGCGAGGAAATCTGATTGGGCGCGGCGATGAAGAACACGTGGAGAGTGCAACCGAGACGGAAAAGGCAGCGCTGTATAGTGGAAAGTGAGAATTTTTTTACTGTTTCGGTGGAAGCTTGAGAAGGAAGTGACGTGAATGTGATATGGGACAAAACGAAGCACTTGGACTTGGACAAATATATTAAATAAAAATAGTCAAATAATTTTAACTTTTAAAAAATATTATATATATATATATATATATATATATATATATATATATATATATATATATATATATATATATATGCATGTATCTTAACATTCAATCTAACTTTAACAAATATTTTTACTTGCATTTTATCAATCAAAATTTACACTTGTTTATATATTGTACAAATAATTGATGGTTACTTTGAGTAAGATGGAATTGACACTCTTTTTTCTTTTTCTTTTTTCTCATTATGTTTTGTCTCGATTTGTACAAGAGAACATGAACATGAACATGCACTGAAGCACCATTTTCCATGAGTCAACATTTCTTTGAAACTGTGACTGATGATTAGCTTTGGTTGGAAAATAAGTTGTTTTTTATTACATACACTGCATGCACCGGCGGAGACGGACATTGGACTGACTCAGACGATGATGTTAGGCCAACGTTTTCTTTCAAGTTTGAATATTAATTATGTCATTTTGAATATAAATAAATTATATTAAGAAGAAAATAATTATTTGAATTTGAGAAAAAAAAATTAGATATCAGAATTGATTTAGTCAACCTATTATAATTACACACAAAATTTATCCAAAAAATAAAATATAAAAGAAAATTGTCCTACGATGATCGTTTATATATAGCAATTAACTTGATAAATTTCGTTTAAAATTGGTGTTTTTAATATGTTAAAAGTCCATTTAACGTAAATCCTACGGAGTTTTGTTGTCCCATTTAATTCATATAAACGTGGACAGCAATATACTGATGACTTTTGATCACCTCAAGAACTGTTCCTTCAATCATGTCAGATTTTAAGGATAGTGAATGGAAAATTCTTGGATGTGAAATTGGAAAATAGAGTCATCAAAGAAAGAATGATATAAACAGTGTTAAGGAAAAAGTAAAATTGAGGGACCAGAAGGTTTTAGTGATAGATCAAGATGACTAATAGAATTAGAAGATGAGTCAACAAAACAATTTAATAGGTGGAATTTAAAAAAGAAACAAAAAATTTTCAAAAACCCAAGCTGAAGAGAGAAACGCATGAAATACGAAAGTGCAACTGTGAGCGTGGACTTGTTTGGTATTTGGAGATGGTGCTTAACCCACTTAATATTTCAAAATTATATATTACTAATTTCATGGTAGGATTCAGATAAGTGTAATTCTTTTTAATACGAAAATTTTCTGCATTGTTTCTTATCATGTTGAAAAACAAGTGTGACATTTCAAAACATCAATAATTAACGACTATAAAAAGTCTCAAATATAACTGCGTAGCAATATTAAATTTTAATATTTTAGTCATTTTAATTTTTTTTCTTCTCTCTTTGGCCCATCGACCCAATTTGGTTACAAACCAACATTTTCTTAGTACATATTTGCAGGACTAAATAAACCCGACCTACGAGGAACATATTCATCCGTAGGTTTTAGCTTCTGTTGGATTGAGTATGTATTTAAGAAAAAAAAATAATAGCAAAATGAGGTTCTTTCTGATAGAAGATAAAAAAAAAAGATAATAAAAATATAAGATTTGACTGATTAAGAAAATTAAGAAATAAAATAAAATGATAAATGACCAAAATATTTTTATTATTAATTTTAATTATAAAAAAATACAAATTAAAATAGAAATAGAATTTGATATGAATAAATATAATAAGATATAATCGATTAATTAAAAGATCTTAAGGTAAAGATATATCATTAGCTTTATATCTTAGATAATATCATATTGAAAGTAAAAATTTATCTAACCTTTACAAAAAGAATCTTTAAGTAATTGAAATCTAGTCGTAACAAAGAAATTAAAATTCATTGTTTTTAGATGATTATGGGTATGATGAAATAGTTTGTATAATTTTATTATTATTATTATACGTGCAGAAGGGACAAATGAAGAGAAGTTGTATGAGTCCATACCTGTGGACTTAATTTTGTGGTAGAATATACTCATTATACATGAAAAGATTTGCAACAATATTTTTCAAATCAACGTCTAAATCCATTATGAAACTCCTATATCTAAGGACTTGGCATGTAGTCTCTGCCATATACACGATCAACTCTGCATAATTCTTCTAATAAATCATAAAATTTTATTGAGGTGACTTGTCATTTAGCAACTAATGGTTTTTCTTGAAAAAAATATAGACAATCGTTGTTGCAATCTTCACAATTATAATTAATTGTTAAAATATATTATTTAATGTAATATCTGAGTTCATTCTTTTTAAACTTCAAGCTCAATTTTAAATTTTTTAATAATCTCATTTCAAGTAAAACCACTAAGACCATTAAACAAATCATGTCTATACTAGTACAATTTGTCTGTCATAACACATCCATAATGTTATAATATATTTGATTTGTCAAACTTCCATCCTGTCTTATTTTTAGCTTGAGCCTCATCAATCATAGTTATTAAAAGTTAAAGATTCATATATTCAATCCACTTTGTAAATTCAGCATACTTAGACTGATATCAACTTATTATTTTCCTTTGTTTATTATCAACCTATAAATAACTAATTTATGCTACATTTTGTCAATATTAACATGGTCATTTCATCAGAGTTAAGATTGTATGTATTTTTCAACAAAACAAATCTTAAAATATAGAATCATTCATAATATTAAAATATATATCATCCTATACACATAAAATAGGTCAATAAAAAAAACAAAAGTTAACATCTAGTTTATTGTTGATAATCAATCCACATTTAATTTGATTTCATATCTCTCAAGTTAGTCCCTTATATATAATCATCTTTATGAACTTGTGTTACGAACTTATCATTTTATCGCTCTAACAACTCCTACTCTACAAAACATTTGTCATTAGCTACTACATGTAGAAAGTTGTACAAACCGCAACATTTCAATACTCTATTCCTGGATGTTTCAAAGGTTTCATAATACTTGCTATAATAGGAAATCCTTTTTTTCAAGACAATGTTTTCTCAATTACATTTCTCAATGACGATGATTAAACAATTCTAGAGGATTCTGAGGACATTTTCGTGAATACTCTTTAGGGATGGTAAAATGGGTCAATCTGCCCATTTTGGTCCACTCCGCCAAAAACGAGGCAAGATGAGCTAACCCACCATAATCGGGATGGACCACATATCCTAGCTCGCCAATAATTATTTTTATATAAATTTATATATATATATATATATATATATATATATATTAAAATATATCTTTAATTATATGAATAATTTTTTATTTATTAATTAATAATTATATTAGATAAATTGAAAAAATATAATATTTATGTGTCAAAAAACTAATTATAATTAATAATTTAAATTTAATTAACTAATTTTTATAATTTAAATTATAATATTATAATATATTTACATATTTTAATAACATAACACCAAAAAATATAATATTTTTAATTATAATCCTTTTTATTTTTATTTTAATATATAATTTTTTTTAAGTAGACTAATGGATCAACCCTCCCCACCCTTGGCCCGCCAACTTAGTTGGTTAGGCGTGACATATCAAAATGAGCTAGTGGGATAAAATCACTAACTCACCCTACCATTTTTTAAGTGAGTTGGCTAGCTCGTCTACCGGGCATAATTTGTTTTGTCATGCCTAATATCTTTGAGGTGGTATCTAACCGTCTAATATGGAGTAATAATTTGAGCTTTCAACCTGAACCATGCATCTCCCAAATAATATTTGCTAACAAAAAATAACATTACTTGGTAATTAAAATTAAGCCTTTACGTGAAGCAATAAATGTTGAGTTTCTTCAATTGTTCATACCTTTAGTTTTGTGAGTGAATCCTCTCTTGGTAGGCATCTTTTAAAATCTTAAAATCAGATGTAGTTTCTTTTTATCATGTTAGGACATATGTGAATTTAATATTAAAATCAAAAGTTGCAAAAATATTTTAGGTTAGTCAAACATTTCTACCACGAAAATGGGGGACATCGCGGTACATTAACTCAAACATGAGTTTCGTTAATCATTCTAAGAAAATCCTTATAATATAAGTAAATCTATGATTGTTACAAATAAGTGGTTGCACTTCCCTTTTTGAGGTTGAACAAAAATATTATTTTTCAATTCAATGATGACACTCAATACATTATGAAAATGTCAACTCGGTCTTACTAAATCGATAAAAGAAAAATAACAGTTTGACTTTTGATATTATGTCCTAAGATGTGAATAAATTTAGCAATTTATTCTACTACTGTGAGTCTACACGCATCTTTTATCTTATTAGTTGTTCTTAATTATTCATACAATTGTACGAAAGTCTTAGGTCTCATGAGAATAATATTTCAACATTACTCTAAATACACAAGATATGTCATTAACTTACCGATGACGATCTTTTTCAAGTCTTAATAAGTTTACATTGCTGATGATATTAGACATCATATCTAACATATATAATATATAAAAAACACTACATATGATTAATGTTTCAGGTTTCACATTCTTATTGTATTTAGTCATTAATATATATATATATATATATATATATATATATATATATATATATATATATATATATATATATATATATATATATATATCCATCCTTACAATATTAACATTCTTTTTGTTTTCCTAATTTCACATAATTTTTGTTTTCGTTCTCCGAACAACAATTTTTTTCTAAAAAATATTTTACTCAATTACTTCCACCATACTATAATAATGATAATAATAAAATTGTTATTAGATCTTAAATATTAATAAAACATATTTCTTAAATAAATAATTAAACCCTATATTAAAACTAATTTAATTAAGCAAATGTAAAAATATCTAAAAGATATTAACTAAAACTAATAAACTGTATTTATGGTAATTTTAATTTTTTTTACATTATAAAAAAACCATTAGAATTATTTTCATAATTATTTATAAAAAAATTTACAATTATTTGCTAACTTTTTTTGTTATAATATTTTCACAAATATTTGCTAATTTTTTTATAATTATTTACTCAAAATTTAATAATTTAACTCCTAACCTGGTTATTTACGAAGAAAATATGTTTAGGATTATTTGATTTTTATAATTATTTATAGTTTTAATAATTCTTAAACTTAGTTATCTAAAAATACTTACCTAATTTTTTTAATTATTTACTTATAATTTAATAAGTTCACTCTTCACCCTAAGTTTTTACTAAACTTTTTTTTTTTATGAATCTTTGGTTAATAAGTTTTTTTTTTTAAATTGTTTCTAGTTCCAATAAATATTATAATTAATCATCTAAAAATAGTTACCGAATTTTTACAACTATTTAACTGTATAAACATATTTTGAATAATTATAATTCACAAAACTCGTAGACGTAATTATTAAAATTAACAATAACTACTAATATGACAACAAATCTTATTATGTAATATTAACAATTACAATTATTTCTACAATTATATCCTTAATTCTAACTATATAATTATTTCAAATTAACAAATCTTAATAATATCATATTTCTTGGTATGTAATTTTTAAAAATTAATAACCGAATGTTCAAGTAAGCATATATAATTAACAATACAAAAGGACCCAATACAAATACACAATCGATTATGCGCTTTTATATTTGATCATGATGACACACATAATCTTGATCATGAGAAATATAATTGATTATACAAACTATCATAATTTATTATCTTTTCCAACATAATCAATTATACATTGTCATATAATTCATTATGCTCAGCTTTTTGGTTTAAATATGGCAGTTCAATTCAAGTAACCATAATTCAATTAATGTGCATCAAGTAATAGCAATTCAATTCAAGTCAGGGACAAACAAAGAACAACCAAATCCCTATCAAAATGGTTCAAGTCATCCAAAAATTTCTACAAGAAAAATGAAAGAAGTGCATACTTGAAAATGGTTCGTTGTACGTGCAACAAGAACTATAAGGGTATTCCTTAGTGGTATTCCTCTTTACTACGATTATACCAAGTCGTGCCTAAGGGTATATTTAAAGTCGGATCCTTCAACGTTGATACTATAAGCCTCTATTTCTTTCAATGTGCATGGTCGTTTGGCAGAGAATTCACAAAGTGTTGTTGGTTAGGGTAGTAGGTCAGTGTAGTAATGAGGAATGTGCACTGTGAGATGTGTTGAGGGAACCCATGTACTCTTTTCTTCTAATATTTCAATGCACATGTAAAGGTTGTTCGTTGTGTACTATCTTGGTCAAGATACTCAGGTGTTTACAATAAAAACATGAAGAATCTTTGCAACTCATCGTGCACATCAAATATTGCATGGGAATGGGATAAAACTTCATTTTAAGGACAAGATAGATATTGCACTTATCTTTCCTTCCTTTTCTTCAACAATTGAAGATATTTTTTTCTTAACTCAGCGCACATCTAAAAAAAGACACATCTAATTTAGAAGCAAATCCGCTTCCTCAATTCTTGACCAATAATATATTCCCAGAAACACACAAGGGCTTACTTTCCTTGGATGATGATAAAATAAAAGCTAATGAGTCGTCCTCTTTTTCTTCCCTTAGCTACCCTTAGTTGATAAAATTACAATTGCTATTTTTATTTACATTCAATTAACCATCACAATAAAATATATTATAATCCTAAATATTGGATTGAATTTCCACTATGTAAAACGGTATAGCTTTTAGCCGAGACAACTACGTGCAGAAGAAAAACATCAATCACACAGTATGACCCTTGATTCGACGGTGTCTCTACGGATTTAGGAATTGAAAATTTGGAATGGTTGGTAGCTGTTAATTGACTAATTAGTTGAGTTTAAAAAATGTCTTTTTGTGAAGGGTTTGGGAATGTCTAACAACTTTTTTTAGAATGGTTGGTGGACTAAAGTTGCATGCCAAACCCATTTTTCAATGAAAGATCTTTTTTTTTTTATTCTGTAGTTTTTATCAAATAAAGCTCAACCTCAGGACCAAACAACCAATATTCTAATACCGAAATAAAATTGACAGCAGATAAAATAAAATTTCCGATGCAATTTTTTAAATTAAAGTCACGCCCAAAATTATAATACTCGAACATCAAAGTTGAAGATCTAATAATACATATGTTACCTCATTTCTCCAATACCCTTTCCTTTGCCTATTTGCCTTGTTCAGGGTGAGGAAAAATACACGATTTTTCTCACCCAATCACTGTCACTTTCTTTCTAATTACCTTTTCACTCTCTTTATAAATAGAAGTGCCTAAATCTTACAATTCGTCCTTCACATCAGCGCTGCTGCTCTGGCTCTCCTTGACATCAGAACTCTCGCTCCTGGGTTTAGAAGTTGTTGCCGGGTTCTGGAGCTGGAATGGGATTGATGCATGTTTCCTGAGGAACTTATAAAAGGCTACCACTGAACGATCCACATCAACAGGAATCTGCATACACAATGAAACAGATACATATTAGATCATCTTATGATATAGTATAAGAAGATCCAGGAAGCTAAATAGAGAAACTGTACAATGTCGTTTCATACGTACAGGATCAGAACTTTTGTTTCTTGCTGGGTAGAAGAGAAGAGTGGGGAATCCATCAGCCTGCAAAAGTGGAGAACAAAACTTGGTCAGTACTTATAAAATTCAAAACTCACCAAGAGTTAGAGCAAATTCCAATTATTGAGAACAGCAATAGACAAACTATACTATATTGTGTCAACATCTAGTTTAAATTTGGGTTTACCTTGGCCCTGGGATGCTCATTTGTCGTTCCGTCCATCTTGGCTATAACAATAGACTCGATGCTGCGAAGATGTTTAGCAAGTTTGTTGTATGTTGGTTCCAGAGCTTGGCAGTGGCCGCACCAGGGAGCATAAATCTAATATAACAACAACCGTTAGATTAACATGAACAAGTTGCCTGGGCAAATAGATGACTTGGACTCTAATGGGCTAGAATTGTACCTCAAGCAGAACATCCTTTGACTCATCCAAGACAATTTCATCAAAGTTATTCCCAACAACTATTTTCACATCACCATCATTCTGTCATCACGTAAGCAAAGAACACGTCAGAGATGAAAATTTTGGAAAACAGAACATGGACGGACAACAAAGTAACTTACGCTTTCAGGAACTGGATCTGACTTGAGGAAAGGTTTTAGCTTTTCTTCAAGAAAATCATTTCCAAATGCCTGAGAAGAAATACAGACTACAATTTTTAGCCACAATATCAGCCGAGTCTTACTAAAACATAGAAGAAAACATTTGTGCTTGTTCCATAATGTAGTAACAAAAAAATGAACAGAGCTCCCACAGAAAAATGGGCATGAGGGGTACCGTTAATTTGTCAACAGTCACCTCTCCATCAAGCAAAAATTTTCTTCCATCATCATTTCCTGTGTATCCAAGTACCTATGTTGGAAACTTCATCAGTTACTTAATAATATACTTTCAATATTGAATCTTTAACATGTGAATAATCTCATCACTAAACACTAAAGGAAATAACGAAATAAAGGGAAATTATTACTTTGGGGCCATTCCCAGTGATACCAAAATAATCTGCAACAGGCTTTCCAACATCTTCACTATCCATTTCCACAAGAACAAAGATCAGCTGCAACAGATCATTGTACAGTAGTAAATACATTATTGAGACTTAACCAAAAACTAAAATTGAGAGGGAATGGGTGAATGAGTTATAATTAGAATTAAGGAAAATAAATTTTATTATTTCTTAATTTTTAATTGATAATTGGGACTATTTCATGAACTACAGAAAGAAAGATCAAATTTGAGATATCTGATGATTCAGCACTCAGCAATAGCAATACAAAATTTGTCTAGACTATAGGGAAAGAATGCAATAACAGAAGCATTCAAGTAATCATGTGAGGAAATATACCTTCCCCTTAAAATGTTTTGCAGATTCTTTAAATACTGGAACAAACTTCTCAGTATCATTTGAAGTCGCAAACAGCAACAACTAAAAATGAAATTTTTAACGCACAAGATTAGAAGTCAGTCACGATATTTTCAAGAAATATTTGTTGCTAGATTGAAAATGAAAATAAAAAAAATACAAGCAGTTACCTGTTTTTTTATTTGACTTTCAAAGATTTCTGGGGCACTTTCTCTTGTAAACGTTGTAACTAAAGGAAGCTTGTTGGAGGATACAAATTCAGCTATTTCAGATTTTACAAATTTTCCATCTGCAGGGAAAGAGTGAAATATATAATTAAGTTTCTGACAAAAAAAAAAGAAAAAGAAAAAACAGAATGTCACTTTTTTCAACGGGAAGAGAGGTAGAACAAGGAACAAACCAAAATGGTTCAGTTTCTCCTCCTCTTTCTTGAGCAAGATCAAAGCAGGGCGTTTAACGCTTGCATCAATATGGAAAAGCTTTGCCACATCAGGTACCACAGTTTGATAAAAGTTGACACCATCCTCAAGCTTTGACGCCGCAGCTAGCTCATCACTCTCGGCACCCTGTACATTATAACAGGATAAGCAATAAGCAAAGATCAAGCCCAACAACCAACAGTATGATAGATTGAATTACTTAGCAAATGTCAGTTAAACCAACTCTATTCTAGAAAATCAACAATGACAAATGGCTCTTTATTATGCTGACTGATTTGGAAATGAATCAGTATATCACCGAATCTTTTACACAAAACTTACCCTTGTATGAAAATGATAAACATAAGAGAACACAATCTCTTCACTTGATTTTACATTCTAATCTAGTTACGAACTACCACATATGACAAGTTTCTTACTTTGGCACTAATTCCCTAAAGTCAGATCAGATCTATCATGATTTCTGATTGGTTACTAGTATAAAAACCTTTTACACTATGCATGCATAGAAATTACACTCTAAACATAAACTGAATTAAACAATTTTAAATACACATTTATATTACCAAATACATTCAACTAATAAATTGCGCTTGAAAACTTACAACTAAAGAGTTCAGGAAACCCAAAACAACTTTACTTTCGGCGGTCAATATGCGTTCAGCTTCATCCAACGTGGTTATGTTGGATACACCAGGTCCTATTTTCTTCTTAATCCATGTCACTATAGCATCTCTGCATTGCAATGCAACAAAGAAGTTAATTAGTCAATTCCAATTGAAAGCGAAATTCGAAGATCGAAAACATGCAGCGAGTTTACTTGGTTCTTTGGCCAGTGTAAGGCTTGTGCTCGCCATCGACGAAGAAGAAGACGGTGGGGAAGCCCTGGACGTCGTACTCGTGCGCCAATTCGTTCTCGATGGTGGCGTCGACCTTGGCCAGAACGACGCCATCGGGCTTGAGCTCGGTGGCTGCGGCGGCGTACTCAGGCGCGAGGGCTTGGCAGTGGCCGCACCAAGGGGCGTAGAACTCGACCATGACGAAGCGGTTGTTCTCGATGACGGTGGTGAAGTTGCGCTCCTTCAAAATGACGACGTCCTTGTCGTCGACCGCAGGCTCCTTGAAAGCCTCCTCGGACGGGGAGTCAAACCCGGAGAAGTCGCCGAAGTCGTCGTCATCGTCGTTGTCGAAGTGGTCGGGATCTGGGAAGTGGGCGTGGTGCGAAGTGTCGGCGGCGTCATGGGGCTCCTCGAGGAAGCTGAGATCTTCATCATCGTTGTCGTCTTGGTTGGTTTTGGTGTCGTTTAGTGAGGGTTTGTTGGAGAGAGTGAGGGAGAGGGACGAGAAGAGGAGAAGAGTGGCGAGGGAGAGGGAAAGGAGGAGTGATTTACGAGGGAGCATTGCGGCTGGGATCAAGATCGATTCCAACGCCGGTGGAATGTGGCCGAAGCTGGAGTTCCTGAGTAAATCAATTCACCATGAGTCGTCAACCTTTGACCAGCATCTCTCTTCACTACCCTTACACCCGCCAGATCAAGAAATTATTGAGGGGTATTTTATTAAGAGAATCAATAACAGAGATTTGTTTTTAAAAATTAAAAAATATTTTTATTGTATACTTTATACATGAATGGTTTTAAAATGAAAAATTTACTTAAAGTTAAGAAAAAATCATTAAAATATATTTAATGAAAAATTATTAAAAATAATATATTTTATTTTAATATGACTTTCATAATTAGAATCACTTCGTTATAAGATTTATATTAAAATAATATAGTTAAACAAATTATGAGAGTTGTTTACAAAAGCCACTCTTTACATTAAAATAATATATTTCATTTTTTAAAAATTAAGATTATTTTTAATAAAATTATTTATTAAAATACTTAAATAAAATATTAATTTAAAAAATATATTACAAGAATCGTACTTTTTATTATTATAACATCTTTAATGCTAACGTAATACACTTATATTATATGTTTTTAAAAGTGAGAAATAATTTGTAGTTATTTGTGAATGGTTCACTTGTAAGTCTTTCAATAAAAAGGTTATTTTAAATAATTAGTATTTTACTTACAAATTTTAATAAATAGTAATTAGTATTTTATTTAAGAATTTTAACAAATAATTATCATAGAAAACAATTTAATATTCATTAAAATAATATATTTTATTCTTAATAATATATTTAAGTAATTTTCGCTGACAATAATATTATATGAGAAAATTTTCTAATTTTAAATAAATAAATAAATATTATTTTTATTGATAAGTAATTTTTGAAAAGATATCTATGTTTAAAAATATTGCTTTTTCATCAACAAGTACAAGAGTATTTTGTTAGAAAATTATAACATTCAATTTTTCTTATGATATTTAATTAAGATTATAGAAGTTGTTAAAAAGGACAATAAAGTTTGGCAATATTTAATTTAGATTTTAAAAGACTAATATCATTTTACATTTAAAATCATATAAATTTTAATAAATTATTTTATGGATTAGATTTTTCTGAAATTTATGTGATTTTTAATTACACGAAGAAATATTACTCTAAAAAAATTTATTATATAGTTATATAAGACTTTTTTTTAATTTACACCGATTGCTTAAAAAAATTATAATATAATTATAATTCATTTCCCACAAATTATTAAGAAAATACTTAAGTTATTGTTTTGAATGAAAAGTGGAAGAAGAATATTTAAATATGTATTTCTTGCTTCTTCTTACACGTGAGTTTATGTTTTTCTTTATTTACTTTGTATATTTGTTTACCAATCTTTTAATAAATATTTGTTCTTATTTATGTCCTCTAATTTTTTTTTATTTTAAATATATAATTGTCACACTTTCTAATTTTTTTTTATAAAGAATGTTTAACTAGTTTGTGTTTAGATTAGGAGATAGAGTTGAGAGGTGGAAATGAATAGATGTAGATGGAAAGAGAGACGTTTTTGGATTAAAGAAAAGATAGTAAAAATATCGAGAGAAACGATACTGAAAATTTATAAAAGTTTATAAATGATTTGATTGATATAAAAAATAAAAAAAATTATTTTAATAAAAAAATTAAAAATAACTAAATTATAATTAAATAAAAATTATTATTACTAATATAATTTAAAATATTATAATTATTTTACTTATGTTTTAAATTATTATTATTATTTATATATTATATATGATCTAGTTAAATTATTAGTATATTTCTTCTCTTCAAGTTGAGAAAAGATTTTTTGGAATTATAAATTTTTTATTTCAAAAAACGAATGTTCTCTCGTAAATCAATGATACTCACATTTTTATCATTTGATCCAAACAAACGTTTAAGGAAGATTGAAACTTTATAAATATTGTTTAGACTGAAAAGTAAATGAACTTGAGTATATCGTTAAAAAAACTTAACAAAAAATTTAAAAAAAACTGTTGGAATATTACAAATCTTGGATATTCAAATAACACTACCACATATTCATAATATTCTTTATATGTCTTAAAAATAGTCAAGTTCATTCTGACTTGATTGTAACCAGGTCAACCGTAAAGAAGATTGTTGAATCATAAAACTCGTTAAGTAAGTCATTAATAAATGGAATAGGAATTTTGTCTTTTAATGGACTTTTGTTCAATTCCATATAATCCACATATATCCTCCATGTCTCATCTTTTTTGCTAACGAACACCATTGGACTAATATAAGGGTTTGTGTTATTTTAAATAATATCATATTGCAAATATTCTTGAATCAGATTATCCAATATATCTTTCTGATTTTTCACATACATGTAAGGTTGTATATTAACCGGATTGACACCTTAAACCAAAGGTATTTTATGGTCATGATCTGATTGAAAAGAGGTAGTTATGTTCATTCCTCAAAAAAATTACCAATTTTTATAATAGTTTAGTCACATCCTTTACTACTGCAGTTACGTGTGTAGTAAGCGATTGAAGCAAACCTCCCTCATCCTTCCCCACATAAAACATGGAGATATGCATATCATTAAACAAAATCTTTTGAAGTTGCTGCTTTTAAGCAATTCTCAGTTCCACGAATGAGGATCCTCTTAACACATATTGTCGACCATGAATCTTGAAATCTTTAGTCAAGTTATTAAAGTTCTAATTGATGTTCCTAAATTAACCAACCATTTAATGCTTAAGACAACATCACATCAACCTAGAGGAAGCAAGAACATATCTTACTTAAATGTAGTCTACTGAATAGTCAAAAAATAGTTGTTCACTACCTAAGAGATTTGAACCTTAGATTCATTAGCCACCACAGTATTCAAATAATCCAATTTATTAATCTTACACTCATATTTCTTGGCAACCTAAATATCCAAGAAGTTGTGAGTTCTGTCACTATCAATAAGAATGTGCAATGGTTTCTTTGATAATAACCAGTAACCCTCATGGTCTAAAAACTAACCATATTAGGTAAAACATTTACAGAAATGTGAGGTTCATCTAATAAACCTGTTGTTTCCACGTCTTCCTCTTGAGCCTCCTCATCAGGGACCAGCAACACATATACTTGTAAGTTCTTGTGAGTTAAACCATGATATAGGGAAAATGGTATATCACAAAAGTAGCACAATCATTTACCCTTCCATTCATTCATGTAGATTAGAGTTAATTGTTTTCCAAGAGTCAATTTTGTCTTTTTCGTGTCTTATTTCAAAAAAACATTTTTATCTAAACTCAATGATTTGAAGTCTAACACACCCTATTGTTGTTGATTATTTGTTTGGATTGTAAAACTCAAAAAAATCTCAGTCTCATACAATCTTGCTAAAGAAAAAGCCTTATGAACCGTAATTAGTTGAAACATTCTAACTATCACTTGAGTATCTTTATTAAGTCCCCCAGTAAGTAACTTAACAAATATTTTTCTAGTATTGCTTTCATGACAAGGCAACACAATTAGTAGTTTTTGAAATTGCATAATGTCATTGCAAAGTTCTTCCCTCCATATGAACAAATACAAACTTTATTCCAACATCATCAAGTGTGTTATCAATTAGGAAAAACTTGACTAAGCATGCGTCACAAGAATACAAAGAATTATGATGATCAATTTTAATAATAGATGTGACAGTTTATGTGTTTTGTCATAATAATTCTTATAAGGTTTTTTGCATAGTAGCATCCAAAGCTTCTTGTATAAAACACACAAGTTTCGCCAAACATCTTTCTAATTTAGTCAGAAGATGTTATTTCAAATCCCTCGTAACTATAACATTTCGTGTAGAGTCTATCATGGAAAAGGTGGCAAAAAAAAATTGTTCTGACTACAAAAAACTAGTTAGTTATAAGAATATATCACTTGAAGAATTGAATGAAACAGGAAACCTAAAAGAATAGAGGTTCTGATATTTGCATTAGAAAGATATTACAAGAATAGTTGAGAATACAAGAATGAATGTATGTTTAGTCTGGATAATTATAACAATTTGTGAAGCTAATGAAAGAAGGTGGTGATCAAAATTTAGAGTTCAACTACTTAATTATTGTTGTTGATTTATTATACCAATATGTGAATGTAATGAAAGAATGTGGAGCCTGAAAATTACACAATTTGTGAATGTAGTGAAAGAAGGTGGAGATAGTAAAGTAATGGACCCTAAACTAATATAATAATGGAACTTTTTCAACCCAAAATTTTATAATTTACATAAATATATTTAAACCTCTAAATTTAATAATCATTAAATAAATTTATGGTATATTTATAATTTTGATATTTTATTTTCTATTTTTATATTTATTTATTTTTTATTAATAATATATTATTTAATTTTAAAATTATTAATTAATATCAACAACTAAATTATTACGTGATCCATCTGATTCTTTAATAATATCAAGAATCATATTTATAATATATATATATATATATATATATATATATATATTATTTAATTTAATTCTATTGTATATTTATTTACAAGTATGTAATATAATATATTATATATTATAAAAATAGAGAAAGGGAATCTATTCACTTATTAAATATTTGTTTACCTTTATTATTATTTTTTAATAATTTAAAGGTTTACTATTCGAGTCATTAGATTATCAAATTGATATTATGAAAAATAAATCTTTAATTTTTAATTATTTAATAAATATTTGTTATAAAAATATAATATAATATTGTATTAGATTTCACATTTTTTTAAAATAAACTAAAAAATAATTAAATAAACTTATATAGCCTTCGATAAAAAAAAATGATAAAAATATTAAAATCACTATGAAAAATAAACTATCACGATAATGAAAAATTGTTTTCTGATAGGAGATGACAAAAGAATAGTAATTTTAATATTAATTTACTTAGCTCAATTTGATGATTAAATATTAATATTAAGTTAGGCATAAGTTAAAAAATAAATATTTTTAGAATTTATATAAATTTATATAAATTAATTTATATAAATTGATTTTAATTATGCAGAACTCTTTGTTCTTATATCGTATTAGATAAAAACAATTTTATTAATTAAAAGCCGAAAATACATCTCTGCCATCTGAAAACAAAAAATGGGAAATTAAAAATATGGTGCTGGAGAGAATTACTTGGGTAGTGGGTTGAGTAGTCCAACAAAGAGGCCCAATAACGGAGAAGCAAGAGAATACGAGGTCGTGAAGGAGTGAAGGCTTTTCCAAACAAGATCGGAAGAGAGAGGACATTTGAAGTATTGTTCTGATAAATCTGTTGCAGCAAACAAACAAAGACAAAAGGATGATTAGCATTCTCACACAGGTAAGGGTTCCTCTATCAAAATATAAAATATAATCAATTCAAAGTTTTTTTTCAATTCAAAGGTGATTGGGTTTGGAATAGGAACGGTTTCTGGGAGCTTCACTGGGAGTCGTATTGATGGGGGTGGTTGTGTTTGAGCAACGCAGATACATATATTCTTCTATCTCCAACAACCAATCTATGGTACCACGTCGCCTTATTCCTGTTTTTTCAATTTATCTGATTGCGTAGATGGAACTATAGATACTGGATAGGCCAAATGAATTCACATTGTTGATTGAATGAGTGCTGTGACCTGCGCTACTTTCACTTGTTTTATTATAACCACCTTCAATTAGGCTAATTCTTTCCATTTTTTTCCGTCTAGTTTTGATTTTTTTTTTCTTTTGATAAAAAAAATCCATAATTTGTTGTGTTGGGGGAGGGCTACCTGTCCATTGTGTTTTAATCTGTGGTATGCTGAAAGGTTGTAAATTTAATTTTGGTTAAAATTGGGTCTGAACTCTGGAGTCAATGTGATTTGTGTTTGAAAACTTTTATCTCAAAATAGCTTTTTTAATTTCCAGGCAAAGATACTTTTAGGAGAAAACTTTATTTTATTTTGCTGCAAGTCTATAACCCTTTTTTCTTTTGTAAAATCATAGTTATTCGGGGAGCTGAAACTTGCCCCCAAATATGCACTGAGTTACTGAAACCACCTCTTTGCGGTGTTTATACTATCACATGGGAATGACTCCAAAGGAGAGATAGAATTGTTCAAAATGTTCATGTGTGTCGTTGTGCATGATGTGAAGTTTTCCAGAGAGTAGTTATAATGAAATACAGGATGCAGATAGATAAGTTTGTTTTGTGTTGAAGCGTATATGCATAAGCATCATATCATAGCATGGTTTGGTTTAAAACTCTAAATTATGATGAAAAATGATAAAAGCCTAACTCACTTTTACACTACCTTGCAGAATAATTTGCACTTCCATGTGTTTTATTTGAGTTATTTGTTATACTTGGAATTATTAATTATCATTTAGTTCAAACTCCAATTTCCTAATTTGCATTATATTTGAAATACTGATCATTAAATCTATTGTGTTTTGTCACTCAATCTGTTGTGGATTGTCACCCTTGACTTGCAAATTTCATGTTTGAATTAGATGTTTGGAGTTTGATTTGGTACTTTTAAACTCTAACCTTTCATCTTTCAATCTCTACCAGGTCAGACAACCTATATTTGGAAAAAAATCACGTTCTGAATTTGCTCATACATGGAACAAAACTGTGGATCAGACATTTGGGCCTTTGATAAAGTCTCTCAGCTCACGCGGATGGTAGAAATGTTATGAGAGAATAATTTTCAATATTATCTCTTGTAATTGTGATATCAAAACATACCCTACGATGGACTTAGTTCTACCTCAACATTTTAGATTCTTTGTCGCACATGGACTGTGCTAATGTTGTTTGTTTGAACACCAATGTAATGTATTCTGCAATAACTGGGTGTTACTTTACTCTATGAATCATTTGGAGCCCAATCAATCTCTGAATATTAGATTTTACTCACATTGTCCTTATGAATTAGCATTCCTTTATGTTCTTGGTGCTTGTTGTCGATAAAAATGTGAAATTTACTTAATGAATCACACAGATAAGCACTGTCTTGTTTGTGATTATAATTTGTGATTATATCGTTTTGGAGTTTGGACAGTTTTCATCTTCAAGTTCTAAGAGGAAATGTATATGAATAAAACAATAGTTTAGAATTTGAATGAAAATTGACCAACTTAGTTGGGAAATTGGCAAGAATATCTATACATCATAAAGAATAAGCCATATCAATATTGTTTTAATTTTTATTCAGATACTTATGGAAATGTATTCATTTATGAAGTCTACAAGTGAAATATGAATACCTGTTTTTTTGTATGATTCTTTTATAACAATTAATTGTAAATTTAATTTTTCTTAGTCCATAGAGAAATGGTGGCAGGATTTTTTGTAGACTGCAGATTATTGTATTCCTATGTGGCTGTCTGTCTTTTATATAGTTTACTGTACCAGCTAGCATTAATGTGATTAAAGGGATAGGATAAAATCCTCGGTTTAGTCTCACAGACGAGGAATGAGTGTGTTGTTTGTCTGCTTGCAGTTGGTTCAGGATTCATGTTTCTAACTTATTTTGAGAAATGACATAAACACACTTTTAACACTCTTTTTCCAGTACATTCTCTCCCTGGGGTCACATGAATGTCAAGCAATTAGAATGTGTTGAAAAGGAAGTTCTAGAAAGTATGTTTTTAGCAGTCTTTGTGTTTTGATTCTGTCCAGGTTCTGTGAAACACCTGCTATTTTGTGTTTTGATTTCGCATCTCACTGAATCTATCTTATTATTTCCGGTAGTATAGTAAGAAATTGAAAACACATGACTATGATAACCGTGAAAACATCCAAATTTGATATTAATCACTGACAACCGTAGTTACATTGTTAATCATGAACAACTGGAAATAGAACTAGTGCTAAGAAATAAGAAAATGAGATACATAAACACATGGTTAAGAAAACGAGTTTTTGATGTGATTAAAAGAAAGCACATCAAGCATGAGATTGAACACTACTAGTTGCTCGATTCATGTTGGCTTGGCGAGTAACCTTTACATAGTAGATTCCCATAGCTAAAAGCAAAACAAAAGCAAAAGCAGTGATAATGCCAGCCACACCCCCAGCTCCGATTTGTTTCCTACCTTTCTGCATTGCTGAAGCTTTGTTTTGATATATTTGAGTGCCATCATCCACTTGAGCTGCTAGAGGCAGTGGTGAACATTTGGATGCAGCACATGAGTCTCTAGTCTGAGGCTTTTGAGCATTGGGATGAAAGAAGTCATATGCTGCTGGCGGAAATGCTACAGGGCTCTCATAAGCAAGCCCATGAGGGGCCCTTTCTTGCCCTCTAGCAGTAGATAAAAGCGCCAGAGAAAGGAGGAAGAGGAAGGACAAACCAATGGAACTCATGTTTCTGTCTTTTGTTTTGTGTAGATCACTTGGAATCAGAAAAAGATACAGCTTTTGGATAAAACTTGTAGGTGAGTCCCCTGCCATTTATAAATGTTTTGAGCTCTGAAGAAGTGGTTGTTCCTTGGACTAATTATAAGAGAGGGGACATAATTGTGATTTTTTGCTTTTAAAAGACCTCAACCCCAACATTGAAGCCTTTGCAATTCCCAAACTGCCTATGGTTCTATGGTACACACGTACATCAATGTTTGCACAATTACACCCTTTTGAAGATTGCATTGATGAAGAATCAGTGGCAATACAGTCATAGAAGTTCTCATAACAACACATGCTTTATTTTATTAGCTTGAGGTGGCTCTAAGAAAAAATTATGCTTGTACTTGAGGAATAATGATGCTAATACATTTATTGGGGGAGAGAGGGGTAGATGGTAAAAGTATTAACTAAGTGAAGGATCATCAATTCCATCCCACCATTAGGAAAATTATCAACTTCAGCAGAAAATATTTGGAAGAAAATTATGTCACCTATGAATGGATTGTTCTATAATCGAAGTCAAGTCCTTACAGAAGAAAAAGGTCCACTCATGCACTTGGCAAAATAATTCTTATACTTGAGTAAGAACTAGGAGTACTTATTTTTTCATGATTGTGCTCGAGTGTCTCACTCTAATGCATACAAATACAATACTGAGTAAGCACAAAGAAGGAACAAGTGGTTAAAATCATTAGAACATTAATTGGCATCCTTGCACACTTAAAGCTCTAATCAGCCACCTTAAGAGAGTGAGAAAAGTGTGTATATGTGCATGGTATTCAACGCACCTGGGTATTTTAGCATGACATTATTAGGCTTCTCATACTTTATCTTTTAGTATAAAAACAACACCCTTAATTTCATAAACTGATAAGGAGACCAGCATTGCGTTATTTTTTGTTTGAATTCCTTGTTGAGTTTGAATTGTGTGAATGAAAAAAAAATAAAAAATAACATGTTTTCCTATTATTTAACATGCAAGTGAAAAGGTTTTGGGATTGCTTTGTAAGTGGAAAACAAGAACTAATTAAAGCATAAGGTTACCTTGGCTTAGAGGGGCAGCAAAGGCCCTTGCTGGCCTGCTCCGTCATATTATTGCGAGGGCACAAAACGCATGCAACACTTTAATACCAGATGCTTTCTATTCTTACTCACTCACCCACACATCATGCTTTCTCCCATTTTTTCATGGCTCTCTTCACTTCCATCTCATGCCTTTTGGTAGGGAAAGTGGATGCTTGTTGTGACTTTCTTTAATACTTTCTTTGTCTTTTCGGAAAAAACATTATTATTTATTTTCAAAAATTATCTTACTAATAGAAAAAAAAATCAATACAAAAATATAATGTGAAAATTCTAAAAATTAGAGAAAAATTACGACTATTATCTAATGATAACCAGATAATAGCACTGTATAAAAAAATTTAAAACACGTAAACAACTCTCTCGTATCATTAATCCTAAATACACACTTTCTAAAGTAAGAATTTAAACTAAACCTCACAATATTCTACTACAAGAATATAAGAAATTTGATAAACTTTAAATTTATTGTATAATTACCATCACCCACTCTACTTATCCCATATAATATAGAATATTTTAAGCTATAATATTTTCATCAACCCAACTCATGTTATCACTTAAGATTCTCAATCAAAATAGTCAAAATCTCCTAAATATAATCAACTACCAAGTCTCACCTTCAAAAATACTGTAATTGGGAGAGAATTCATATATAGGTTTAAGCCTACAATCAATCTTGTTTAATTTTTCGACATTAGATCATTTTTTAGGCGAATTAGCATTGAAATTTGCTAAAATAGATAGTTGGTGTATTTAGTTTAAAATAAGATTAAAAAAATTACATAACAAAAATTCTGAGAATAAAAGAGGTTTGTTTACACTGTCACGTGTTTTCTTGAATGAATTAACTGCTCTTTTTTATGCATTTCCATATGATTTTTCCTAAATTTTCTTTTTTATTTCAAAAGAAAATAATACTCTTGTTAGTTTTATCAAATTAATAATCCAGATGCATATTCTGAAATAATTCAAATTTGACAAATCCAAAAATATATCAGGTGAATGGACCCCATTATTTTAAGTTTTGGATTATGAAATTCGAAACATATTTTGAAAAGATTAATCTGGAGTACTGAATCTAAAAACAGTTTCTATATCTATAATTTAAGTTCTAGATTACAAAATTTAGAATATAAGTTCATCTTTCCGAAAAAGTTAGTCTGAATCTTAGCAATTAAATACACACTTACACTCGTTGTTGTACTTATCGGACTTAACCAATAAGAAAAATATTATCTGCTTAGAAAAATATAAAATGCAAGATGAACGTTTGAGAAGAAATCAACAACATCCTTACTTAACTCGATGCAAATCAACTATTTTATGGGCTTCTTAACCCATTCTATAAATTATCTAATACAATTACTTTTATTTTTTGATAAATAATATAAATTAACAAAAAAAACATATAACTTTTTTTATAAAAATAATTAAATAAAAAAATTTAAAAATGAAATTAGTATCTGTCCCATCTTTTCAATATTCAAATAAAAGGCTTACCATTGAATCTAAAAAGAGTGGATAATATAGAAAAACTAGAAATTGTCTATATCTTCTCCTCAAAGTTTCTTGAGATTTTTTTGGCATCATCTTATAATAAATAAGTTCAATCGATGAGGAATCACGTTCTTCATATTAAATTATTTAAATTTTAAGATATATTTATATATATATATATATATATATATATATATATATATATATATTTTAACAATTTAACTTAAATATGTTCACAAGCTGTTTTTTTACCAAAAATATATGAATAAGGTGGGCTTTGGGCTGATTTCAGAGTGAAACATGTTCTTATTTTAATAAGTCAATATAGATGTAAATTTTATCACTAAATTATTATATCTTTTGAATTCTATCACTTAGTTTTATTTTATTTTTTGAAAATCTTATCATCAAATTTTATTCTTACACGTTTTACCAATGTATAACATTTAATTTAAATTTTTTAACTAAGAGATTTGATTAATATTTTAGATTTAAAATTATAAAGTTCCAAATTAATTAAATTTTAACAAAAACTAAATTTTAATTATATATCTATTCCTTTAGTTTGAATTTGTGAGATTTTAGTTATCTAATTCTTTTCAATTAATTATCTAAAAGTAATTTATAAGTCTATCTAATCAAAATGAGATGTTTACGGAGCAAACTATTTTTTTTACCCGATTATATACAATTAGATTTTTTATGCTTATATTTTATATTTTTATTAATTAATACATCGGGTCATCAATTTTATATTATTTAAGAATTGAAATTATTATAATTTAAATACGTCTTTTTCTCTTAATTTATCAAAAAAATTTTAAAAAATAAAAATAACGAACACTCGGACAAAATAACTGTTTTTAAATGATTTTTTTTTTTAGTTTTATCAATTCAGTACAACGAGTAGATATCTATGTCTATATGAAACTGACAAAAAAAATTAAAAATTAAAAATAATTGATAGAATATTTAATAACAATGCGATATTATATTACTAAATTAGAGATATAGTTGTTATATTATTTTATTTATTTTTTAATAAAGTATTTGGTATCCAAACGATAAATTATGAGTTTTCAAAATTAACTGAAATATTAAAATTATAATTGAAAAAAAAACTACAAAATAAACATACAATTTGTATAAAAATCACATACTCTTGTTTCATCGCACAATAATTAGATAATCTAATTTTATCTTATAAATTACAATCACAATTGAATAAAATAATTTAAAAAATAAATCAACCATTTTTTTTAATTAGCAATTTTTAAACTTTCAATTATCCTATAAATTATTTTTATGAAATATAGCCATTATTTTGACTTGAAGCATATTCAGAATTTTTTTTAACGTAGAAAATATAAATTTGAGTCCCTATTTACATACTATCATTCTATTTTCTTTTCATTTAGATAATACAAATTTTATATTTTAAACATTTTTTTCTTAATAATTAAAAATAATTTTTGAATTGAAGACTTGAGGTTTTAAACCGTAATCTAAATATAAATAGATGATAAGTTCATAAATTTTTACAATAATAATTTAAAGTCTACCAATCATAACTTCTATTTTATAATTTGCATGCTATAAAGATGAAATTGCAAAAAAAAAAAAGAAAATTTATAAATTTTATTTAGTAAAGTGAAATTATGAACGAAAAAAAAAATATAAGAATAAATGAATGATAAAAAAATATAAAAATTTGAAAAGTCAAAGTGAGTAAATGATAAAAAAATCGAATTGAAAAAAAAAAGACGTGAGAGAAGAAAATTATATAAGAGAATAAATATAATATTTATTATAAATGTAAATTAAAAAAAAATATTTATATTTATAAAATATTTTTTTAATTTAAAAAACAATTATTATATATAAATGGTGGGACCATCATAATTAATTAAATGTATAACATTTGAGAACATGTGAATAATTGGAGAGAGTTCAAAATAATACGAAACTAATAGAACCTACGAGACTAATGAAACCTTCATCGGTTGTTAATAATACGTCAGAATCTTACTTTTTCTAAGGTACTTAACTTAAGCACCATTACATGATTATGATTGTTTCTCTATAAACATCTCAAATATTCTGTCACCTTCATCTTCTATAGCCATGGATAATAGAATATGCGGAAAAACCCCAACTTTTTTTTCTTTTCTTTTTTACCTTTCTTTTTCGTTCCACATCATACTTTTTTTTATTATTATTATTTTTAGAAACCTTATCAAATAAAAAAAAATTAACCAGACCTTTTGAGCAATAAATATTAATCTATATTGAATTTATGATTTATGGATGGTTGAAGATGAGAAGTTTTACGAGTGCTCTTAAATGGGTTTGCCTTTATGAACAGAAATTTTGCTTGAATATCAAATTATAAAAAACTTAAAACACACACACCTAGCTAATAGGTTAGATAAAACAAATCATGGAGACATAAAATATGGTGAAGATAACGTAGATTAGCTCACCAATATATTATAAGAAACGATGGGTGCACATGAAAGGAATCCAAAGTCACCCACCTAACATGTTTACTTTATCTTTCTTTCCTTTTTTTTACTTAAATTATATATAGTGTCCCTAGTAACAGCTATAAGTTTCAAAAACAAAATTTATGTCACATCTAGTAACCACCACCACCATAAAGCCAAGTTAGATTATCTAATAAAGGGTGGAGCTTTTGAGTGGATTCGTAATTTAATTATGGTGAAGCTCTTCCACTAGTACAAGTTTACAGTAGTTTAATATATACTATTTGGATTAGGATAAGCATTTGTTTCGGACAACATTGAAGGTTCAAGAATCTCAAGTTACGCAAATAGATGAATAATGATCTTGTAAAGCTTGATTAGTAAGTAGTTAAAGGACAACAATTTTGGTCTAATTCCAGAAGAGCACTATTCCACATTGTTCTTTTCCAAGCCTAAGATCATGGTGGTGAAACAACTAATTCTTTTTACTGTTTCTATCCCTGAAATTGTTTGCAACAATCAGAAGGGTGTTATTTTTGGGTATTTATCAGTTGAGTGACCAGGTAAAAAACAAAGCAATAGATGAAGACATGGTTTATTTCCAAATTAAGCGTAACTAAATGTATATAAGAAAGCAACAACTTAATCATGGATAATAATATTACTCAAGTAAAGGAACGTTACATATATAGATGATGATTAAGACAAGATGAATACTTAATTATGAAAAGTAGAATGAAAAATGACTAAGGATGCACAAGCCAGAAGAGGAACACTTGAGGAATAATACAAGAATACACAAAAGGGATACAAAATACACCCTTGGACACAAGCATGCTTATCTACAATTTGATGCCCCCTATATTGTTTTGGCCTTATCCTCAAAACCCCACAACAACAACAACAACATCAGCTACTGTAGCTGATGAAAAGAAAGACGAAAAAGCCTAAATCAGGGAACTGCAGAAACAGACTAGCACTCCTCAACATAGAAATTATTATTCTTCGAAACACCGTAGCTTTGTTGGCAAATTAAGAAGCTAGAAAAGTAGCTTAATTATGAATTAATTAGGCATTGCTCCTGAATGATCCAAGAGCCTTGATAGCTGCTGCTCTAAGGATGTATTGGTGGTAGAATGCAGCCACTGCTGCTCCAACAATTGGTCCAACCCAGAAAATCCACTGATCATAAAAAAATTCACCAGTATTAATACACCACTTTCAACATTCATAACAACATAACTTTCAACAACATTTACTTTCTGTTGTAAAATCATGTTTTCATCTTGATATATATATATATATATATATATATATATATTCTGTAAATAAAAAAATTATAACTTTCTAAACGTTTTTACCTGATCATCCCATATTTTTTCATTATTGTAAATTACAGCTGCTCCGAAACTCCTTGCTGGGTTAATGCCAGTGCCCGTTACTGGGATTGTAGCCAAGTGAACCATGAACACAGCAAAGCCAATGGGGAGTGGTGCTAGGACCTTCATATTCAAAAAGTGAGACCATGAATCAGTAATCAAATTTAGTGACGGAATTTACCTTTTGCCACTAATTCTAGTATATACAAACTTTAATGACAGTTTTCTAGAAATTGTTTTGTAACAAATATGCTGCTTACAGGAACATGGGAGTCCCTAGCGTTCCTCTTAGGGTCAGTGGCAGAGAAGACAGTGTAGACAAGAACGAAGGTACCAATAATCTCAGCGCCCAAAGCAGTACCCTTGTTGTAGCCATCAGCAACAGAGTTAGCACCACCTCCATACCTGTTGTAGTATGCTTTTTGGAAACCCTTGGCCAGTCCAGTGCCACAGATAGCACCAGCACACTGAGCTACCATGTACAACAACGCCCTTATCAAAGACACCTTGCGTCCTAGGAACAGCCCGAATGTCACAGCTGGGTTTATGTGTCCTCCTACAACACCAAAATCCAAAAACTTGTATAGTTTCTTGTTTCATGCATATACATACACCATATCCAATCAAACCAACCAAAAGAACTACGACACCACACTTTGAATTAATTAACTTTTTTACCTTCTTACTAGTTGTACGGTGTGTTTATAGTTTTTTTCATAGGAAATATTTACTATTTTTTTATAATAATCTCTGTTGTAAAAATTATCCGAGACCTTAGAAGATTCAAGTTCAGTTTCACTCGAACTGACACGAAGACATGTTGGTTTATAAACTTGAATATGCTACTGAAGATGAAAAATTGTTTTTTTTTTCCTTGTTAATATTTACAGTAACGTGTGTGGATTTGTGATGTTTTGTGAGAGAGGAAATTGAAAGGGGTGAGAGATATATACCTGAAATACCCGCAGTGCAGTAAACAAGGATGAAGATCATGCCACCAAAGGCCCAAGCGATGCCCAAGATGCCAACCCCATCACACTCTGTGCCACCAACATTAGTATCAGTCTGTCTTTTGTACCCAATAATGGTTAGCACCGTGACATAGAGGAAGAGAAGAGTTGCTATGAACTCAGCAATAAGGGCTCTATAGAAGGACCACTGTGTGAGCTCTTCTGGGTCGAACAAGGGTGCTGGAGGAGGGTCATGATAGTCTTTGGCAGAGTATTCTCCTTGCTCTTGAACCTCAACATCTTTAGCCATTTTCTCAAGCCTCAATCACCACTATAGCTTGTAGTTAATTGTGTATTATGTTGTGTGCCAAAGTGGAGTGGAAAGAGGTGGTATTTAAGTAACAAAAAAGAGAGAGAGAGAGAGTATGGTAATGAATGAAATAATTAAACTGTGCGTTTTGTTTTTGTCTATGGACAATGACATGATTAACATAGTTTTTTGCCGCCCCTCTTAGCTTGATTTCGCTTGCATGGTCCCACGCCACGGCTACCACTGCAACGGCACATCTCCATCTACCATTTACTTACATAGCATGTGTATATGGGTACTACATATATATACATAGCATGTGTATATTTGACCATGCATGGCCCAGTGTGACCTAAAAGCTTTATTATGTATCAACTGCTACATGGGGGGATAATTATTGGAAGTGTGCAAATTGCAAAATTAAATTACATTAAATGTAGTAAATATAAGAATAAATTTTGAATGTATAGGTAGATAATTATTAAAATAAAATAAAATATAATAAAAAAACCATTTAAAATTTATTTGTTTAATGTAAAATAAAAAAAATTATATTTTTATAAAAAATTGGATTTAATTTTTTTAATCTTTAAATTTTGTATTAGAATTTATTTATCTCAAAATTATAGATGATTTTTTTAATTTTATATTAATTTATTTAAAATTTAATTTATTTAAAAATAATATATCAATTTTTAGACTAATTTTAAATTAGATTGTTGATGGAATCGTTCGGAATTTCAAAACAGTAATTATTGGAATGACAAATAAAAAACAATAGGGTGAACTATACTGCTTATGTTGCCCTTTTAATAACTATGGTCCCCTATATTTACATGGGTCCTCCTTAGTCCTTACTTTAGGACACTTCTAAGTTTTTTTTTAGAGATAATCTTGGCAGAATAGAACGAGATCCTTATGGATGATGAAATTTTATATTTTAAGTTTTTTTTTTAATTTATTGAGTGTGATACTAACATTAAATGTGATATTTACGTAGTTATTATAGTTATATAAATTATTCCATATTTTAATCTAAATTTTCATATACATACAGGTTTTGATTTTTTAAGATAATATTGTAAAGATTAATTTGTTTGATTATTATTTGTTGTAAAACTTTTGTTCATCAGTTTTGTTATTAAAAAAATGTCTTAATTTAAGGAAAGAAATATATATAAATTATCATTCTTAAAATATACGAAACTCATTTGCATATTAGAATATAAATTTCTAATAGAAGGATACATATTGTTAAAATGAGATTCTACTCTCAATATCAATGTTTATTTAAGAAATGAGATTTTTTTAATTTTATTTTTACTAATTTTTAGTAAGATAACATCTTTAAAGTAAATTTAATATTAAATAATTATTCATTTTATAATTTTAATCCATTACGATTTTATAGTTAAAATACAATGTTATATATATTGGCAGGGAGAATCCATGCATTATAGAATGTTATATAATGTCTCTCTGAATCCATATTTAATACTATTCAAGTGTTTTATTACATATTTCAACCTTAAATTTAAGATACTTAATAAAAATTTCGAAATAATTTATCCATATAATAATGATATTTCTTTTTCTTTTCAACTATTTAATTCCGATCTTGTTTAGTTTCGTTGCACATGGGAGAATACAAATAAGGACAACAAATTTGAAGTGTACATTGTTATTTATTTCGATGCGTCAATTCGTATTGAAATGTATTGAAGCCTCTCTGTTACGGACATATAGATATAAATAATGACTTTGTTATATATTATATTAATTTTAGAAAAAAATAACCTAGACTATATTTTACAATTGATGATAATTTTTCTCTTTGCATAATGTTACGTTAGGTTAACGAATTAATGGATTAATTTTAATTTAATTAAAATAAATAATAATTAAATTTAAAAATTTATTATTAAATAAAAATGAAAAATAAAATTAGTTTGATTTAATTTAAACAATAAATTTATTGATCTAATATCACTTATTTTCTTAATTTAGGGTATCGTATTACTAAGAAATATTAACAAATAAAATAGCAGGATTAAGAAATATTATCACGAAAAGAAAAGAAAATTATGAATAATTATTTTATGTACTGCAATTATTGTGAATTTTATTAGAAAAGAAGAAGAGCAGAGGTAGTTGTTTTTTGTAGGATGACGAAGGCATGTGAGAAGAACTTGTGATCCTCACCACAAGTTCAAGTTAATTACTTGTCCTAATTTATTATAAAAATTAATAATTAATTGGGCAGTTAATTAAATCTTATGTCATAACTATTGATATCTTATTTCAAGTTAGTGGCTAATATTTATGTTTTGAATTTGTGCTTCGACCTACACACAAACAACAAATAAAAACATAAAACATTAATTTAAGCCAAAATAATATACAACCAAAACAAGCCCTGTCCTTGTCTTTTTTAAAAAAAAAAAAAACAATTTATCTAACTTTAGCCTTTAGCTCTAGAATTACTTCAAGTAATTAACTTTTTGAAAGTATTTTCAGATGCAAGCACAAACAAACAAAGCTTAAACCCTAATAAACTAGAACAACGTAGAATTATTGGAATCCTGAATTGAACATGGTTGATTATATTATATATAGTGACGGATGCCAGGGTTGTATGGGACCAAACTTGGGTGTTCCTCTTTACAGAAAAGTTAGGTTTAATTAGAAATACATAGTGGACTTAATTTTCCAACCACCCTGGTAACATCCATCTGTTAGGTTTGTGAGATGTGATGATGAGAATTATAGGGAAAAAGGGTTGAAGGAGGAGATGATGACGATGATGATGATAGTTAGATTTGACAGTAATAAATGCCACCCCATCTCTAATTCAGTGCATGTTGAGGTTAATCCTATAGGCTTAATTATTTGATAATGAATTTTAATGAGTGAATTATAAATATGATATTGGTTTTAAATGTAGAATATGATGTTGTGGCTGCAAGAGTGCCATGTGTTGACAAGTTCGTGGTGGATACAAAAAAGAAAAACAAAATGTTTTTTCTCTTTTGGTTTGTGCGAGTAACGAGAATGACTATTTCAGTGGACGGTGGCTGCATTCCAAGTTTTAAAATTTGAAAGTGCAATTCCATGAGCTAAGCTTTTGCACGGGGTATTAAACTCGTAACGTAGGGATTGATACGTTCCTATTTCGATTGGAAAAATTTGAAATAGATAATGAAATCTTTATCCCCAACTCGATTTTCATATTGATTTTATATTTAAATATAAATTTTAGAATATTAATATTTTAAAAGTATTTTATTTTCTTTTTATATTACTCATTTTCTTATATTTTATCAATTTTTATTTTTTTGTATTTTTTTTGTCTTTTTTAATCTTTTATATTAATTAATTTATTATATTATTTTCTTTCTTACCTTTCATTTTTTTTCATATTTCCTTAATCTCTCATCAATTTTTTTTCAATCTTTTCAACCAATTTCATGAACACAAAGCTAATTTTTTTATTCTTTATCTTTTTTTAAATATTTTACATAAATCTTATTAGTAACTAATATTATTTTATTTATAATTATATTTTTTAGGTTTAATTATGTCATTTTTTATCTTATTATTCTTATTTATCATATATCAAATTTTATCTTAATAAAATAATTATATTTTAAAGGATTAAAGGAATTGATAATTTAAACTTTTATTACTTCAAACTAATTGAATAAGAATTAACTTATTAAATATTTTCTTATAAATTATATATTTCATATTTTTAAATGATAACTTAAAAATGAATTAACTTATATATATAATCAAATGATTGAATACAGTATTATTATTATTATAATAATAATAATGTTACAAATATTTAAATATTTGAATACAAAATTATAATAATAATAATAATATTATAAATAAAAAAATTAAATATTTCTTTTACATATATATTTTAATATAAATATAATAAATTAAAATGTATATTTAATTAATAATAATTATAAAATTATAAATATTTATTTATATATATAAAATAGATAGTAAAATTAATTTATTATAAATATAATTATCTTTTTAAAATAATAATATAAATTGAGGAGGGGATGGGAACGAAAAACATAAAACCCAACTTAAACAAAGATGATGACTTAATTTATAACCCTACAAGAATCAAGGACTGAGATAATTAAAAAATTCGAAATGAGAATTGGAGAGTGAAAAGAGTGGTGATATTTTGACAATCAAAAACCATACAACTTTTCAAACAACTCACTTTTATTAATATAATAATATATAGAATGATTTAATAAAAATAAAAATAAAGTAAAACTATTATTATAATATTAAAATAGAATTGTTTATAGAAGTTATATGGATGTAGGTTGTGAAAGGATCATTTTCCAACTGAAAATGCGCTCCGCCCGTTACCATGCCTTCTTTAACAGTATTATTTTATCTTGGTTTGTTTGTGCATCTTGATTCTGTTACTTAAATGGAAAACAGTTTTCATTAAAATTATCTAAAAAAATAAAGTTTAATAATTTATACAATACGCCATTATCTCCTCTTATTATCTAACTTCGGATTTTTATTTTTTTTGGTATCATTAAATCAAAAGTTATATAATAATTATTTAAAAGTGTAATAATTTAAGCGCCACCATTAGATTAGAGCATAACTTCACCTATCTGATCCGTCACAAAATAATTAATATAATCTACAATAATTTGTTCATAATAGAACAAAACAAATCTTATTTAAATAAATTCTAAAAAGTAAGTGTAATATAATATTTTAAAATGACTTAAAAGCTGAACACTTATATAATACAAAATATATCCGGTAACAATTTCTTAAAAAGTAAAGTTATATTGGTGTTCAGAAAATTTGTGGAAGAGGAATATACCTTTAAAATTTAAAATGTCCAAGTTAAATTATCTTTTAATATGATTTTCTTTTAAAATATGTTTAGATCGAAATAAAATTAATATATACTTCATCTCCATTTGCTTAGTAATGAATTTGGCTATATTATGTAGAAAAAGAAAAGAGAGAGAATGAATTTGCAAAGGAAGATTTAATTTAAATGTGATGATTTGCAATGATTGTTTGGTGGATCTTACCTTTAATTTGAATCCATAAAATAAAAGAGATTTGAGGAGAAAATTAAGTGAAAATATGCAAATATATTTATTACCCCTTAATTCTTAATTATTTATATATAATAAATAAACATAATTGATTATTTGATTATGCTTTAGTAGATAATCATTGACACAAAATCAATTATCTCTTATTTAAATAATCAATTATATTTAAATTGTGTAAAATATAAATGCAAAATTAATTATGTCTTAACTACAAACTTCAATTTTATTACTCAAATAAATACAGATTCTCTTATTTAGATTAAAACAATACTAGAGTGTACATAAAAATATTATTAAAATTATAATTTTTTAAAATTTATAGTTAAAATTCAATAAGATTCAAACAATTTTATGAAGAATTTAAATAACAATTATAATTAGTAGAAATTTAAAAGGAAATTATATTTTTAATTATAGTTAAAATTTGATAAGATTCAAACAATTTTATTGGTATAATTTATGAAGAATTTAAATAAAAATTATAATTAAAAATAAGTAAAATATTATTAAAAATATATATATATATATATATATATATTTAATTTTAAAATAAAAAATAACGTAATTACATAAAATTTATACTATAATATTAAATATATATTTAAAATTTCATCGATAGAAAACAGATATATTTTTTAAAATATGTAAACAAATTCAAACAGATCAAAATATTAAATAAGGAGATATATAATATTTTAGAAAGATTATTTATAAAAAAATAAGTTATATATATTGTTTAATTTAAAAAAATAATAATATAAGAATAAGCGATTTATTTATTGTATTTAATTTTAATTTATTTTTTATCTATTTTATAAAATAATTACTTTATATTAAACTATATTTCAATTTCAATGTATATTAAATTATATAAAGATTATTTTAATCATTTATTAATCTATTTTATTATTTATAATTAGTCAAATCAATCTGATTTTTTTATTATATTTCTACTTATTTCTCTCCAACACATTCTACTGTATTTCTCTTCTTTTTCACTCTGTAAATTTCACTCATCAATCCAAATAAAATTAAACTTGAGATTGTTATTTTTAGTTAACTAAAACTTTATCCCATTAACATGTACAATAAAAAATACTAGTTATCGAAATAAAATTACAAATTTAATTTAAAGTAACACAAATAATTTTTTTTAAATATACTTAAAATTGGTGCTATTATTTTTCATCCCAGGGTGAGCGAATCGTAGTACCATTTTAGGGTTTAGGCTTCCTCCCTCACGTACATGTGTACTCCATAACATAACAGAAAAAATAAAATAAAATAAAATAAATCTGAGGGTAACTCTGGGAGATTCATGGCTATTTACACTGAGTTTTCTCTTTTCTAGCCTTTTGCTTTTAAAATAAATTTACAAAAATATAGTTAAATAAATTGATTTTAATATTTATTATATAGGATTCATTTATTTATGATTTAATGATTAAAATAAATTATTATTTTAATTTAATAAACTATTAATGAAAAAAAAGTTAATAAAAAATATTTATTATAATAATGTATTTATACTTTATTTTATTATGAAATAATTTAATAAAATATTTCATGGCTATTTTATTATAAAATAATTTGATGAAATATTTTAATAAAGTACAAATATATTAAATTGAAATATGAAGAGCAAAAAGGACGTCAAAATATTTAGGCCCAACAAATACGGACAACTAAACACAAAGGCCCAGCTCACGAACAAGACCTCCACGGCTTGTATTTTTAACAGTCAAGACTTCCCAGACTTGTACGTATCCAACAATCTTATGAAGATTCATTAAATTTTATAAATAATTATGCAAAAATTAAATAAAAACTTCTAAATTTGAAAAATAATATATTTTTAAGTTTAGAGATGTATCAAACTAAAATATGTTCCGATTAAACACAACACTTAACAAAGTTTTTACCAATATATAATTTTGAAAATCTGCAATATCACCATTTGCGTAAAACGGTAATTAGCTATATTATATACATATATACAAAAAACTAATACTTAAGAAAAACTTATATAGACTAAGTCCTTTTCAATTAGTTTCTCCGAGTTTTTGTTTATGCATGCACTCGTATTAAGTTCTGGATTTTTTTTAATTATTTTGAATAACTTATAAAAGATTATTCAAAAATATATTATATAAAATTTGGTGACCGGTAAACATGCCACTTAAGAAACTGAGCAGTTTTCGAATCACTAGATGTCCAGTAAGAGCTACAACGGATGAAAATAATCATTTAAGTCCATATATCAACAACTTATTTGGATTAAGTTAACAATTATTCAGACTTAACATTTAATCTTCCAAAAAGATAAATAATTTAAATTCGTTGAGAAATTATCTAGACCTAAAGGATGGAAAGACGAGTAAAACTCATCAATACCTGCGCGCACCAAACCAATATCATTGCACAATTACATTCACATGACACAGTTCAACCAAGATTCAAAAAGACAACACATTAGCAATGTACAATACTACCATGCAAATCATTAACTATTTATTTAGTACTTTAAATTAGCAAGAAGTAGAAGAATTCGGCTAATATTATCTTTGTGAAGAGAGGACAAATTTGCAACTTGAAACAATTCAAATAGTCACAAATTGTATAAAGGATGCCTGCACAAAGGAAATGCATGGTGCAATGCATCTGCCGATAGAAAACTATCATACTAGGCACAAGTTGTAAAAACAATTTCACAAATGCCCAATCACTCCTTATGCGGGTATATGATCTCAGAAAATGCATAATGCAAGATAACCATGTCCAGCAATCAACTAATGAATACAATAAAAACATTATACAGAAGTTTGAGCACAACATGGACTTCTAAACAGCAATCAGCAACCAAACACTATAAATCTAGAATCCAAATGCCAACAAATACTTAGCAATGCCATGGTACTCCCCATTAACGGTGTCGCTGTCAGAAAAATTTATCCAGCAGGAACATAACAACATTTAATGAAATTCAATATCTTCAATGCTGATTGTAAATAATTTGGTAAAAGACTGAAAGTCATCTGGCAATGTTTCTACAAACTACGCACTTAAATAATTCTGAAAATATACAAACCATGTGAGTCAAATAATTCCTGCATAGTTGACAAGAGCTCATTGACGAACATATCATCAAGGATTCCAAAAACACGCACTTAATAATTCTGAAAATATACAAACCAGGTGAGTCAAATAATTCCTGCATAGTTGACAATAGCTCATTGACGAACGTATCCTCAAGCATTCCAAAAACACTCAATAGTGTTCAAGGTTAACTACATTAAAATAGAAAACATAAGCACTTCCATGGAAACTCACTTAAGGCAATCCACAATGTTATTTAAGCCTACAAATCCATGTCAACCATCACTCGGTTCACTTTGGCTGTACGAAAAGACGCACCATCACGAATTTCAATTGTCCCAGTGAAAGCAAAAAGACCAAAGAGAGGAAGATATAAGCAAAATAAACTACAATCCATTGACAAAATTATACCGAAAACATATCATTCTATGAGCAGAAATAAACTAAAAAGCCCATGAAGAGATATCTCGAAACCATCTAATTATCCAAAGCAGTAAATAAACTTAAACAAAAAGTTCAATAGTTTCCCCAAATTTATATAAGAAAGAAACACGAAACAAACAGATTTAAGAGTAACAAAGCCTTCTTCCTCCTCAATCGAGAGGGACCTCAACATCACCATCGGTGATTTCCTGCTGCAAGTCTTTAGGATCCTTTCCATCAACAGTGCATCCGACGGAGACACAGGTCCCAAGAATCTCCTTAATCGAGCCGCTAAGGTCCTTCGCCATGGACCTCGGCCTCATAACCCTAGCGATCTCGATGACATCATCGAGCGATATGTTTCCATTGTGTTTGATATTTTTGGTCTTCTTCCGGTCGCGTTCGGGCTCCTTCAGGGCCTTGATGACGAGCGCAGCAGCTGAGGGAACAACCGTGACTTTAGCCTGACGGTTCTGCACGGTGAGCTTGACGGTGACTCTTAGGCCCTTCCAGTCTTTTGCGGTTTCCTTGGCGATGTCTTCTCCGATCTTCTTGGGGGAGAGACCGAGGGGACCGATCTTGGGAGCAAGAGAACTCGCCGCGCCAACCTCTCCACCGGTAACGCGGACGAAGACGTCGACTACCTGGGATGGGTCAAACTTCGGCGGCATTGTGATGCAGTGATCGAAGAGGAAGAAGAGTGTTAGGTTTTGCTGGTGAGAATGAGGCGAAGCAGAGAGAGGGGAAAATAAGAAGGGGTTATATATATTAGGGATTAGGGTTTTTCGTTACTCTCAAGAGGAAAGGTGATGAAAGGTCCTTTTTAACCTTCCGCGTAAGCACCCATTTTGCAATCAGTTACTTTAACTTCTGAGCTACAATTAAGGGTAGATAAGTCTTTTCAGTACATGACTCCTTAATTTAGATCCACATATACGAATGGGCTTTTTTGTTTATTGGGAAATTGGGTTGTGTTCTAAAATCCGTGTTCTTTGTTGGGATCATGCTATTTGCACTCCTTATTCTTAATTATTTTTTCTGAATGCAAGTTGATGTAAAATTACATATTTTTTCTAAATGAACGAGATAAGAACGTTTTTTATAATAAATTTCAAAATATTCTTTATATTCTTCGAGTACTTTTCTCATACAGTGTTCCCTTTTTATGATTTTATTATTTTATTCAATTTTTTAATAAAATAAAAAGAATATGTTGTAAAAAGTATATTCTAAAATAAGTTTTTTTTTTCTTAATCTTCTAGAAAGTATTTTTAAAACATGCAAATGAAAAAGTGTTCTAAAAAGTTATTTTCTAATGATAAAAAATAAAAATAGTATTAGAAAGTATTTAAAAAAATATTTTTTAAACGGTATTCCTTTTATATTTTATAATGTATTTTTTGAAATGTTTTTATTTTCTTAGCATATTTTATGAAGCATAAAAATTAATTATTTTCTTTTAAACATTTTTCAAAGTGTAAGAAATAAAAACGTATGTATTTCTATGTTAAAAAAAATATTTTGAAGCAAAATTTTGTAAAAAGAAAAGAAAAGAAAAGGATAATGTTAAAAGTGTTAAAACTATTTTAATTTAATTGGGGAAAAATAGTGGTGAAGTTGTAATGTGAAAGCATAGTGGGTAAAACAAATAATAGTGTTTTGCAAATAAATAAATAAACTTATCACTTCAAATAAAAGAAAGGAGTGTAGAGAGTAAAGAAGGTGTGTAAATAGAGGAACTAATTGTTGCGCTTCAGCCGTAAATATATTATCTATACATGTATTTTCATTAATTGCAGTATAAACACTCTATTGTGACCACAATTTTTTTAAAATAATTAAAAAATAATATTATATATTAAAATTATGATTTATTAAAAAAATTAGAATCGTTATTTAATAATTTTTTACAAAAATAAAGATAAAATTATATTTTAAACAATAGTTATATAATATGAAAGATAAAATAAAGATAGTTATGTAAAAAAAAATTCACAATCCAACACTATTTATTAATAATATAGATTTTAATATTGTATTTTCATTTTCATTAATTAATTGTATTTTTGCTTTATACATTTTTTTTATCTCCGTAATATTTTTTGATTTCTTTTACTTTATTGAAATTTAGAATTGGGATGGCTGAAATTAGGTGTATGTAAAATAATCAATATTTTTTAAGATAATCATATTTTCAATAATAAGAAGAAAAAAATAATTACATATTCACATTATTGTATTATGTAATTATTTTAAAATTAAAATCTTATATAGAATAGAATGATTGAAAGTGTATCTATCTAATCCTAACAAATAGAATAAATAATTTTCGATATTAAGGATACAAAATTATTGACCGAATAGTTGCATAGTTTCGCTTATATACTACTCTCAACAGGTTAGATATCTTCTTTTTTATTATTTACTGAATTATTATCTCTTATTTTTTTATTTTATACTAACTTAAATATTGGAGAATTTTATAGGTATTTTCCCTCACCGAAGAAATTACAAATAGCTCAATGATTCTCAAAATCCAGATACGAAACTTTATTTTCAAACAAACATAAAGTAAAAAAAGTTATGTATTCAGCTTATTTGGTATATTTTTTTCTCTTGAGTATAATAATATATATTTGTAATATTAGTCAAAATGTATTATTTTATTTTTAAAATATATATAAAAAAAGTCAAAATAAATTATTAATTCAATCAATTAACACATTATGTATGAATCTAAATTGATTATGTTGACCTAAGGTTGTTAGAAAACATATTACTTAACTTTTGCTATAATTTATAATTCTTATCCATTATACTTTACTTTTGTGCCTTACTTCATAGGTTTTCAGTTGTCAAATGTTTATTCATATAAATCATTTCATTTATTGAATATTATATATATATATATATATATATATATATATATATATATATATATATATATATATATATATATACTTCTTTCTCATTCTGAGTGTGACAAGGAAGAATTGAGTTTACGGGGTGAAGACAAGGTTTTCCTACTTTAAAAATTCGAGGCGTACGGGATAGGTAATATAATCTTCACTCTGTCCCAGTCTTCACTTTATATTTAAATTTATATTTAAAAATATTAATATTTTTAAAGTATTTTTTTATTTATTTTACATATAAGATAATTTTTTTATATTTCCTTTTTTTCTATTCATTTTTTATTTTTTTTGTCTTTTTTAATCTTTTATATCAATTAATTTATTATATTATTTTCTTTCTCTTACCTTTCAGTTTTTTACATTTCCTTAATATTTCCAATCAATCTGATTTTTTTTTAATCTTTTTAACCAATTTGATGAATACAAAGTTAATTTTTTTCTTTATATTTTTTAAAATATTTTACATAAATCTTAGTTGTAACTAATATTATTTTATTTATAATTTATATTTATTAGGTTTTATTATGTCATATTTTTTTATCTTATTATTCTTATTTTTTATATATCAAATTTTATCTTAATAAAATAATTATATTTTAAGGGATTATAAAGAATTAATAATTTAAATTTTTATTACTTCAAAATAATTAAATAATAAGTAACTTATTAAATATTTTCTTATAAACTATATATTTCATATTTTTAAATAACAACTTAAAAATCAATTAACTTATATATAATCAAATATTTAAATATAGTATTATAATAATAATAATATTATTATTATTATTATAAATATTAAAATATTTGAATATATTATAATAATAATAATAATAATAATAATACTATATATAGTTTATATTTGTATAAAGAAAAAATAATAAAATACTTTTTTACATACATATTTTGATATAAATATAATAAATTAAAATATATATTTAATTAATAATAATTACAAATTATATAATTATAAATATTTATTCATGTATAAAAAAATATAAAAATAATTTATTATAAATATAATTATTTTTTTAAAATAATATAAATTATGAATAGGATGGGGCGAAAAACCCAAAGCCAACGGGAAGAGAAATATAAACTTAATTTTTAACAAAGACAAATTGTAGGGACGAAGACTGAAAGAGTTAAAAAAGGCAGAAAAGAAGAGGTTCGTCCCACCTGTTGCCATGCCTATATATATTACCATATATAACTGTTCGCCATTATCTATTTATCGAGCTAACGAATATTATATAACACATATTACCCTAATTGAAAAATATTGAAATTTATACGTTTTAATGTCTTATTTAATAACTATTCATTCTATTTTGATAATGTTAATAAAAAATGTTGTTAATTATAAATAGATTATATAAGAGAATATTGAGGGTTAAAATATGTTTTTATAGTATTTATAGAATTAATAATATGTCGAAATAATCTTTATAAAAAATTTTGTGTTAATTAGGTATATATATAAAATGGAGCAACCGGCGTGGTTTCTGGGTGAGATGCTAAAGAGTGTAGTATGAAATTTTGAAAATAATAAAAATCATGAATAAGAAAAAGACAATGGATTTTTTTTTCGTTGTTTGTTTTATGTAATTAGGGTGACAATCATCTCGTTTGGATTCGTTTCAATTTTTAGTCTATTAAAAATAGATTATATTGTCATAATAAAAATAAATTATAGATCTTCAGTATTCGAGTCCATTTCTTAATAAATTTTATATATATTTATAGTTTTTAATTATATGAATAATTTTTATGTTTTTATTTATTTATTAATATTTTTATTAAATAAATTTAAAAAATATATTTATATATTAAAATGACTAATTATAATTAATAATTTAAATTTAATTAACTAATTAATATATAAATATTTTTTTAAACAAATTAACAAACCAATTATCCCTTAATCTATTAAATTAATCAATTAGATGGATAAACCAAAATAGATTAATAAGTTAAAACCACAACGGATCCATTTTACCATCTATTCATAGTCATCAAAATTTCTATCAATTTAAAGGATTTTTGAATGGCATGTAATAGACATGAAGGATTGAAAAGGGTGTATATAAAATGGATACCCTATTTGTTAGAAGAAAATTTCCCTACTATCATATATTTTCTCATCACTGTCAATCCCAACTCACTACCTATAAATAAAAAAGATTTTATTAAAAAAACTTAATTAAAAAAACTCAATCTTAATTCAAAAACTAAATTTTATTTAACATTTTTTATTGTCATACTGAGTTGTAGAGTCAATGACATGAATACAAATAACAAGAAGAATATTTTGTTCAGTACGAGAAAGAGAAGAAGTAGGAATTCGAAAACTCTTCACCATAGTGAGCAACAGAAAGATGAAGGAAGACATCATCAGAAAAATACTTTTAATAGCTCATCAGCATAATTGAATTATGTCATAGTTATGATGTCTCACCATGAAGCCATAAAATAATATCATCAAACAATAATGAATATTTTAAAGTGTCTGACTTTGACTTATTAGTGTCGTTAGATTAGCCTAAATATGAGATAATGAGAAATTTATTTAAAATAATGAAATGGTTGTTGCTTATGTTATCATATTAAAACATTTTAGTATTAACTATAATGACCAAGTTAGAGATAATGACGAAGAAGTTATATTTTAGGACAAGAAGAAGAAGGAATTCATGTTTAGAATACAAAAGAATAATAAGGAGATGAAAAAGTTGAGATTTTTTTATTATTTTATGAATGAATAAAAAAGTTAATAATAAGTTTTAATCTTAATTTTGTATTGAACCTTATATATTTTTATAATTTTGTAATTAAAGATATTTTAAATATTAATTTTTATTATAATTTAACTTACTTATTAGTTAAACTAATATAGAAAAGTAACCTTAAATCTTACATAAGAATATATAATACTTTGTATATTATTTTTCTCATTATATAAATAATTTAGATTTTAAAATTTAACGTAGACGATATATTCTCTTTAAGTTTGTAAGATAATTTATCTTTTGTGAGATATTCTTATTATATAAGATTTTATGCACTATTTAATTTTGTGAAATATATTTTTTTAATTTAAAATAACATATGTGGTGTGTGTCTTCTAAAGTATAACCGAAATTTGAATTCAAAGTAAGAACCATTTATTTATTCTTTGTGCTGTGGTCGTTTTGTCCGGCATGAACACCAAATGCACTTTCTCTGAAAAATCCCTGAATAGATAAACTCAAAGAGCAATCATATAATAATGAAGATAAAAGTTAAAACTTTTATTATTATCAATAATAATGAAATAATTTTAGGATTGAAAAACTATTGAATTGTTAAATCAAAAGTACATAAAACGATAAACTCAGGATATTATCAGTTATCGCGTGTCGCATTTGATAGGACAATGTAAGATTAGGGCCAGCTGGCATGCGGAAAATGAACCAAGAGTTGAGGTCCTACACATGTGCCATCTTCTCCTTAATCTTTTCTTCAAATCACTGGACGCCACGTGTCTCACATAATTCTACGTTAACGCGTTTAAACAGGATCGCATAATCGCATTTGTCCTCTCTCTCACTCACGTTACTGAGAAGAGATGAACCGACTTTTTTCCTTTTCTCTATCACATCGATTCCAGATATAATTGAATGTTGAATCAAAATATTTATTAATTGAATCCAACGTTGATCTCTTTCATTCTAAATAATTAATCTTTTTAACTAAGTCACTGTATTCTTATTTCGACCAATGTTTAGATTAAACATAACTTTTAAATATTATTTGGGACAACCTCAATCAATGGAACCGAAATTGATACTATAATGCTTCAATGCATTCCATTCCAATGATCCCTTCAAATAATTTAAATTTACGTAGTTAAAGTAATAATATTTTTTATACATTTATTATCTTTATTCAATAATTGGAATCAGTTACCATCTAGAAAAAAAAATGCTCATAATTAGTGATTTAAAATTTAATACTTGTACGTTTATTTTATTATTTTTATCTTTAAATTTTTCATACACACCATTTGTAAGGTGAAATATCAAATATGAACACTCATGTAACGATAGCTTAAATATTAAACAAACCCTAATTGTTTAAAACTACCTTTATAATTAATTAATCCTAGGGTTTCCTCTCTCTCAAATCACGCAATTAATTGTTTGATGGTAAAAAAAATTTAATTATATTAAGAAATAAAATTTTAGCATGTGAACATTACAAAATATAAAAGAAATACTGCAATATAAAAGGTAGATTATTATTTTTTTGTTAAATTTAAAATATTAGTATGTTTCTTAATTAGTGCACCATAATTTCAATGAAAATTAATGGGTTGAATTAACAAAGCATAAAAGAAAAGTTAAAAACTGTATAAGAATTGAAGCATAAAAAATGATGAGTGTGAATCAAAGTAAATGATTTTGTTGGGGTGGTGTGGTGCAGGGTAGTTTCTCGCAGGGTAGTTTCTCGCTAGTTACTCTGAGAAAGAAACCCCAGAGAAAAGACGAAGAAGATGGAATCTTATCCAGAATGTAACGCGCCATTTTCTCTTTATTATTATTATCATTGTTAATTTCATGCGAGACAACAAGAATAACAGGATTTATATACCAGTTTCTAATTTCTCTCTCTTTCCCTATTCTTATCCTAAAATAATAATGAAAAATGAGATTTAGTTTGAAACACCGATTTTCTTTAAAGAAAAAGGGTAGTAGATAGCAACAAACCCTTTATAAAAGCATCAAACGAACCATAATAAACAACATCATAGGAGAAAGAAAAAAAAACTAAGCTACAACAAAAACAACAGAACTTCTTCCACAGTTCCATTCACGTAACAAAAACACCAACGTTTTAAAATCACCACCACCGCTACCACCTCTGCATGCAATTAACAATGACCAGCAGAAAGAGCTACTTCACTTCACGAAGCCACCGTTTTCTCCCTGTAGCTTCAGACAGAGACTCTCTATCGCTAACCATGGATTCCGAGTCCGCGTTTGAATTCGACGAGTCCGAGATATACAACTCCGGCAGAGCCAACTCGTTCGAGTTCAGCAGATCACTTCAGGGCCGCGGCTCCGCCAAGAAAAAACCCTCTTCCTCTGCCGCCACCTCCGCAGCGTCGGTGCCGGTCAACATCCCCGACTGGTCCAAGATTCTCGGCGAGGAGTACCGTCGGAGAAACAACGACTTCAACGATGACGACAACGAGGGTTACGATGAATTTGAAAGGAGTGAGAGGGTACCACCGCACGAGTTTCTCGCGAGGACAAGGGTTGCTTCCTTCTCCGTGCATGAAGGTGTAGGGAGAACCCTAAAGGGAAGGGATCTCAGCACGCTCCGAAACGCCATTTGGGCCAAAACCGGTTTCCAAGACTAAAAGAACAAAAACACACAGTATCTTCATCTTCTTTTTCCTGGTTCTACTTTTGTTCCTGTAATTGATTGGCAATGGCAATTTTTATTTTTTTTTGGTGGTTAAATTCACGTATATGAGGTGATTGATTATAAGAGGTTTCTAATATTAATTCGAAACCTGAGTTTTCTTATGTATTACGTAGTGCGAACCTTAAGACATATATAAAAATATGTTTTTCTTCATTGAATGTTGATCATGGTGTTATGATATGGTATGGGTGTGTGGATGATAGCTTGTGTTTTTGTTTCTGGGTGATTATTAATGGTTGTGTTTGATGGATGGTGTTGGGTTGATGAAAAATCTAAGTGGGTGAGTGGAAGTTGGGGATGGTGGGGCCATGATAGGAACTGAAAAGGAAAGTAGGGTAGCCTTGTTGGGTGATTGATGGTGGGGTTAGTTAGGGTTTTGATATGGCTTGGTTTAGCGGTTTAGGTTGGGACCAATGGCCCAACTCTATATTATTCTACACCACAAACTTCATCAACTAGTGGGCACTAATCATCAAAAATCCATTCATAGCTAGCTTTTTCAACTTTTGCATAGAAGGAAAAGGCTAACGAGAGGTGGTGTGGACAACATTTAAAATTGATGGAACATGAATTTGAGGCTTGTGTAATCTGAAAATAGTATGATTATTTTTTAGTATAACAACTGTTCATATTAATTTAGATTGATGGAATAATCGATTGATTAAATACATTTCATTCAATCGTTGACCTCAATCAATGGACATTCGTTAAATTGATACATTGTTTTGTATAAGGTAATTACGTAACGAATTAGCCATGATAGGTTAAAAAACTGATATTTTTTTTGTATTTTTCATTATTTATTTTAAAATGGAGAAAATAAATAATTATTTTCATTTCGTAACGTATAAATATTTTAAATAAATAAACTGAGAATAGTGTTATAGCAAAAAAATCTTAAAGGAGTCATTTTCACACTTAATTTATGAAAGGGATTTACTTTTTAAAATATTATAAATTTGAATAACAGAGATTAGGTATAATAATAATAATAATAATAATAATAATATTATTATTATTATTATTATTATTATTATTATTAATAAAGAGTTATGTTTGATAATACAATTGTTATTATTATTTTTATTTAAATGAAATTATGTTTAGTAACATGACGGCAAAAGATATCATGTTATTTTTGTGTGTTTTTTCTCTAAGGAAATGTATATAACTTCTTCATATTATAGTACGACTTTAGGTTAGTTTTTTTTTTAAAGAAACTGGTCATTATTTATTTAATTTTTATATATAATTATTTAACTTAAATAAATTATAAAATATAATTGTGTAGTGAGGGAGAAAGATGTAAATTGCACCACCATAATTGTTTGTTTCTCCTCACTATTCGTGTTTATTTTGACTTTATCACTCGTGGCACCCTCGTTGTTGGTCTCCTTCATCTCATCTCTAGGTCATTCTGTGGTTAATTTCCTGCATATGTTTTTTCTCGTCATATTTTATTGATAATTATTTTTTTTTGTTTTTTTTTATTTCTATTCGAAGTTGTGTAATAACATTTTGGTGTTGGTAGCTAAAGGATGTGATGGCATTGAAGGATGTGTTAGGATTTGTAGAACAAGTGGACACTAACCCAATATATATAGTTCATAATTTTTAATAAAACCCGCTAATGTTGAAAAAGACAATTCAATCATAAATGATAGAGCTAATTAATTACATTAGGATGCTTCGTTATGTGCCAAACTTACTTGAACGTGTAGTTTTACTACAGAACCTCCTATCCTACGAACTGGATTCTGAAACGGGTCATTGAAACGGGTCATTGAAACGGATCCCTTATTCTTGTGTGAATCCTTATATAGGGAGAATGAGAAAAGAATAAAAATTGAAGAAGGAGGAGGTGGGTGCAGATGGTTAGGTCAAATAGAGAGAATGTGAGTATTCTGGGGGAGAGAAATATATAGGAGTTTAGGAGAGAGACTCGATCAGAGAGTGGTTATAATATTTTTTTAATTGTATTAATAAATTATAATAAAAATTTGCTTTAAAATTATAGATATTATTTTATTATATATTTTTATTGTTAAATATATTTAAGATAAAATATTTTATTTATTTATTTATTGATGTTTTCTAAAATTGAATAAAACATATTTTTCTATTTTGTTTCAATTTAATCCCTTTTTAATATATATTTTAAAAAAATTATTTTGCTAAATTTTATTTATCATCTTTAATTCACTACTACTAGAAAACACTTTCTACGACAAGCATCCAACGTCGGTTATCACGAAGACCGACGTTGTACAAGATGCGGTGGCAAACTTGTAAATATGAAACAAAATTTAACGTCGGTTATATAATAACCGAGCGTAGTAACTGCAATTCAACGTCGGTTATATGACAGACGACGTTAAATGTTTAAATTTAACGTCGGTTATGTATAACCGACGTTGAATTCCAAAATCAACGTCGGTTACATGATTTACCCGACGTCGAAAGCGTTATCCACGTCGGGTTTTTAATAACCGACGTTGAATGTCCTTTATACCTCTCCTCCTAGGCGCGTTGCCCCCTCGTCCGCTTCTTCTTCGTCCCACATACTCCCTCCTTCGCTTCTTCTTCGCTGTGCCTCGGTCCTCACCTGTTGCCCCTCGCCGCCCACTTCGCCGCCCTCGCTCGCCCTCGCGCCCTTCGCCGCCCACTCGCCGTTGCTACCTCATTCGTTGTGGTCTCGCTGCCTCAGTCCTCACTGCAGTGCTCTGCCCCTCGCAGCCCCTTCGCAGCCCACTCGCTGCGCTCTCATCGGGTTAGATTAAGTTGTATGGATGATTTACGACATGCATTTAACATAAATATGGATTATTTAGAGCATTTCCTACGGAGGAACATTAGAAAGATGATGGATGATTTTGTATATATGGTTTGATTTGATTTAGGTTCGTTTAGGTTTTGAAGTGGTATATGGAACATTAGGTTTCGTTTAGGTTTAGGTTTAGGTTTAGGTTTCGAAGTGGTATATGGAACATTAGAGCATGTATGGAACATTAGAGCATTGTTAGGCAATGTACACGTTTTTTTTGTATTGTTTTGTTAAACCTTTTCTAATAAACCTTGAATATCTAGGCAAGCCTTTTTGTGTAGTTAGATGGATCGAACTTGGGTCAATGCAAGTCGTATGTCGGAAGAGTATGAGAATGGAGTTGAATCCTTTTTGAAATTTGCCGAACAAAATGCTCCCAAAATGAATGGAAAAATCTACGCCCATGCGTTAATTGTGTAAATGGCAGAGTACAAGAGATGAACACAACGCGGGAGCATCTTATTTGCGATGGGATGATGAAGAATTACACCATATGGACATGGCACGGTGAAGTGGTTGATATTCCAACGAGTATCACAAACTATTGAGGATGATGTAACCTGCGAAGATCGAATAGAGGACATGCTTTGTGATGTGGGTCAAGAGAGCTTTCTTGAAGCACATGCATCTATATATGATACATTGAGGACCGATTCGAGAGACACCTTTGTATCCCGGATGTACAACTTTCACACGGTTGTCATCCGTGTTAAGATTGGTCAATCTAAAAGCAAAATTTGGTTGGAGTGATACAAGTTTTAATGAATTACTCCAACTTTTGAAGGAGATGCTCCCGAGACAATAACACCTTGCTTGGATCGTATGTATGAAGCGAAGAAGATACTATGTCCAGATGGGTTTAGAATATAGGAAGATACATGCTTGCCCTAATGATTGTGTGTTATACAGGAAAGAATTCTCATCTTTAGACCAATGTCCAACATGTGGTGTATCACGTTACAAAACGAAGGATGGTGATGATTGTAGTCAGGAGAGTGGTAAAAAACGTCCTCCTGCAAAAGTTTTATGGTATCTTCCAATTATTCCAAGATTTAGGCGGTTGTACGCTCACGAAGATGCTGAAAATTTAATTTGGCATTCAAAGAGAAAAACATGTGATGGACAAATGCGACATCCATCTAACTCTCCCCAATGGAAGAATTTTGACCGTCTATTTCCAAGTTTTGGTAGTGATGCAAGAAACCTTAGACTTGGATTAGCAACAGATGAGATGAATCCTTTTGGAAATTTAAGTAGTAACCATAGTTCATGGCCCGTTTTATTGATGGTTTACAATCTTCCACCATGGTTATGCATGAAGCGCAAATATGTCATGTTGTGTATGATGATTTCAGGTCCAAGACAGCCAGGAAATGACATAGATGTGTATTTGAGTCCTTTGATAGAAGACTTAACACTATTATGGGAGGAAGGAGTAGATGCATTTGATGGGTATCGGCAGCGAAGTTCAAGTTGCATGCAATGTTATTTTGCACCATTAATGACTTCCCTGCCTATGGAAACTTGAGTGGGTATAGTGTGAAGGGGCATTATGCTTGTCCTATTTGTGAAGAAGATATCGAGTTATATACAATTGAAACATGGAAAGAAGACAGGTTTATAACGAGCACTGAGAAAATTTCTCCGCATGACCATCCATACCGTAGGCTGAAGAAAGCTTTTAATGACATACGGGAGGATGAAATTGCCGAGAGAACCATTGACTGATTTAGAAGTTTACGATCGAGTGAAGAACATAAGCATTACATTTGGAAAGACCCAAAAAGGTCTTATGACAAGAACATGTGGAAGAAGAGATCAATTTTCTTTGATCTTCCATATTGGAGCCATTTAGAAGTACGACATTGTATTGATGTTATGCATGTGGAGAAGAATGTATGTGATAGTCTCATTGGCACATTGTTAAACATTCAAGGAAAGTCAAAGGATGGGATCAAAGCACGTCAAGACCTTTGTGAGATAGGAATACGTCCTGAATTACATCCAAGGCACTGAAGGCAATAGAACATATCTACCACCGAGCATGTCACACCTTGTCAAAGAAGGAGAAACGTAGTTTATGTCATTGTCTTGCAAGTATTAAAGTG